ATTACTAATACTTTATAAGTAATAGTTTGTTTAATAACTTTATTACTAAAGCGCAGCTTTAATAGCTGCTTTAAATAAAATATTTATAATTTATATTATTGCGCAAATAATTGTAATGCATAATTACTAATTATTTTAAAATTTATTAAACTTTTTGTATTAATAATAGTTTTAAAAAAAATAATAATTTTGCACTTAAATACAAATTATTATTTATAAACTAATTATTTACTTTTAACTATTATATTTATGCTTAGTCTTACTACCTTCTTGTTATTATTTAATTTTAAAATTTATTTTTTTAAGTATTATAAACAAATGTGTAAAGTATTATTATATAAAATTGCTTTAATAAATAGAATATTAAAAAACTATAAATTATTAGTAGTATAAGTATAAATTAAAGAAATAATTTTTAGTAAAAAAAAGAGTTTTAGTAGTATTATTATTATTAAATTTTTCCTAATACATTCTTAGCAGCATTTTTTGCTAGAAACTTTTAGTTTTTTAAATAATTATTATTTTTAATTATTGCAGCTGCACTAGTAACTATTGTTTATAGTGCTAAAATGCAAGTAGCAAAAATAATTAATTTATTTTTATAAACTATTAAAGCATTATTATTTATTATGCAATATTTTTTACTATTTTTATTAATAATATTATTATATTTAAAGTACTAGCCTTGCTTTGCAAAAGTTATTAATTATTATTTAATTTTATTATAGCTAGTTTAAATAAAAGTAGTGCTATTACTACTAGTACTACTACTTTAACTGCTTTAGGCCTTTTAAAAGCTAAAAATTAAATTTAAAAATATATTGCTTTTACTAGTAAAATAATAAAATTACTACTGTACTTAGCAGTTCTAGCTAAAAAAATTTTATATATTATTATAGTAATACTAGCTGCTAGCTTGCTAGCTGTAGCGTATAAAATAAATAGTATACTAGATTATTTTACTATTTAGCATATTAATAAGCGCAATTATAAATATAAAGCAATTTACTTATATATTAAATAATTTTTATTTACTTTATATAAAACTGCTAAGTGCTAGTTTCTACAGCTTTGCTATAGCTTTAGTAGTAAAGTTAGTAATATTATAAATATAGTTTAAGTTTTTAAAAATTTTATTAATTATAATATAAGCATTGTAAATTTTTAAATTTAAATAATATTTTATACGCTAGCTAGCAAGTCTGCAGAAGTAGTTAATAATATACTTAATTTAATTTTATACTAAAATATAAATATTTATTTTAAATAAAAAGTTCCTAGTACTACGTTGCTAAAACTTATAATTTTTTTTATTTAATTTATTATTTTAAAAAGTATTAATATTTTTTAGTTTTTTACTAATAGCTATTAAGTTACTACTAATTAATAAAAGCGGCGCTAGTGCTACTATAAATTATTTTTATAAAAGTAAAGTCTTTATAAAAGCGTAAAAGTTTGCTATAACTAATTGTAATAAAAATAGTAGCAGTAATAATTAAATTACTAGTAATAGCAGGTTATAAGCAAAGTTGCTATAAGTATGCTAATTATTATTTTAATTTTATAATATATTATTGCTATTAGAGGGACCGCTTGCGCGTTACTTTTAGTAATTTTTTTTATATTTAAAATTTTTAAAATAAATAGTAAGTTAAATATTATTTGCTTAAAAGCTGCTTAGTTTATTTTATAAAACTAAAATTTATACTATATAGCTATTTTTTATATTAACAAGTTAGTTGTTTTTCTGTATTACTTATATAATCTATTTTATTATAAAAGCTATAGTTTATTATTTAATATATTTTTTAGCGGTCTAAATATGTTTTTATATATTATTTTTTTTAACTTAGGCATTATTTTTTAAAAATATAATTTAAAACTTAAAATTAGTAGTAAATGCTAGAAAATTTACAATATAGGCAAATATATTATTACTATTGCTTTATATGCAAGTTTAAAAGTCTGCAGTTATTTATATATTAATAGTAATTTTTATTTAACTATTAAAATAAAATTAGAATAAATACAGCAATAGCTAGTTATTGTTATTATTTTATTTTAAGTAAAGTATTATACTTTTTTTTTAATTTATAATTTTTTTAAGCAATTTTTAGCGTAAGCAATAGCAATATTTTTTAATATTTACTTTATTATTATTTTTAGATATTTTAAACTAAATTTGCTTTTTTTAAAGGGCATTATACTACATATATAAGCTTTTTTTTTTAATTTTTATAAAATTATTATTTTATTTAAAGTTGCTTAAGTTATTACTAAGCTGTAATTTTGCTAGCATTATACTTTAGATTTTTTTTTAAATTTTTGCCTAACTTTTGCTTATATTAAAGAAGTTTAAAAGTATAATACAGAATTTAACTATTTTATCTTGCTTAATTAAGCAGTTGTATTAGTTATAGTATGCTAAAATTAGTAAAAAATTTTATTATTTATTAAGCTGCAGTAATTAGTATTACGCGTGTTAGTATTGCACCTGCAATAATAATATAATTTATATATAAGTTTATTAAAACTTACTTTAAAAAAAAGCTTAATATAATATAAACAATAAATTTAGTAAATTAAATTAATTATTATATAATAGAATACTAAGCTACTAAATGCAGGATCCTAAATTTAAATTAGTATAATTTAGTAAAGCAAGCGCTAAGGGCGCTAGCAGGAAGTCTAACTATATTAGGTTAAATATTATATAACTGCGGGGTAATTATATAATAGAAAAGTAGAACTGTAACAAATACTGCAAATACTATAATACTATAATATTATAATTACTGCAATTACTACGATTACCGCGATCACTATAACCCTATAAAGTAGAATACTAAAACTTAAGCTAATACAAAACAGATTATATTTAGCAGCAAAGAATATAGCGCTAAACTCCTTTCCGCTTTCTTGCTTTCTGCCCTCTTGCTCCCTATAGTATTGTCCGTGCTTGTATTCCCCCTCTTTGCTAAAAAAGTAATATATCTTTAAAATAACTATTTAGTTTTTTATAATATTATTATATTAGACTTATAGTTTTACTATAAACTAAGTATATTACGTATTTTTTATTAAATTAACTACTTTTTGCAAGCTGCAGATAAACAGCTTGCAATACGCTGCAGTATATTTTTTTTAAAATATAATTTAATACAGTAAACTAGCATAGATATATAGATTTTATTATATATAGTACTGTCGCTTTATTATTGAATAGCTGCCTAAGCAGTTTTAGTCTTCCTTTAAAAAAAAAAACTTAATTTACTAAATTTATCCCTTATATAGAATTTTTATATAAAGCTTTTTAGTAGTTATACTTTTAAAAAGTTCTAATACTAAGCTATAAATATTATTTAATAAATATACTAGCCTAGTTTTTACTAATAAGTAGTTACTTATATTTAGCTAGCAAAATATTAGCTATATTATTTATAGTAGCTAGTTAGAGCAGAAATTTTTAGTTTTTAAAGTAAAATATATACTAAGCAATTATCTTTTTTATTAAAAAAAACTTTATTTTATTAGGCTTAATATTGTATTATAGAGGCTTTCCTTTTAGTTAATTACTAAATATTATTTAAGAAATGCTATAGATCTGCGCAGCTTTTTATTAAAAAAAATTTATATTATATTTTAAAGCTTAAACTATAAGCTATATTTAATTTTTTTTTTAAAAAAATTGTATATTATTGTATTAAAGCATTACGTTTAATAGTAAAGGACTATTAATTTTAGTAGGGTCTTGGCATTGTAACTAATTTAACTAGGCAACTAACTCGCCTGTGTAATATATTAGCTTATAATAAAATATAAAAAATATAAATTGTATATTTTACTAACTATAAGTTAACGCCTGCCTTTTTTATTTAAATGCGCATTGTAGTATACTACAATAGTTAATAAAAATTACTTTTTAAAATAATTTATATAGTGCAAATAGCAAATTAAACTACTAGCAACCTTATTATTATTAATCTATAATAAATAACTGTAATAATTATACTTTATATACTAGCTATTCTAACCTTAACTAATTTTTATATTTTAATTTAAAAATTACTATTATTAAAATTTAACTTTACTTAGTTTTTGCAACCTTACTCTTACTTAAAATTTATATACTTTTAATCTAATTTTAATTTATTTTTACTATAAAAGTATTAAATTTAAAGTAAGTTAAAGTTAGAGTTTTATATAAACTAACCTAAACTTAGCTTAAACCTATTTACTAGTCTAGCTTACCTGTGTAATATATTATAATATAAATAAATACTATATAACGCAAATAAATACTTTTTATTAAATATTTTAGACTTTTCTTATACTAGTCCTATTTAGGTAATTTATAGCTACTTTTAACTAATTATAGTAGTAAATTAAAAGTAGACTAATATTATAGTACTAGGCCTAATATAGTAAAAGATAGGAATTAAATATAAATTTATAGTATAAGGAGTATTTTTAAGTTTTATAGTTTTATAAACTTATAATAAATAGATACAAAATATAATAGCAGGTAAAATAATAATATATTATAGGTAAAAAATAAACTAATTACTACTTTGTATAATAATTGCCTTTTTTCTTATTATATAGTTTTAAGCTAACCTAGTTAAGATTAGTTGCGTGTCCTATTAGGCTTGTAGCCTAATACCTGCAGCAGAGGGCTTTGCAATCCTTTGCTACAGTTTCTAAACTTACTGCATTAGGTGTAGCATTTTAAACATTTTTTAGCACCTTAAATGTGGCTTTTTCCGCGTTGTGGAGCCGGGCAGTCAGCTCACGTCTTGCCAGCCTCCTAGAGGCACCTTGCCTAATTCTAATAGCATTACCTTGTCTCTATGTCGATCGCTGCAGCCTCAAACTTAGATTTCCAGCCGCACGCTAGCATGATTGGCTCACTTTTGTCCGACCGCACAGACACTATCACGATCGTCCACGCTATAGCGTCAAGCTGAGGGAGCATTGATAATTCTTCCCGTTCAGCTCCTTGGATCCGACGCCCACGTACAAAAGTGCCGTTATAAATTGACTATGGACCTCCCACAATTCTGGTTAATCACAAATATCTCCGCACTCAAAGTACTTTCACAGAAACCAGCGATAGCTCAACTAGGGCGCAGGCGCTTTGAAAATCCTCCCACAATTCTGGCAACTATCCAAAACACATTCCTGGCGACTTCCCTCTGGTTATAAAACTGCATCTTTATATCTCTCTCGTTTTTATCAATCAATCAATCACGATGTATATCTTTTGTTCCGGCTTCATTGCCGTCCTTGCCTATGGCTCCACTGTCGTTGCTGCGCCGGCAGCAAACACCTGTAATCCTGTCGACGCTGTCTACGCGATATTGAAAGGATCTTTGAAAAATCAAGCATCATCTTTCTGTCTCGACTTTCTCGGGGGGCACAAAACAGTTCAGTCAACTAAGGTAGGAAGACAACCACGCCTTGCTCCCTTGGTCATTGCTGACTTTGGAAAAGACCATTCCTGTAACTGGTGCAGGGAGAACTGTCACTATCACTAACCCCGACCAAACTCAAACCGCAAACATTGACGTTACGAATGTTAATCGAGTTACGAGCACTATCGACCAGACCGCAGCAAACCCAACCACCACTACTACTGTCACCGTTACTGCAGGCACCAGAACCATCTACCAAAAACGTGGCGTCGTTCCCACTCAGCTCATTGCCTTCGCCTCCTCTCGCATTTCGAGTGCATGTAGCTGCATTGTCACTCCGACCACCAAAACAATCACCAATACTCAAGTTCAGACTGTCAATGGGCCTCAAGCTATTCAAACAGAAGCCGGAAGACTTGTCACCGTTACCGTCACCAGAACCGTACAGATCACTTCCGAAGACACTGTCACTAAGACAGTCAGTCCGGCTGGAACCGATGTGCAGACTGTTGCCACGACCGTTACACCTATTCTCGTCAAGCCCAAGATATGCAATGCGAAAGGCCTCCCCGGCCCAAACGCTTTCAACTATGACGCCAACTTCAACACCAACCAGGCAGCCTGTATCGCGTCATGCAAGCCCGATAATAGGTGCTTAGCTACTGGGTTCTACATCGTGACTGATCCTAGTACAGGTACGCAGACTGGTACTTGCCGCAAGTATGACAAGTCTGTCACCGACTCAGCGGATCTTGGTTTTGGTTATTACAACTTCAACGATAAGGCTTGTTAAAGTTTCCTCTACTATTTTCATTTAGGAATATTCTTAAAGTCTTCGGCTAGTTCCCTTTCAAAAAAACGTATTAATATAGTAATGGATCTGTGTTTTACGCGCTCTTATCTTTTGTTACTTAATGCAGCTTATACAGACTCTAAATAGTACACATATGATACAATTATATGTTAGGAACGCAGAGGGCATGATAGCGCAGTATCTGGGCTATGGAAGGGAACTCAAAACCCAATAAACAAATCTACTACTCTACTAGTCTGTGATTACAGCAACAATGCTATCAAAGATCTGTACAACTTTTATAAGGGTGTAGAGCTTGATTTTCGCTTCAATAGAACAGTAGGGAGGAGCTGTTCTATTGGAAGCGCTAAAGAAGAGAGCTGAGGAGCTAAGATGAACACTAAAGTAGGTAGCCACCGCAAAAGACTGTTGCCTGCGCCCAGCTTTATTGGCTCTACAGCTCGCATGTTGTTTACACTCGCCTCTCCCAGCATCTATATGGCCAGATTGTTCCTCACCATCATCGCCAGTGCCAACCTAGGTTCTTCCTTCCCCTTGCTCAATTCTTGTCGTCTACTTCTCGTCGCAAATCATCTACTGATACGCAACAAGTTAGGTTTTGAATCTGTACCGCTTGACGATGTGCACTTAACATTGGATGACGAAGTTGCCCTCAATAATCAAGATCTATTAGAAGGTAGTCTCGCAACTAATGCACTCCTCAATCACCTGCCTGCACCGGAAATACCAATACCGTAAGCATCCTCCAGGGTGTCACCTACACTAAAACTTTCCAACTAATATCCTCCATGGCATTGGCATTGGCATTGGCTATGCGGCCTCGGTTTTTGTGCAATGTTTCAGCATCAGCGTCATCTACTCTAAAGCCCAGGCTGCCGGGTCGAGCTTCTCCTTGACTGTGCCTCTGCGTACCGTCTTATTTCGCGTTGGTCTATAATGGGCTGCATTCACCATCCCCACTGCATTCTAGCTTCGGCGCCGTCCCGGACGACCCTTGCCGTGGAATGGTTGGTAAAAAGAAGCCTCAAGGCGGCATACTTGCGGGGCTGCGATACATGGTCCTTGCATATATATCGCCCTAGAACGATCACGATAGCCATGCAATTCCGCGAGGCTCTCTATCGTCGTACTGTGCCTCGATTTTCATACCGCTGATGCTTCCTAGCATGGAAGCTGCCTTTTACGCGCTATCTGTCATGGATAAAGGGAGCTTGGTCATTAGGCCGGCTAGCTTGACAGAATTTGTTTCTGGATTTTAGCATTTCTTATAATTTCTCCTGCGCCCTTCTTTTGGTTTGCGGATGTGGAGAAGGGCCGGGCTGAAGGTTTGATGCTGGCGCAACGGCGGGCCTCGTGTCGCACACGTGCAGGTGGCATTCATGGTGATGGATCAGACATTCAATAACAACTATGAGTAGTCCTGCTTCATGGAGCTATCTCGAGCTCTCGCTCTGAGGCATTGTGGCCTCCGTTAAAGAGGCAATTGTCCATGAACTAGGGGTGGGAGTTCGGCGAAGCGTCATGATTGAGGGTTTCACCAAAAATGTATAGACCCATAGCAATGAAATCCAAGCCCTAACGGCAAGGGGGGTAATTACAAAAAGAGGGAAGTGTAGGTATAATAGTAGAGTAGTTTCCAGGACGTAATTATTGCTAGCGTAAAGGATGCTCCAGCCACCGCCTGTGCGGCTTAGTGAAGTGGCTTGTTGACCCTGACACACGGACGGTGACGAAGTCGGACCCACCAAGCAGAGCAGCAGCTTGATGAGCAGGCATCCAAAGTCACCACTTGTATAACCTAGACCCCTTTCCCTCCTGCGTGTTCCACAGCTGTTGCTTCAGAATGTCACTAGTCTCAGGTACGGGCTCTGCGTACCGCCAATAAACACCAGCTCATCAGGACAGAGGCCATCTGGGCAGCGTCCCCAACCACAACTCGAGGACAGCCGACACCTCTTTCTTCAGACCCCAAGGGCGAGCGCATAGCCTATGCTGTACGTAGATACTGACCCAGGGTATATTTCGAAGCCTTCCCCGAGCTAATTACAATGCGTAGTCTGGCAAATCCGTCTTCCTCCGCTCCATCGATGACCCCGCCGTCAGTAAACAATACACACAGCACACGACTCAGACCACTGTCGCTCGGTTCTCGCCATCTGGCTTCTATGTAGCTAGTGGAGATGTCTCAGGTACAGTCAAAGTATGGGACTGCGCGGGCGAAGGCGCTACAAAAGGTGTGTAAAGGGCGTTACGGGCGTTACACGATGCAGCAGCAGGTGCTTCAGTTACGAACCTGAGGTGGAGCTGACGAGTGTGTAGGTGATTATCACATCATCGCCGGGCGAATCAACGACATCGCCTGGGACGGCGACTCGCAGCGCATCATTGCCGTAGGCGACGGAAAAGAGCGGTTTGGGCACTGCATCACGGCGGACAGCGGCAACAGCGTGGGCGAAATTTCAGGACACTCCTCGCAAATCAATTGCGTCTCCATCCGCCAGCAACGGCCTCTCCGTGCGGCAACCGGCTCTGACGACACCAGCCTGGTCTTCTACCACGGCGCTCCCTTCAAGTTTAACACTAGCCTAAGAGGGCAGCACAATCGCTTCGTATTCGGCACCGCATTCGCTCCAGATGGTTCTGTTTTTGCGAGCGTGGGCGCAGACAAACGCATCTGGCTATACGACGGCAAAACTGGCGAGGCAAAGGGACAGATCGGCGAGGGAGTACATACGGGCAGCATCTTCGGTATCTCCTGGGCTAAAGACTCGAAGAGACTGGTGACTGCTAGCGCTGACCAGACGGTCCGGATATGGGATCCAGAAGCAGGCAAGGCTATTCAGACATGGAGATTGGGCGAAGAGGGTGTCACCAGTGTGCCTGATCAACAGGTTGGCGTTGTTTGGCCGACGGGCCGGAGCGATGGCCTGGTGATCAGTGTGGATCTAGAGGGAAATCTCAATTACCTCAACGACGGGAACCCGAAACCAACGCGAGTGGTGCGCGGCCACCAAAAGAACATCACAGCAGCCGGCATTGCTGGGTCTACGTTCGCTACAGGAAGCTATGAAGGCCGGGTCCTGGCGTGGGACCTCTCTACGGGACTCGCAGACAAAGTGGAAGGCGCTTCCCACTCAAACTACGTGGCCGGAATCACCACATCAGATAGCAAGGGCGAGGCTGAGCTTTACACTGTAGGCTGGGACGACACTCTGCGCTCTATCTCGGTCCCGAACATGATCTTCACTGGGGAGGCCAGCGAGCTCAAGTTTCAGCCTAAGGGAATCGCTGCGACGTTAGGCGCGGTCCTGGTCCCATCGTCTGAGTCGATAGCCGTGTACTCCAATGGCGACAGAGCAAGCTCATTCCCAGTTAATTACACGCCTACTGCCATCGCCGCGCACGGCTCCATTGTGGCCGTCGGAGGTGACGATAAACTCGTCCGCATCTACACGCTCTCAGGCACAGAACTCAAGGACACGGAAACAGTACTCCGCCGCGCAACCTCACCTATCTCAGCACTTAGTTTCTCATCATCTGGCAAGAAGCTCGCAGTAGGTGCCAGCAACGGCAAGATCTACGCATATGAAGCCTCCGCGGACTGGAAACTCATCACCGATAGGTGGAGCGCCCACACTGCGCGTATCACATGCTTGGCCTGGGACGAGAGTGAGAAGTTCACTGCGAGTGGCAGTCTAGATACAAATGTCATGGTCTGGAGCACCGAGGATCCGGGCAAACGAATTAAGGCGCTCAACGCGCACAAGGATGGAGTTACTGGTGTTGCCTGGGAGAAGACTACTAAGGTCATCTCGGCGGGCGGTGATGCAAGTATAAAGGTGTGGGCGGTCAAGGCGTAATGCACATCTACAAGACAGGACACCGTCCATTACGTGATGGCGTCACCTCATAGTCAGACTGTTGATAATGCTTGAAATTGAAAGCCCAGGATCGAGAAAGATTTATCTTGCTCGGAGGATGAGCGAACCTTGAAGGGTGCAAAAGGTGAGGCGGACGAGGCAAATGCCATTCGATAGGCCTGGACTTTCGAAGGCCGATGCAGTGGGTGTTTGCTGCTTACATGTGAAAATGCCACTCCTCATCCCTGCACTTCCATATCAGATCTGTCGTCTACCTACGGCCACTAAGTTAAACTATGTGTTGGACATGGGCGTATGTCATTTGTCATCTATCTTCCGTCTTTGCGATGTGCAAGAGTCATGCATGTACAGGTGTCCTTAGTAGCTTGCGCTTTTCCTTTCTACCTTGAACCGCCATCACCCCGTCGCCGACAGCGGTTCATGCCCTGCCCCTCCAGACTCTCTCGTTCTAATGACAAAGGCTTCATATTGCGAAGGCGGCATTCAATGACTTTCCAAGACGACATTGGACTTTCTCGTGTCCTCTTCCCAGCAAACCAATGTTTGTCAGCCCTGGTTGCCTTCTTTGCCTCGTCGCCACAGTATGCCTCTTTGCGCGAAATACCACGTCGAGGCTGAACGCATGCACGCCAAGCAGAGGTCCTTCAAGCAGGACGAACCAACGGGGCGTCACGCCCTGGGAATGATGGGAGAGGTATATGGCCGCTTCATTCCTCAAAAATGTAGTCTGTTTTCTCTCTCTTGCAGTCCATCCAGACCCAGCAAAGCATATTGGCACGACTGCACCTACTCGACATTAGCCTTCGTTTCAGTTCTATCAATCGTTCACTCGACTTGCTTCCCTTAGATGGCCGACTACACGTACCTCGACGGGGTCATAGCCGGTAGCGGCAACAGGCGTCACTTCTCTACCGATCAAAGCCCTGATCTTGAGCTTGCTAACGCCAATTCTATGGAGCTTCTTGTTCAGCAGCAAATCAATCAGCAACTACTTCTATCGCCAACAATACCCCAACGTCATGATTCGCTTTTCCAGTGTTCGCCCTCTACCACGCCGAGGCCTTCACTCTCCCAGCATCAGGCTGAGGCACAGGCTTATGCCCTTGCCTCGATGACCCCGCACACTACCAACGGCTACCTGCAGCGTCCGGTCAATATGTCGCGCTCTGCGTCACAGTACTCGTCGACGTCTTCCGGTCACTATCAGAGGTACAATAACCAACCCCGTGTGTCGCGCGGCTCGTTTGGCAACGCCTCGCCTCCAATGGCACCCGATATGTCACGTTCGGCATCACAGTATTCGGCCTCATCAACAGCCCAACAAGCTGCGCCTCAGCCTAGCGTGACTCAGCCGCACATCGATACCACTAACCACCTCCCAATACGGCCGTCGAACATACCGTCGAACCTACCGTCGACGAACTCACCAGCAAACCTTCGAGCTGATCAGAACTTAAAGTACCTACCAGATCCAATTTTTGAGTTCGACGTCAATGATATCATGGGTGGAACGCTGGGTGGAGAGGAGAGTGGGAACAAGATGATTGGTCCCGAGACTACTACAAACGTGTAAGTGCTCTCCATGCTTTTTGCACTATGTGATGAATGAGCCACGCAGTTTGACCCATGGACTGTTTCTCGGGTACGATCCGTAAACAAGACCGCCACCTAATTCATGCCCACCTTTTTGACCAGGCTGCCATGGATATTATATACTGCCATGGAAATTTAGACAAACAAAACACCAGTAATATGGTAAACTCTTGTAGCCACTAAGGACACCAAGAGCTTGATCAAGTCTCAGATCGCGATACACATTCTATCCAGAGCCTCCCTTATGTCTAGTCATTCGCCTCGCCAAACAAGAAGTATACAACACATTACCTGAACACCGGAGCCGTCCAAGACCTTACATCCACTTGAACCGAACTGCACTTCTCCTTGGCAGAACAACGGATGATTTCTCAGGTACATCAAACGCGGGCCATCCTTAGGGCTTCCGTCATTACAGGAGCTCCTGGCCTTCCGGTTTAGGAGTTAACTAACTGGAACACACATTCAAGTAGGATTTCTTAATTTGCCTGGGCGGATAACTACGATTTTAAGTTTCTGGTATAAAAGTCTCCAAGGCTTGTCACCCTGGTCGATCAAAGCCATTCATATTTTAGGAGTCTCGGTGAATAGACTAGAGCTTCAAGCTTTAAATCTTGTTCTGATGGTTGCCGAGCCAATCCTTAAATCCACGTTTTCTCCTTAGGCATCATCACAGCAAGCCTTTGAAGCATAACTATGCTAGCTGCTTCCACTGGAGAACCAGGAACAGAGGATGTCGCAACCCGGCGTTGTACAAAAATTTAAGTATGTAAGTCATCGCGCTTCATTTCTTTTCCATCTCTACAGCAGTCATATGCCAGAGTATAGGAGGAACAGCACTCGTAGCCGCCACAAATAGCCGAAAAAAACATCAAGCTCATTATTCACCAATGGAAATTCGACCAGGAATCGTTCACCGCTCTCCGGAAATGTCGTTTTCTGATCTACATACCGTTTTCTTACTTTGAAACTGGCAGCGACATTCTAAAAGATCCATTACTGGGCTACAAACGAACCCTCAACCCCCCTTTTCTTATCCGTAACTACTCGATAGTCACAGAGCAGCATGGAATACTGCCCTCGGCTGGACGCCCTGTAGTGCAGCCTTACACCCTAACTACCATCCCTCCCTATTCCAGTGATGTTCCGCTACATCTCCATATCAACGTATCGTAATACACCCGAAGGAAATTCTGGACCAGGAGATACAGCACAATACAACAGCCCATACCGTACGATCATGGTGCCTTGTAGTTGCCGACCAAGCCTACACGACAAATATTTGCCACATGTTTTCATATAACAGTCATGCTACAATTGGTCTGCGATTACCAGAACCTATTCTAACTACATGCTCATCAGAACTATGAACTTTCTGGCTTCCTCCTCACCTTCGTTTACTGCTATGGGATCTTTCGACCACCAGGCACCATATGAAGACCCAATGTAAGGTACCCCATACCTATTAAGCAGCGCATACGTAAGCTGACTGTCAACCCAGTCCTGTGACTTCGTGTTTAGATATCGAAAACACCACTGCTTCTCGTATACTCCCAATCTCCTCATCTCATCACCATCTTCTTTCACCGCAACCAGTTCGTCGCCGTCGCCGTGCCTCACCATCACCAGATATTCCGTCCGACCCAGTCATTGGCCAAGTAACTCGATTAGGAAAGTTCAAATGTCTCCACGCAGGATGTGATGATCTAACCTTCGGCCGCCAAGCCGATTTCAAACGTCATTACGAGAACGTTCATGCTCCTAGGAAATTAGAGTACTTCTGCCCCACAGAAGGCTGTTCACGCTCAAAGAAACCCGCAAACGGCAAGAGTAAGGGGCGCAGCTTTAATAATAGAAAAGATAAGATGGAAGAGCATGTAAGGACGGTGCATCATAAAGAGGGCAAGAAGAGAAAGCAGATCGAGGCGGTTGAGGATGATGACGAGGAGAATAGTCTTAGTGAGAAAGTAAAAGATAAACGAACTAGGGTGTCAGCGTCGGTGGTGCCAACTGAAGACAACGCATGATACACCGGCTAATCCATCTGCTACGTCTCGATGCCAGAGGCATCAACAACCTTTCGCCAGGAAGTTACCCCCAGGCGTAACTACTATGTCTTGAATCATGTTCTTATCTACGGAGTACAGCAGGCGTACATGCTACGCAAAGACTGGGGAGATCTTAATTCAAACGATCGACTCTGTTACGGAATTTGCTAAGACGTAGTTGCTACTATTGGAAAGGGACCACAAACAATCTTTGATAGCGTTGGTCAGATACGCTTCCTTGTACATATTTTCTTACTTTCATGTACGAGTGTTCCAATTGTCGCTACTTCTAAATTAAAGGAACGAACGATATTTCACAAAAAACACCGTCTCTGAATTATTTAGTTACACACTTTCTAGCATCCTTGTATGGCATCTTACTCTCGAGTAGAAATCATTGATGAATCACTTCTTGTTCTCAAACATCAGCGTATTTTCTTCTATCATCAGATCTTCCAGTATGCCCTCAATGTAATCACAAACATCTCCGCACTCAAAGTACTTTCACAGAACCAGCGATAGCTCAACTAGGGCGTAGGCGCTTTGGAAATGCTCTTCCATTATGCCCTTAGGTCGGGGTAGCTAATGACAACTACTGGCAAGCGAAGCGAAATGGCGACGGCATGAAGAGTAAGCAGCGTGTCTACGGCTCGGAGTGCTCGTTCTGAAAGGAACAAGTATTGCGACAACCGTAGGTCATTACTACACTTCGGTTCTACAAAGTTTGAGCGAGTGAAAGAGTTCATGCCAAGTGTAGTGTTAAGTGTTGATTTCAGAAGAATTGGCGATGATGCAGGGATATCTGCTTGGTGTGTGGGCTACCGGTAGTAATCTGGCCGCCCCACATACATATAGCCCCATCCATCCTCGTTTGGCCCGCAAGCATCCCACGAAATTCGCCTTCACAAATACCATTGAAAATTCGAACGATCTTGAAGAGTCTGTTGTCATGCGTCTCTTGGCTGCCGCCTTATTGGTTATGTCAAATGTCGAGGTTACGGCCTCACCTTCCAACGGCGTCAGTGCGCAGGACGTCATTGAGAAACTCAGTCTGAAACCCAACCCAGAAAAGGGCTTCTTTTGGGAGACCTTTGAAGACTCTGGCACTGTTAATAATCGGTCTTACTCTACGGCCATCTACTATCTGCTAGAGGGCAAGGTCGGTACGTCGAACTGGCACAGGGTCGTGGACGCCGTCGAGATATGGCACTTCTACTGTGGGGCACCTCTTAGGCTCGAACTTTCATGGAGCAACGGTACTGCGACGCAGCGCCGGATCCTCGGAAACCACATTTTTGAAGACCAATCGCCTCAGGTCGTCATCGAGAAAGGCCAGTGGCAAAGGGCGGAGAGCCTGGGGGACTGGACACTGGTGGGGACAACGGTTGCGCCAGGCTTCACGGAGAGCGGATTCGAGATGCCAGAACCGGGTTGGGAGCCAGATGATGAAAAATAAATGCAGGAGCACTGCCATCTTGACTGACTTGGCGCGATAAGAAGGTTTAGTGGGATGTCGAGTCGCACACAAGAGCTGGAGGTGCTGGTGCAAGGGGCTTGGTAGACCCACACTCTTGAGCTTCACCGTCAGCATTTTACTCTCCTCTCAGGATTCGATCTCTTTCTACGGTATGAGCGGCCTAACCCCCCAAATACTTTGGATTGAAGAATGCCAACCTCTTCCATTGCGACTATATCAGCACGTTTGCACAACGGCATCTCTTCCAAGTTACGAACTCCCTCTTAAACCAGCCAGGCACTCTTCGCCTAACAGTTCCCATTCTTGTAAAGATTGATTGATACTCATCATGGCAATAGCAAAGGTACCACTTTGGCGTCTGTGTGCGACCATTTTTCTGTGAAGCTAGCTCTACGGACTTCGCTTCGACAGGTCCGGACCATGGTTTACTGCCCTTTTAAGCCTCATAATGCAGATCATGCCTCAACAGAGCTATCTGAACTTCAAAACTATCGGCAAAGTCGAAAATCTCCAAGTCGCTATAAGTTTTAATTTGCGATGTCCGCCGTACGGTGTGATGCAGTACGATTGCATTTGACTGGACGGACCGGGAGCCTGGACGGCGCCTTGCGGAGATTACGATTGTGAAGTCATGCATGAATACTACGTGGACGAAAACCTGTTCCTGAATCTGGCCTATTACTGCTATGCGGCAACGACTTGGGGGAGTGATAGCTCCACAAATTACATCACCAACCATCCCTAGTACCCTCTCAGCTATAGAGGAAACCTCCACTTAGATTTGTCAGAAATCTATGCGAAATGGAACTCTGTATCATTGGACGGAATAACGGAGTCCGGAATCATAGTGTAGGTTCTTGCAAGCTGTTGTCTACTATACCGCACTCAAGCCATTTACTGGACGAACGAATGGTCATCTCGATATATTATCACGCTCCGTCAACGGTGATCTGGAATCGTACTTGGCTACAGCCGTTGCAACGTGGGATACACCTGCGTACCAGGGGTGTGCTTTTGGATTCACTGCATGCGGCTCATTGGTAGAATGGGTTGTTGTAGCAGGTCCATTGACTGGAAACCTCTATCTCATCAAATCATGACACCTAACATGGAAAATCCCCATCCATGAACCAGTATCACGAAGAACTTGCCAATACCTATGTGGTAGCCATCCAGCTGTTTTCCGTTAATCGTAGTGCCGTCTTGGAATTCTCCTCTTCGCTTGCAAGCGAAGCGACACGGACCTTAGCATACGAGAGCCATTACAGAACCTGGTCCTAGATTATGTTCTATTTCCGGTCACTCTAACTAGCCACTCCGTCAACCGGGCCTGCGGCCTCGCCATTGCATCCCAGTGCCCGCGTATGTTTTGATTCACTGATCGGCAACCCCTATCTATGTGAACCTTTCCTCTTCAGGCTCGAGCTATTATCTACCAAGAACTTCACGGTATCTATATAACCTAGAATTCGGTCCAGACTGAACTTCACGGCTATACCACATATATGTCTTCATGTGGCAGCACGATAGTCGCGAATCGAATGGAGTATGGATAAAGTGCTGAGCAAGGGATAGGACAGGCATGGTGTATACTGTGCATTCTGCGAGCCCTGTTGTCAAGGGGGCTCACGGCTGTAAAGAATGTTACTTCCCGGCCTCTTTTTCGCCTCCTGATCGAGTAATTAGTCTAGTGTCTATTATTAGGTAGACATACTTTACATGTACGCCCACGGACTTAGTCCTCGTTTCTCCTTCGCTTTCGGCTATCATGAAAGCAGTTTAGTCTTCGGCAGTACGGGAGATTCGGTGCCGACTACTTTGGGCGACTTTGCAACTAAGTCGCTGAGTGACAGATAAGCCGAACACCAGCGTGCGCCATATGTAGTCCGTTCCAGTAAATATCATAGAGCAGTATGAAGGTCTTCCCATAGAAACTCTCGTTCTTCTACGCCTCAATAAACGGGCTATTCATCAAATCTCCGTCGAAATTATTGACTACGTGGACATCGCGCTCGTGTTCGCTACGAGCGACATCAAGAAGTCTGTCTAGCGACGACGGAGATGAGACGACCACATCTGGGCGCTTCGAGGCGCACATCAGCCCAAGAATACCCTATTCTACCACAGTATGCTACTGTAGCCGCATTGTACTCCGTGCTTAACGACTATAAGAATATGAGTCTTTTCTGCTTCGAGTCTCTAGAGTAGCCTCAAAGCAACGCTCGTTTCCATTTATTAGTTCTTCTCCATTCTCTTCTTTCCAGTCTTTACAAGTATCGCCCCCTACTGTCCTTTTATCAAACGATCATGAAGTCTCTCTTAACTTTGGGTGCAGTCCTCCTCGGACTCTACAGCTCACTTGTCAACGCGGCAGCTATTCCCGCTGAACATGTCAAGCTTGCTCCATTCACGCCGAAACGGGATGTTCCTGAAGAGGCCCAGTCGTCAACTTCGTGTGTGAACGGTCCAAACACCAGGAACTGTTGGTCTCCTGGCTTCAGTATGTTACTATCCTCCCAGGATTTAAAAGGCATGAGCTAACAAGGACAGCTTCTTCTACCGACATGTACACTTCCTGGCCTAACACAGGAGTTGTGCGTGCATATAACCTTCGAATCGAGAACACCACTTGCAATCCGGATGGCGCTGGCTCTAGAGTCTGTATGCTGATCAATGGTAAGACTACACCAGATGTGTAGGACATTCCAACTCACATGCCTTAGGTCGAATTCCGGGGCCAACAATCGTTGCTAACTGGGGGTAAGAAGCAATCAACATCCGCTTGTTAAATCCTCGACTAATTCCGTCTAAGTGATACAATCAGAGTTACCGTCCGCAACCTGCTTCAACACAACGGCACATCCATTCATTGGCATGGTTTCCGCATGCTAAACAAGAACATCCAGGATGGTACTAATGGAATTACGGAATGTGCTCTCGCTCCTGGCGACATCAAGACCTACGAGTTTCAAGCTACTGAGTATGGTACAAGCTGGTATCATAGCCACTTTTCGCATCAATACGGAGACGGCGTCGTTGGCACTGTTCAAGTGAACGGCCCCGCTACCGCAAACTACGACGAAGACCTCGGAGTCATGCCTATGACGGATTGGTACTATATCACAGCGTATCAAGCGGCTGCACGTGCATTCCAGAACGGACAGGCTGGCCTTGGTCCCCCGGTTGCCGATAACATCCTGATCAATGGCACCTCCAAAAACGCAGCTGGTGGCGGCACGTATAACAAGGTGACTATCCAAGCGGGAAAGAGATATCGGCTACGCCTTATCAACACCTCTGTCGACACCAACCTTCGCGTTAATCTTGACGGCCATCCATTCTCCGTCATTGCCACAGACTTTGTCCCTGTCAATCCATACACCACCAATTATATCCAGATCGGAATCGGTGCGTTGATATATAGCCCTTAGTCTAAGTGTCACTAACAAAATTACTTCAGGACAACGGTACGACGTTCTATTCACAGCTAACCAGACTGCCGGGAACTTTTGGTTCCGTGCTGTAGCTGATTCGCAATGTCAATCGCGAACGGCCCTCGAGGGCCGCGCCATCTTCACCTACCAAGGTAAAACCGTCGCTGATCCCACCACAACCCCTCCTGCCACCCCACCCACGGGCTGCCTTAACCCAGTTACAACACCCAAGATCGTGAAGAACGTCCCCAGCTCCACATTTGCCGCGCAAGCGAAAACTCTCCCCGTCGCCATCGGCCCTGTTGCTGCTCAAGGTAATACCGTGCTTTGGACTATCAATGGCACCTCTATGGTTGTGGATCCTGGAAACCCGACCATCAAATACGTGGCACAAAACAACAACATCCCACAGTCATACAATGTCGTCCAGATACCTTCAACCTCTGCATCTGTAGTATGTATAATTGTGTTCATTTTAGTCTCTAACTAACTGTAATAAGTGGACCTACTGGGTGATCCAGCAGGCAGCTGGCGCGCCTCCTATTGCCCACCCTATCCATCTTCACGGACACGACAGTCACATCTTGGGCGCAGGAACCGGCCAGTTCAGCGTAGCCAACAACTTCAATCAACTGCGCTTTACGAACCCGCCTCGTCGCGATGTTGCCCAGCTTCAGGGTGGCGGCTGGCTCGTTATTGCATACCCTACCGATAACCCAGGAGCTTGGCTTATGCACTGTCACATCGCTTTCCATGTCGGCATGGGTCTAAGCATTCAGTTCTTAGAGCGTAAGCCCCAAATCGCTCTCCCGGCGGCAGGCTCGGAGTGGTATAGTACATGTAATAAATGGGCGGCAGTGAGTGATGGCCTTCATCTTTCATAACCGTTAACACCTACTAAAACTTTAACAACAGTACAAGGCCGGCACTTCAGACATCTACCCACAAGATGATTCGGGTCTCAAGAAGCGCTGGCCTCCTATCCTTAACGGGGATTCGTCCTTTGAGATAGCGTAAGCAAAAAGAGATATCAGGCCTGCCCCTCGTCTTGGAAAGCGAAACAATACCCGATTGCAGCCTAATACCGATTAGTGGGCCTTTTCTGCTTGATAAATACTGTAAACTTCGTTCTTTCCTACATTCATTCGTTTACATTCTTACACTCGCTTCGACTTTACTTCACTTCACCTCAGGTGCATACCTGCACAACATTCACCTTCCATTTCCCTACCGTACTATAAAAGATATGTACATAGTTCTTGATCTTCACTTGTCTTCACTATATATACTTGAGAATAAAGCACTTGTCCATATCGTCACACCATCGAATGAGAAACTCTGTCTAACACGGACATGCTCCCCATTAACGGACTTGTGAAGCGACATGCAGTAGTGACCTACCATATAGCCAAGAAGTGGGGACTAAGTGCATGCAGGGCTAGCCAATCAGTGTGTGCCTTTAATTTGCCGACAGTAAAGGTTCAAGAAAGCGGGGAGGGGAAGTACGTCCACAACCACCACATCTAGAAGCTTACAGGCAGGTCTTGAAAACACCGGTAGTCTCGCCGTAAGTAGCCTTCTAGGCTGTACCGTACTAGGCACACAACCGGCCAGTAAGAGCAAATGACCCAGCCAAGGCGGCACCATTCACCAAATGGGGTGCGATAGAAGGCTTTGAAGTCCAGAGTCTTGCATGGACTAAGCACATTGGACATGCGCGGTGGGGTTTATGCCCTCGTACCCCGCAATATATCCCTTTGAATCGCATGGGGAAGGGTGGGGAGCGCAGTGCTGTGAGACTTTAAACGCCCGACTACCGCAACTTGCAGACACATATACTATTCTTCCTTAACGGCATAGCAGGGATGGCAGCACCTACAGCAACAGGACAACCGACCGTGGCCGGCGCCGGCTCCGATAGAATAGACAAAGAACCGCAGCTAATGCATACTTCTACGAACATCTCTTTGAGCCCAGAGCTTTTCGAGAAGCTATATTTGGCTCCGAAAGTCCCGCATACGGCAGATATCGCTGGTAGATATGCAAATGCGACCCCCTTGGGATTTCTTGGGTAAACTATATTGTAGGGACAGAGAAACAAGGGTACTGACCGCAAATAGCTTCGTTATATCTACATTTACTTTCAGTATGGTGCTGATGGGATGGGGTGGCGCAAGCGGACTACCTGCTGTTGCGTAAGCCTTATAATGCCTTCAACGTTAACCTGCTGAAATTTACCAGTGGTATATTTTTCTTCACAGGGCCTGTTCTCCTCCTTCTCTCCACTATATTTCTCTGGATCCAGGCACAGTTCTTCCCAATGGTTGGTTCCATCTTGCTCTGGAATATGTACTTCTTGCCAGGAATCTAACCTCGTGCAGATGGTGTGCGGTCTATTCTGTGTTTTTTGGCTATCCTTTGGGCTTCTCCAATTACCTACACTTGGACTAGCAGCGGCATACTCGCCCACTGGGGACGCAGCAGCAGGGGTATTGTCGAAAGAGATGAACGCCGTCATTGCGTTATATCTCTTAGTCTGGGGCTTCGCCTTGGGAACGTTCTGGTTGTTCACAATTCGGATCAATGCGGTGTTCGCTGGGATTTTCGGGTTCGTGACAATCGGATCTTGGGTACTCAGTGGTGCTTATTGGGCATTGAGCAATGGGAAGCTTCAGAAGGCATTGCGGTTGCAGAAGGTGGGATATATCCGAGTTATCGGACTGATAGGATCACTGACAATGCACAGGCTGGTGGTGCTCTCCTATTCATCGTGGGATTACTAGGTTGGTACATGCTATTCGTGATCATGGTCGCAGAAATGCGGTGGTCTGTAAACCTGCCGGTCTGGGATCTAAGCCACTACTGGAAAAAGACTGATATCGAATTGGCAACGATGGAGAATGGGAAGAATGACTAGGCCCTCCAAAGCGTTCCGTGCGCATATTGTTCTTATGGTTTCAAAGTTACCGAGCTGAGTGGGCTAGGAACACAATCTCGTAGATTGCGAAACAGGAGGTACGAGAGTGGTCAAATTGTGTATTTGTAAAATCCACAGATAGCTTTCGTTTCGAAGGTATGAACGATTTGTAGTCTCTGAGTAGTTGATGTGGCTTTACCTTCCTAGTGAAGCAGGAACGCATTAAGCTTGCGTCTACCCCAGTGCCAGTTCTTAGGACTTAGGCGAACCAAGCGTATACTCTCAGTCTACTAAGATTAAAAGGTTGCTATGACATTCTTTAATTGTAAGCTGATATACTTGGGAGATATGTGGTAAACCTTTGCCAGACCTCTGTCGTGTCGATATAGAGGTGCATGATCGTACATAGCTGACATGCATTTCTATAATCGTGAGAGATGTACGGCACTAAGAGGCATAGGTGGCGTTATCTTACCCCCTGAAGACATTTAGGGGCAATGTTATTACAAGCGCCTACGCCCTAGGACTACCTGTTGAGCTATCACTACTCTATATGAATGTAGTCCGGAGGCGGACCGACACAAGGCTAAGTGGTAGTAAAAGCCCGGCTTAAACCTGTTGAACTTGGCTGCTACCGAGTATATGAGAGCGTAGCTGGGTATAAGTGGATATTTACTATAGACAAGCCAAAACATTCCCTGAAAATGGCACGCAAATTACCTCCATAGAACCGGTGACAGCTCAATACTAGGGCGCAGGCGCTTTCGATTTTCCCCTGAAACTGGGAGACGAGTATTTTGTGTTTTGTGTTGGCGTTCGGGGGGAGGGACGTGCGGAACCGGACGGTTCCACAATATGTCTCTGCGTAACGTTTTCCGATAAGGGATTGCAATCCGACGCTTGACGCCACACGAACTGACCTCCGCCAATCTCCAGGTTTTGCGGGGAAGCTCGGGGTAACCGCTCCAGAACGCACTAAGTATTTAAGCTGATTATTCTTTGGCATCAAACCTGGGAACTTGCTGTGCGGTATTGTGGATGTTTCCGTATTTCTATATTCACCATGACGCCACACGACGACGACAAGTTGACTGCGACACGTATTGATACAGTCAAGAGCGCGGGTGCAATGCACCAAGATGTTCAACTACACGACTCCGACGATGCATACTCTGCCAACGAGGATATTGTCCGGCACCTACAGACCACAGGTGAGGAGGTCGGAATGTATGCACTCATTCATATGATTCAAGCACGACGACTAAGAGTGATCAGAACCTTTAGTACGCTTATGGCAGCAGTGTCGATGGCGATGTGCTACAATGCCTATTTATTCACCCTACTAATTCCGCCATCTATTCTTTCGTATATAAATGCGGATCTCGGACCCGACTCTCGCTATACATGGATCACCATCTCTTGGAATCTGGGTGGCGCGATATTCGTGACTGTCGGTGGACGGTTGTCAGATATCTTCGGTCGTCGATGGTAGGTGATCTTGAGTTTAAAGCGTATGTAAAACATGCTGCTGACTTGCAATCTTGATATAGGTTCTTCATTGCTGGCGCGTGCATACTGATCATCGGCAGTATCGTCTCTGCCACGGGACAAAGTATCAATCAAATGATTGCAGGAGGCGCTCTGTTTGGATGCGGCTCGGGTTTTCTTGAGATGGCCTTTGGCGCTGTCCAAGTAAGTCGGTGCCTCTTTACGGAGCGGCACTAACAATTGCAGGAAATCGTACCGAGCAAGTATCGACATGTAACCATCGGACTTTTTGATGCGGCCTCTATTATAGCCCAAATCATGCCTCTCGTCTCCTGGTCAGTTCTTTAGGAAACATTTCTCTGTCACTGGCTAAACGCGAATAGGGTCATTATCAAACGGACGAAGAATTGGCGGATCTGCTACTATGTCATGATTGGCTTCCAGGCTATCAACCTCATCTTACTCTTTTTCTTCTACAACCCACCTTCATGGAAGGAAAAGAAGATCGCACACGGAAAGTCCGCTCGTCTGCTTCTGCGAGAATTTGACTGGCTTGGTCTATTCCTCTTCCTCGCTGGTTGCACTCTCTTCATCGTTGGTGTTAGCTGGGGTGGATCGATGGCTCCTTGGGTATCCGCCACTGTGCTTGCACCTATAGTTTTTGGCTTGTTGACCCTGATTTGCTTGGGTTTCTACGAGGCCTTTTATCCGCTGAAGGCGCCACTGTTCCCTCCGCGTTTGTTTCGGGCTCTGCGGCAGTAAGTCAGAGTGATTCATTGGTAAAGCTGCTACTGACGAACGTAGCTTTACTGTTCCCATGTTAGTCATGGCTATCGGTGGTATGCAGTACTACTCTAACGCTACGCTTTGGCCTCGCCTCTCGCAGCTCATCTACGCCAGCGACGAGATCTCGAAAGGTCTTTACGCAGAAGTACTTCCCCTTGGTACTATTTTGGGCGGTATTATTGTAATGTTCAGCAGGGTGATCGGTCATCAGCGTTGGGTGATCATGTTTGCTGTCGCTTTACAGTAAGTGCGATGAGACATGCGAACGAGTCTCAAGGGGTCTAACAATCTTAGAACTGCTTGCGTTGGTGCAATGTCGACTTCCAAAATGGACAACCCAGTCCAGTCAATCATCCTCACTGTCGTCATATCGACTTGTACATCCGTCAACCTCCTGAATGGTATGGTACTAGTGGGCTTTGGCATTGTCTATCAGGAGGACATCGGCACTGCTGCTGGTCTCGCCGGAACCTCACGTCTCCTTGCTGGGGCCGTTGCTACTGCTATATTTAGCAACGTGACGAACGGAAAATACGGAGACTCCCTTCCTGCCGCCGTGCGCGCTAACCTGGCACCCTTCAACCTCTCGTCCGATATAGTCACAGAGCTTATCACGGCCGCCAAAGCTAATACTGCCGCCGGATATGCTGCTATTCCCGGAATCACTCCCGCAATTAGGGCCGCAGCTAGCTTGAGCAACAAGCAGGCGTATCTTGAGGGCGCTCATCTGTCATATTTAGTCGCCCTGGCATTTGGGCTATTGGGTGTGGTGGCGGCGTTCTTTATCCCATCTGTGGATAAGCGGAAGTACACGGAGAAGACTGTCGCTGTTCAGAAGTCGGATTGGAAAGCGCTACAGGAGAAGAATTTGGACGAGGCCTCCGCTGTCTAGAAGCGTGATAGCACACGACATAAGAGAGACTTTCTAAAGTGGACGAAATATAAGCTTCTACAAAAGGAGGCTCCTGTGCAGTCCCGCACCGTTGAATTCGTGATAGTGTAATGCTTGCCTTAACTTCCAAAATCAGCATATCATCAAGGTTCCCGATGATTTTAATCTGCACGCATATGGGGAAATTCGCCATGTTGAAGTTGAATTTGCGCGTTGTAAAGGAGGAGAGGTATTTATGCTCTCTATAACAACGCACAAGAAGTGGATATAATTCAACTGTCGAAGATACGCCTACCCTGATTACACAGGTAGTTAAAGGTATCCAGGCCATTTTAGGTAATTTCTAGCCCTAACTGGCTTTTTTACGCAGTTTACTCGGGTGAGTGCTTCGCCTTGCGAGATACGTTATCTAAAGACTTCTCAATTAGGTTTAGTAATTTTACCCCCTTTTTATTACAAGTAGCGTTCCTTACCCAGTTAGTTTGCTATTTTTAAGATTTCCCAAGCATTATTCACACAAGCATATTCACTATTATTTCTCGGAAATCTTCATTAAGGTCAGTTAGCTCAGTTGGTAGAGCGTGGTGCTAATAGTATATTTATATCTGTTACGCTAAGGTCGCGGGTTCGAGCCCCGTACCGACCAGCTTTCTTTTTTTCTAAGTTTATTCTAATATATTCTCTCATTTTTAAGTAAAGTTTACACTAGAAGAGCGGATTATATGTATAATACAACGCAGTAGGAGTTTCTTTTATAGATAGTATAACTATTGTGGGTAAAGGTGCAGGTCTCTTGTAAACTTTGTGTTTATTGTGTACTAGGTTCTCTACTTTTTAGGTAACTTATTTTGCTTCTACGTAGGATGCTTAAAGTATTCTCTAACGCGTATAACTCTACAAAGAGATACTAAGCACTTATTCGCTCAGTACTACACTCTTGTAGCCCTACTATAAAGTTAGAAAACGCCGAACCTAGCAGTTTACCTATTGGCTATTGTCCCTGTTGTTTAAGCTCGTGCTTATGGTGTTCCACCAAGGCACTGCCATTCTTCTGTGAGCGAAGTTGGTCTAGACTTGCGTGCCATAGTTCTTTACCCTCTAGAGAAACCAAGCTAACCCCTCGATCGTTGGAATCCAGGATCCTGCTCCCTGTTTTAAGAAGATACGGGCCGTAAGTTGAGAAACCGAGCCTTTGTATTTTCACGGCCTTGCTCTGTTTGTTGCGGAGCACCCAAATCCTAACCCTTCCCATCTTGCTCATCACCGGTCTATGTCCATGCCAGTATTCAAACGGCCCCTTTTCTCCTGTCTGTCCAAATTGACGAATCTCTCTTGAATTGTAGCCCTTGCTAGCAACTGGAGGTCTTAATAGGGGCGTGGCTAGAGCGGAAGACAGGGCCAAAGGCGGTGAAAGGCTTGGCGGGGAGTCTTCCACCAGAGCCTTCGATAATGTCAAGTCTGGATGTGGTTCTGGACCCTGAACCAGCCTATTTGGGACAAATCCACTAAACGACAGTGGAGGGAAAACATCCAGGGTGCGTGTGAATCCAGGATGTAGTTGTGTCGAGGTATTTGCGGAAGGATCTAAACCAGAGTAGGCGATATATCCAAGTTGAGAGTCTTGCGGTATCGTAAGACGTCATGTGCATTTCTCCTCTCTACACCTTTTTCTCCTTGCGATATACTTCCCGCTCTTGGCGCACCAAAGCGGTTGGTAATCTTTGTCTGGTAGACCGCAGGCTTTGCATCTAACTTGAATGACTGACGGTTTGGTTAGATCCAATACATACTTCTGGGATACCTTAGTCTTGTTGAAGCGTACAATCTCTACAACTCTAGTAAGCATTACCAGTCTCTAATTACAACAGTGCTACTGTACCTAGTTCATCCGGAGGGGGCCGTACCCGGCTTATCGGCCTTAATTTGTTAGGCTTAATCAATTCTGCGATATTCTTCGCAAGTTCCTCTCCAGCAACGACGGCAAGCTTCCTCGATTCAATGTAATGATGTGGTCGAACACCGCTCTTATTGATCATAGTCGTATTAAAACTCTTGTAGAAGCCGTCTTTATAGATTAGGCCAGCTAACTCGTGCGCAACACGTAAGATTGTGTCCTGTCGAACGCCATAGCGCGCGCCCCCAGGTGACAAAAAGGCTTGTGGGTGATAGGCGGGCACTACGAAACGTGCGAGAGACTTTCCGGGCAGTGAATCGGTCGATAACCATTCCAGATATAGAACAATGTCTTTGTATCCACCCCATAGTTGTAATGGCTCGAGATCGTAAATCTGCGGCATCCGTTCGCTGACCTTTTTACCATACACGACCTCCACCTTTGCCGCCATATTGGACCGGATCTTGGACAGCCATGTCTCGTGGAGATCAAGGATAGTCTGCGGATATACCTGTAAACCATCCACACTCTCACGACGGGAGAGGTGATCGAAAATAAATGTCTTTCCTGACACGAAGTTATTTGCAATTATCATCCAGATGCAGGAACTCGTTGCATCTTCCGTTTCTTCCTCATGTGGTGTAAGAGTTTGGAAGGAAGGATTGTGCAGATAATGAGCGATGGGCCATGAGAGGCTACCTGAGGGAGCTACTAATTCGTCTTTGCGCCGGGGGTGGGTCCATGACTTTGACTCAAGCTCCTGGAACTCGCGAAATGCTTCCGGAAGATTGAATCCACATTCTTGCTGTGTTTGACACACTGTACTCGCGTCAATACAGAGCAGAATCGTACATACTGTACTGAACTTACCAGGAGTTGCTATAGATTCTAGTTGACGTAGATATGGTTCAAGCTGCTTTAAACGGTGGAGGGCGTGCGGGTGAAGGTGTTGCTCAGGCGAAGAGCCGGAAATTACCAAAAAGGCGATATCCACTATCGTCTTGCGCTGCAAGAAGAGGCGCACTCTCGTATGTCGGAACCATAAGAGGGCGTTGTCAGTCTTGTGGACTGGGTGTTTCGGTGCTTGATTATTGGTGCGGCACAACAAGCCGTAGCGAAAATGTGATTGAAGCCACGCCTGCCAAGACCAACAAGCTCGGCTATATTAGATACGGTATGCCAAGCTAGCCAGTGCGTACTATAAATTTTTTATATTACTATATAAATCTAAAATAACCTAAGAGTTTAGATAATTAAATAAAGTATATATAATATTATAGTTTACTATCCTTCACCAATCAGTTAAGGTCGCTTAGCTCAGTTGGCTAGAGCGTGGTGCTAATAACGCCAAGGTCGCGAGTTCGACCCTCGTAGTGACCATTGAAGTTCTTATTTTTTCCTATTTTTGAAAACTGAAAGCTTAATTAAGGATTAGAAACAGTTACCTTTTTGTGTTGCTAATTCTGTCTCTTTGTCTGTAAAGTCCTCTCCTCAGCTGCCTTGAACAGCCATGCCGGCCACCTGTCCTATCATATCGCACGTGTTGTATTGCCAACTCACACAGTACGACTATACCTCCTATAAAACTGGTCTGCACAAGCATCACGGGGGCTGGTTCATCTGCCCGCAGTCCTAGCGGGTTTCGATGGGTTAAACCCCAAGGCCGCCGGGCCCACATCTCTTCTCCTAGCATCGACATGGGAAACCCTGCATCCGCTATTTGCTCCAAAGTCAAGATAGACGCATCATTTGAATAGTCGCGCACAGTTAGATGCGGGACTGGTGCAAAGGGTCGAATCTTATGAGGTTGGTGGCGCACTTGAAGCCGAATGAACATTCGCTACTTGACCGGCAGCCCAGGGAAAAGTACGCCCTCGGCGTTCTGGTCCTTGTGTAATCGTTGAGGTAATTAACTGCTGCATCTGCAAGCGCTTCGATTTCGTGAGTAGTGTCCTGTATCAGTCTTCTTTATAGGGGACGTTTGGCGACTTTGATGTTAATGTTGTAACACCCGTATTATAGTTTGCGTCTTGTTCCTTTTATTGAGAAATCTGTAATCAAATACGTTGAGCAACTGTAGAACTAGTTATATACCGTGTTTCAACTTTGCCTGGCAGTACTTCATGTAAACTCGGAATGACCCACATAAGGCGCAGTGGCTGCATGCTTCAACCAATGCATTACTACTATTACAGCTTTGGCAATTTCTGGGTAATACTGCATGGTCTGCCTTACGTTCAGTCATGAAAAGTCTTGTCCCATGCTGCATGGTTCCTAAAGTCGTGTTCGCTCGGATTGCCCCTTTGGCTAGATCGTGCCGCACGGCTCGCACAGCGCCCGCAAAATGCAATGCTGCCCAACCTTTTCCATATTCCATGGGCCGATTGTATCTAAATACCTCAGGATGGAAACAACGCAATTGGACGTATTTCGAGCCGAGGACCCCTGGTTTTGAAGATGGGTAGTAAAGTGAGCCGAGCCGCAGTGTTTGTGGGCGTCAGCCCGGTGGCTGAGTGGCTGCAGTGCGTTGTCTGCGTTTGACTAGCAATATTCGTACTCGACTACCGTCTGTGCAATCCGAAAGTCTCGTCTTACATGTCGTCTAGCAATTTCTAGCAAGGGCGACTCGTGAATGGCGTGTTGACAAGATTGAACGAGAAAGTAGAGCGATTGGTTCTGCTTCGACAGAAACATCTCCACTCTTCTCGCGTGGAAACCGGGAGTATCCACCAGTCCTACGTGCCGACATCCCGGCAATTGTTTATTAATGAGGAAAGGCCTCCTCTTGTGGAACCCGTGCACGAGTGGTGACATAAATCTGGCGTCGAAAAGATATCAATGTGTAGTAGGTCTCCAAAAGGTTGACAGTGAATTCGAAAAGGTATCTCGGGCCTCAAAGAATATATCCAAAACAAAACTCATGACTTTTCCGACCTTTTCCAGATTTGAACAAGCCCAGCCCCGTTTAGACTCCCACATGCCACGTCTTGCCATCCGCAATTGCCTGTCTCATCACCCTACCGACCCCATTCAGCCGTGCGAAAACGTGCAAGATCCTAGTCTTGTGCACATGTCGGTTATTGAGAAATGAAAGTTAAAAAAAAAAAAAGATACAATGTTCATAATACCCCAGAACTCCGCGGGTCTCATGCAAGCCAAAGTCGAGACCGTTCGATGCAAACGCCGCCCCTATGCCGACGCCGTGTGAAGGGGTACTTTCTATCAGTGAGGTTGCTGGTGACAAGGAATGTATCGTAGCTCGTGAGTGCTGTAAATCCAAATATATATGTTCGAAGTGTCTTATGCATCACAAAATGACGCACTTTGGCTTTTCCTTGATCCTTTTGTTGTTGCCATGACCGCCCCTGCCACGCCGACCGTCGACGATTCCTCGCGAGCGGTCTTTTTCGTGGCCACTGGGGCGTACTCGAGACTCTTTCCTATCGGTCGGGGTGCGGCCTCCGCCCTGGTGTCGTTGTCGCCGGAGCTGGCGGACGACGTCGAAGAAGGCCTTTTCCACATTGACGCAGTTCTTGGCGGATGCTTCGACAAAATCGCAGCCGAGGACTTTGGCCAGGGCCTGTCCCTCCTGTGTAGACACCTCGCGCTCGGTGACGCGGTCGCATTTGTTTCCAACGAGCATGACGGGCGCCTGTCCGAAGGCGGGTGACGATGCGCTGAGGGGCGAGCCGGGATAAGTAGGAGAACCAGCCATGGTCGTCTCCTTGACACGTTGGATTTGGCTGTGGAAGCGCTGGATGCGGGTAAAGGAGGAGCGCGATGAGATGCTGTAGACGAGGACGAAGCCCTCGCCGTCACGTATCCACTGGTCGCGCAGGGCAATGTACTCCTCCTGGCCAGCCGTGTCGAGGACTTCGAGCATACACGACTGGCCGTCGATCTGCACCTGCTTGCGGTACGAGTCCTCGATGGTGGGGTCGTATGTCTCAACGAAGTGGTTCAGGCACAACTAGCAGCGGTCAGAAGTGTCAGGCAGGCAATAAAAGAACGGAATGACAAGCGCACCTGTATGGTCAGGGCGGTTTTGCCCACGCCGCCGTCGCCCAGCACCACCAGCTTATACAGCGTCATCTTCCCCGCCATCTTGCCGGTAGTAGCGCGGCTTCACCCTCGCAGTGCAAGCAGCGATGACCTGCAGGATGGGTGCAAAGCGCGGGACGGGTATGGGTTCTTCAAGGCAGCTGGCAGGTGTGTGTTGCACAGGCGGACGGTCGAGGCGGAAGCGTGGGCCTGTGCAGTAACGCCGACGCAGAAGCGAAGGGCAGAAGAAGCGAGCGGGGATGGGATGAGATGCGCCTGACAGAGCGGAGGGCAGCAAGGAGGAGCAGAGGCTGCTGGTTGCAAAGGAGGGTATGGTAGAGGAGGGGAGAATTGGCAGATGGAGAGCTTGTTGGGCGGGCTGAGGGCGGGCGATGGTGGTGTGCAGGCAGGCCGGCAAGCAGGCAAGCAGCTGCACGTGAAGAAGACGACAAGCTATCACCTATCAATCAACAAGGTCGATGAATAAGGGCTGCGTCGCATGGACGCGGGCGACGTGGGATAGGGAGGCAGCGGGCGAGAGGGTGCGAGAGTGAGTGGACGGCAGGAAAGATGATGATGATAGCGCGGCGGTGATGGAAAAGGGAGGTCAAAAGCAACGCGCGATTCGTGGGCCAGGGCAGGGCAGCCGGGGGGTGTGCGAGGGTTTTACGCTGGGTTGAGGTTGGCCACTGAAGAGTGAGAGAGCAGGTGGGCAGCTTGGGCTAGGCCAACTCGACGCACCACCAGCACCACCAGCACCACCACCAGCACCACCACCAGTACCACCAGCGCCCGCTCGCCGTGTGCCGTGTACTGTGTGTACCGTGTGCCGTGTACCGTGTCTCTACCGCATCTCCCTCCCCACTCGCGGTGCTACGGCAGTGCGCTCAGCAACCAGCGAGACGGTGAAACGGTGTGAGAGAGGATGAGGAGAGAAAATGGCTTATTATGCATCATCATCATTATCATTATGGTACTCACTCGCATGCATGCAGGGCCCTAGGTAGCCATACCTACTACTACTACTACTCCTACTACTCCTACTACTCCTACTACTCCTACTACTCCTACTACTACTACTACTCCTACTACTACTACCACCACCACCACATACTGTACCTCGTCGAATATATACCACCATATCAAACTTTGATTCCAACTTATCAACCGAGTGGCGTACCCTTCAACCCCCGTCGAGCAGTCTAAAGTCATCAAATGGCCAGACTGACTGTGCGTCTTTGCAGCAGGCTTTTTCCCTCCCTGCTGGCCCGAGACGGTAGCCGACAGGTGCTTGGCGTCTCTTCCTGCTGCCACCCATCCCGATCCGACGGCATCACTGAACCAACAGACGCCCTCTCCGGCAAGCGTTTGGTCCATGCATGGGGCCTGAGTTCCGGACGGCTGCTATCTCCTGGGAATTTCAATCTAATAAGACGCATCACCACGCCTACTCCCGCGGCTTATTATTGGCGACGATTCTGCCGGTACGAGACGACGCGTTAGTTCTCCTTGGTGCTAACCCAAACAGCCACAGCCCGCCCACTCCTCCAGCTGCTCGCTCGCCAAAATTCCATGACGGGCCAGTCGACCCGTCTCTTGACAGCTGCACAGCTGCATGCACTGGTCAAGGGCCCACGGGCACTGTTCCTGCAGCGCCCGCAGATAGATGCGAGCACGTGACATGCGACTACGCTGACGGGAGCGAACGAGCGAACCCTGCCAGCACACAACCAATAGCACTTGTCTCACTCATTGGCACGGCCAACGGCCCGCTGCGAGGACTCTCAAGCTCACACCATCTAATCACATCCTGTAGGCCCTTTTAGCCCAGGCAGTAAGCGACGCGCGCCTAACAAAACCAACCCGCAAATCAACACGGATACAACAGTTAGTTAGAGCTTTGCCCGCGCCTCCGTAGCCTTGTGCAAGTCCTTGCCCCTGACTTGAAAGTACTCCCGCACCTTTTCCCGTGCCACGCTCACAGCCTCGCCATCCTCAATCGTGCTCGGCACATTGACCTCCTTGTCAAACTCCTCGTGCGTTGCATTCTCGATAAGCTCCCTCAACACCCTTCTCAGTGTCTTGCCACTCCGTGTCTTGGGAATCATGCCTTTGCCTTGAATGATTCCGCCAAGGGCCGCAATGCCGCCAATCTGCTCACGCACAAGCTTCTGCACCTCCGCAAACAGCTGCTCGTCCGCCACCGCAGCATCAGCATGGTCGTGCGTTGCAAGCGTAATAAACGCAAAAGGCAGATGCCCCTTTAACGCGTCGGGGATTCCAATTACCGCAGCCTCGGCGATAGAGGGATGGGTGGTTATGGCTTGTTCAATAGCACCTAGGGAGAAATCAGCTCTAGAGCAATGTCGGACCAAGTCGACAGCCTACCAGTACTGAATCGATGGGCGGCGACATTGATCACATCGTCGGCCCGTGACATGATTGAGATGTAACCGTCCTCATCAATCATGCCTGCATCACCCGTATCGACCCATTTCCCATTGAATCTCTTCAGATAGCCCTTGTAGAAGCGCTCTTCGTCCTTCCAGAGCGTTGTAAACGCCGACGGCGCTAACGGTATGCCCAGAACAATATTGCCCATCTCACCTCTCCTTAACTCCCTTCCCTTGTCATCGACAATGCGCACGTCGAAGCCCGGCATTGCCTTTCCAGCAGAACCAGGCCTTATTGGAAGCGGCTCTGGTCCGTGTGAAGAAGACAAGTCGAAACCTGCAGAAGCACTAAGAGCGATCCCGGAAATAGGCGCACCCGATTCTGATGACCACCAATTGTCGACGACCATTGCACCAGGAGCGCAATGCTTCATCAACAGCTGCTGGTACATCTGCACGATACTCGGCTCGCTTCTCTCGCCTGCCAGGAAGAGCGCGCGAAGCGTCTTCAAGGCGCCCTTCTTTCCCCACGTCTCAAAGAACTCGTTGTCTCCGTCTTCCCTGCGGATCGCGCGTAAAGCTGTTGGAGCGGTAAACATGGTAGTCACCTTGTAATCTTCGACAATGCGCCAGAACGTGCTTGCATCGCTAAAGGTTGAGATACCAAGTCAGCACATGTCTCACATGCAATTTCCACACCAACGTAACTTACGGAGTTCCAACGGGTTTGCCTTCGAACAAGACCGTAGTAGCACCAACGAAGAGAGGCGCGTAGACAATATACGAGTGCCCAACCACCCATCCGATGTCCGAAGCGGTAAATTGCACATCACCTGGACCATGGATGCCGAACAGATACTTCATGGAGAAGTTAAGACCAACCGCATGGCCACCTGCTGAGCGGACAACCCCTTTTGGTAGGCCAGTCGTTCCAGATGTGTAGATGATGTACAGCCCATCTCCGCTTTTGACCGGTACAGCATCAGCCTTCAAGCCTCGGTTCCTCGCGCTCTTCACAAGCCGTTGCCAGTTCCGTTGGCCGTTCTCTTTCAACACCGGCTCCCATCTCAGCTGCTCCCTCTGCCAGATGATCGTCTTTGATGGTTTGAACCTACTCTGTTGGACTGCACTCTCAATCATTGCTTTGTATCCCATCGGCTTCTTCGCTCCTTCGATGCCGCACGACGCTGTCATGATCGCCACCGGACGGCTCGCTTCGATCCTTTGCGCCAACGCCGCGGGGGAGAAGCCGCCAAAGACCACAGCATGAATGCCTCCAATTCGAGCGATCGCAAGCATACCAAAGAGGGCGGCTGGTATCATAGGCATGTATATCAACACCACGTTGCCCTTCTTCACCCCCTCTTCTATCAAAACACCAGCGAGTGTCTCTACTTCTTGGAGCAGTTGCTTATACGTAAATTGCTCCTTCTGTCCTGTAACAGGACTGTCCCAGTAGATGGCTACATTGTCGCCATTCCCACTGGTAACATGTCGGTCGACGCAGTTATATGTCGTTGAGATTTCACCGTCTGCGAACCAACTCCAGTCATCGTGTGATACTCTGCTTTTCTTGAGGTGCTTGGTACTTTTTTCGACGGCCTTGGAGGGTGTCTTGTGCCAGTATAGATTCTCCGCTTGCCGTGTCCAGAACGCCTCGGGGTCGGCAAGTGAGGCGGCATAGACTTGGTCTTGAGTGTGCTCCTGTGGCATAGTGTTCTGTAGTTACCAGGGAGACTTTGTGATACGAGTATGTCGGGACGTCGGGTTTCAGCTCACCCTGAGTCGGTCGCTATTGCCGAGCTCTTTGCGTCCTCGGCTTGGCTTTCCCCTTAACCTGATAACGCAGCTTCCCTGGACCCCGCAGATGGGAAAATGCCTTCTCGATGAATATGACTAATTTATAATTGAGTATGGGAGTCTATAGCATGATAGTGAGATTGCTGAAATCGTGGGTCGCGCTTAAAGACCAATATGTCGGTCCAAAGGGACCCTATGATGCTGCCGAGGAACTGACTTGGGACGGCGGCTAGCGCTTTGCGGGGAGGGCTAGCTGCATCGGGGCGAGCAGTTGCGTAAGCAAAGATACTCCCGGTGTCGAACGTGCAGTATTAACGGTGGCGTTAGTCTCGCATGCTTTTAGTGGGTGCCGTTTGGTGTTGAGGCGAGTGCATCAATTGCAATACCATATAAAACTAGTTGTTGGGGAAAGGTAGCGAGTTCTTCTATTGTTGATCCGCCAAAGGTTTTTACACGCTCATCGCTCATGTAAAGTTTAATCGGACAGCATGTTTCCAGGTGCTCTAAAAATGGCCTATACACATGATATATATACTCGCATTCGATTAATACAAGTTACGAGGTTTTTGGAAACATGTTATTGTTGTGGGAATTTTCGGAGTACATTGATGTTTTCATCTATTCGCGAAAAACTAACCTTAAGTTTAAAAAGCAAGAAGCAAACAACGGATACGAGTTATACCGAAAACAACCCAATGCAGATGTAGCAAGACATTTATTAGACATTTATTATTGTCTACTGTGTCTGAATACCTTGTTCTGAATTTGCATCCTAGTTGTCATAGTACGTTATCATCTAAGCAACCCCGATCGGGGCGGATGAACTCAATCTCCTTGCCTGACCAGCACCGGTTACATCAATTCCTAATCTCTCTGCCACCGTGATGAAGCCTTTGCTTCCATCCCCAAGACTCACCCAAAGATCCACCCAGCCCTCCTGCCTCGCCTTCTCGACGACCTCCGCGCTCCACTCTTCTTCACCAAGACGCTCGACGTAGATGGTCTGCAATCCGTTCTGCTTAGCACTCTTCAGGTCGTTCAGATGGGCTGCGACCATAGCACACTGATCAGGCGGAAGATCTAGCTTCTCCGTGGCCCCAATATACACCCGCGGCGCTGGCTTATATGTGCCGAACATCTCAGCAGAGAAGAGATGCGTAAACGGGATAGCGCTGAACGCACGGAGATCCGAGAGGAGACTGATGTTGCCATTGGAAAGAGTGCATGTATCTCGTTCTATTAGCCCGAGCATTTTAGGATCATAGTCAGAACGTACAAAACAGCCGGTTAAGCAGCGCCACCCCCATTGCAGAATCGTCCCAAGGTTCCAGGTGATGCCATATTAGACTTAAGGATCGAAGCTCCTCATCATTCCACAGGCCCTCAATCTTCCACTCAACCGTGAGCTCCTTGAGCGACGTTAGATGATGCTCATCAACAGATTTCCAAGGTATCGAAGGGTCTTCTGCCAGCTTCCTCGTAAAATGCCTATACCCATCTCTCCACTGTTGCGCAAATAATCCCCAATGCTCAAGTGACATATCGGACGCCCTTAGCCTGACACTGGACGCCAAAGAGGCGGTTGCTGAATTCAACGATGCGTGTGATTGAGCATGCAGCGCGTCAACGACCGACTTGCGCCAGTTGACACAGGTACCAAAGACATCAAAAAGTAGGGCGCGCGGCGGAGGTGACAGAGCCATGGTAACACCGGAAATGAGTTTGGGGAGAGTTTTCGGCAGCGGTGCTGGACATGTAAGATCATTTTGTACTGGTCGCTTCGGTGATGCCGCCATGGGAGGGGTGTGGATACGTCAGAGCGACGCTGGGCCCGGAAAAGCAGCAATGGAGCGGAAAAGCAAGCACACGAAGAAGATGCGGCAAAGAGTGTGGAGGAAGACAACCAATATGATCCCCAGGAGTCTTCATGTTGTCGATGAAGTTTTCCACAGCTGCAGCCAAGATAACTAGGTACAGGCCGGAAGCGGTAGAGACACTAATACTGCAACAAAGAAGGGCGTTGCACCATGACGGGAAGTGCAACCTAACGACCCTCGAAACATGCACCTGCTCAACAATCATCAGCCTGATACGGAAAGGAGCCACAGTACGTCTGCCTGATGGTGTGGTAATAGTCAAGAGTCTGCGGGTTACCTGGCGACAACACTTGGAGTGGTTAGGCAGCTTGATCCATCGATGGGTTGCAAACATGTCAAGACAGGGATGTACATGTGAGCTAAGACAAACCCGGCAACCCAGACATTACACGGATGGGAACGACAACACAGCTATGACCACCGCGTTCAGGCACGACAAGACGCGCCGTACATCACAAGTAGAATAGCAGATGAAGAGTGTGAAGGATTATGGTATCATTCCATGAAAAATCAGATCCCAACTGATGTGACCGTAAACTCCGAGCCTACTATGCAAGGCCATGACCATCCCACCAAGCACCGAAGCCGACCGTGAACCGAAGAAGCCGGCAGAAGTCGTAACATGAAAACCGTGAAAGAAAGCGCTTAACCACCGAAGCCGTACAGAGTGCGGCCTTGTCGCTTGAGCGCGTAGACAACGTCGAGAGAGGTGACAGTCTTGCGCTTGGCGTGCTCAGTGTATGTGACGGCGTCACGAATAACACCCTCCAGGAAGGTCTTGAGAACACCGCGGGTCTCCTCGTAGATCACTGCGGACGGTTAGCTGTGAAGCGGGAGAAGACACAGGTGGAGGACATACTGGCTGAGATACGCTTGACACCGCCACGACGCGCGAGACGACGGATAGCAGGCTTGGTGATGCCCTGGATGTTGTCGCGGAGAATCTTGCGGTGACGCTTGGCTCCACCCTTGCCGAGGCCCTTGCCACCTTTGCCGCCTGGAGACGCGTCAGTATGCTGCTGAAGTGTGCGATGGACGACGCGCCGTGTAATGGACGCGTCGAGCAGAGTGGGATGCAGGAGTTACTCACGTCCAGTCATGTTGGTAGATGTGGGGGAGTGGTAAGAAGGAGGGGTGAGATGGTCTTGAGCGTGGTTTGAGAGGCTGGTGATAGACGCGTCGAGTTGGTTGCTGGTGATGGAGTAATGGAGACGGGGCGGCGGGTGTTTAAGAGGCGAGTCGGCGCGTGCACTCTGGTCGCTGGATCACACAGTCTAGCCGCCAGATCAAACCCGCGCACGGGCGCGCTTTCCAGATCAACAACCGTGCCACTTCCTGTTTCGGCAGCGGGCCAAGCGAGCCAATGAGGGCAATTTGCTGCACTTGTGAGTTTGAAGTTGGTGCCCGCTGTTGCTAGCAAAATCACCTTTGATGTTCTTGCGCTGATTCCGAGCGCGCTTTTGATTGATTTTCCAGGCACCCGCCCACCCCCCAATACCTTATAAACCTCGCCCGCCCACCCTCTTCCGACTCTCATCCACCACCACAGCTCCACTCCACCATCACCACCACTCCACAACACAACTCCATCAATACCATCAACAACCGCATCTGCCATGGCTCGCACTAAGCAGACTGCCCGTAAGTACTAGCCTCCTCTGCCCTCGCATCGTCTGCATCGTCGTCGTCGCAGTCGCTTTGGTCTTGTCGCAGCTCGCTGTCGCCACCAACGCGCTGCATCACGACTTGTAGTCGCCAGCATCGCACTCCATCGCAGCATTGCATCGTAGCACATGGCTAACAATACCCAGGCAAGTCCACGGGTGGCAAGGCCCCTCGTAAGCAGCTCGCCTCCAAGGCCGCTCGCAAGTCCGCGCCATCTACCGGTGGTGTCAAGAAGCCCCATCGTTATAAGCCAGGAACGGTCGCTCTCCGTGAGATCCGTCGCTACCAGAAGTCGACTGAGCTCCTCATCCGCAAGCTGCCTTTCCAGCGTCTTGTCCGTGAGATTGCCCAGGACTTCAAGTCGGACCTCCGCTTCCAGTCCTCCGCCATCGGTGCTCTCCAGGAGTCCGTCGAGGCCTACCTCGTCTCTCTCTTCGAGGACACGAACTTGTGCGCTATTCACGCCAAGCGTGTCACCATCCGTACGTCTTCATGCACATTCATCTTCACGATCATCCGCTAATAGCCCGCAGAGTCCAAGGACATCCAGCTCGCCCGCCGTCTCCGTGGTGAGCGCGGTTAAGTGCATCATCACCTCGACATGACAACATATTCGGGTCGGCGATGAGTTCTTGAGGGGGTTTCTTAGGCGTTTTATAGGGTATCACGGTTCACGGTCTTCAACTCGGTTTATGGGTGCGCACGATTGGCGCTGAGCATGTAGTATATCCACTAATCAGTGATGGGTCACTGACGATATCCACGAAATCAATCTGATTTCATCTTCACCGCCTTTGTGTTGTCTGTCTCTGTTTTGTGATGTAATTGCAACGACGCTCGCCCTTTACAATGTAACCGTCGAAGCTGGGCAAAGCCGCCTATCGCGCCCCAACTCTGCCTCAACATGCGCGCATTCGCCCCGTCGCGACCAAATATTCACTTCGTAGCTGATCTCCTATCATGCGCACACGGAAGAACCATGTAACAACACTGCGCTTGTTCTCGTCCTTGTTATTCAAATGAGAGTGAAGTTGTCGCAGGCCGGCTGAGGTTCTTCACGGATGCTGGTCAAACGTGCTGCCTGTGACAGACTGTGAAAGTGACAGCGAGAGTCTCGAACTGTAAATTCACAGTCTAGAAACCCCGACGCTCTACTTTGCGCATGCTATATATTGTGCATACAATTATCTACCTATCAAAGTTTGGTCGAATGAGGAGTATGATGTTTCCAGGCACATGCAGCCCCTCGATTGGCGCACACGCCTATGACCTCACGAGTCGACGCGAAAGCGCGCCCTCACCCCAAGCGCGTCTCATTGCCACACCTACAATAACCGCCCCGCGGCCAAACTATGGCACCATGGCTGCTCCTCTTACGCAGCTGACGGCAACAGCGAGCGAGTATGGCTCAGATGTTGAGGTTCAGTCCATTATATCGCTGAGCGACTATGGCTCGGACATTGACGAGGACACGATATTTGCAGAGGTGCTAGATACGACCAAAGAGCAAGCGACGGCACAAAGGAGCGCAATATTACCGAGTATTGAGTTTGAAGAGGGAGAGCTTGAGGACGAGGAGCAGGATGTGGACGGTGTCGTGCGGATCCATCGGCCCACGGTGTTGCATGTGGCAACGGGAAAGCGTAAACGCATGGATGCAAAAGGATATATTCAAAGCTCGCCTATGCGAGAGCGGGAAGCGCTGGAAGTCGAGTACCACGAGAGGTCGCGGCGGGCGTGGAGTGGTATGTTTGGATCCTTTCTAGAATGTCTGCACTATTTGTGACTTGGACTGACGGCTAACAGCATTTAGTTCCCCTCGAAGAGCCGCCTCCGCCACGAGCATCCTCGTTTCCTACAGCATCTAAACTCTCGAGCTTAAAATCCGATACCACCACAGCGCAAGTTAGTCGCCCTCCCCCTACAACACAAGCCGTAGACTTTGCGGACAATGACACCTGTTCACCCCTTGAACGTTTCCGCACGATGCCCAAGAAACCACTCTCAGTCACCGACCTTGTATCGCCAGCATGGTGCGAGCTACAGTATCTCTACACACTCAGCAGGTTTGGCCGCAAACCTCGGACTCAAGCCATGCGCACTGGTTCAAAGCTACATAAATTATTGGAAGATGAGGTGCATACGACAGTGCCAGTGCAAGTAGAAAGTAAGGAAGATAGATTTGGACTCCGCATCTGGAATGCTATATCAGGGTTGCGATGTCTACGTGAGACTGGATTGACACGAGAGCTAGAGGTCTGGGGCGTGGTTGAAGGACAGGTTGTCAACGGTGTTATCGATGAAATATCCTACCAGTGCCCTGACACTGCTTTCGAGGAGCAAATGGAGACATCCAAAGCTGGCCAGGCCGGCGGCATCGTACCTCTACCACCGGGCCAAGCTAGTATCTTGGAGGCCTTTGCCAAAGTCACGAACCCCCAGGCAGGCGAATGTGCCTGGATAGGTAGCTTTGAGCCTGACCGTCAAGTCTACATCACCGACGTGAAGACTCGCTCGGTTCACTCGGTCCCTGCTGGCGCTTCGTTACGCCCGACTTGGATGCAGCTCATGCTCTACCGCAAGCTGCTCGAGACACTTTCTCTTAATACCGTAGACGCAGAGACCATCTTTGTGCGTTACGAACTTAGGCCCCTTGACCCTTTCACAGAATTGTTTATACAAGAGGTCGGCAGTATCGGTCCTGATAACGAAGCCGCCAACTACCCGAATCTCCTCTCGCTATGGTCCCTTTTCATCACCGAGCTGCAAGGCACTATACGACCGACAACCATTTCGCCCATCCTTCGCGCGGAGTTTCGGTACGCGAAGACTGGTGCTGTGATTGGGTCGAAGCTTGTGGTGTATGAGCCTGAACTCATCGACAAGTACGTTGCGGAAGAGATGGCGTGGTGGAAAGGTAGCCGAGAAGCGAAAGGTGTTGACATCGAAGAGGCCTTCAAATGTAGGATATGTGACTTCGCGGAAGTATGTAGTTGGAGGAAAACGAAAATCGAGGAGGCTACTGAGAAAAGCCGGCTTAGGAGACAGGCAAGGGAGAGGAGCACAGTATGAGCAATGGCTTTACTTGGGCACACTGTATATTCGTTACCGAGAGGATATTTTTGGATCGTCTGCAGCATATGCGGTAGCTCTGGCGTATGCTTGTTATGATATCCCAGGTATGGTTGCGTGGAAGAAATATATGTATGGATCGACTTTGACCTTGTGGTTATCACACATCACAGTATATGAAGGAGAGCATTCGGTTGAAATGGTGATGTGAGATTTTGGTTACTAGAAGACACGGCCTTGTTCGTTACCGTACTCTATATATCCTGTATCCAATGCAGTGTCCAGAGAGATCTATCATGACTATGAACTCTAGCTCAACCGGCAGTCACAACCTGACCTATTGACCGCTAGGAACCTCATAAGGTCCATAGCCTGGCTTCGGGAAGTTCGGCGTACCATCCTCGTTCCACCCGAACTTCTGAGCGCGAATCGTGCGCGCACCCCAGCCGTTGGTAGGATCACGCATACCGTGGTAGACAATCCAGGCCTCGCTGTCGTCGGGAGAAGTTGTGAATGAAGCGTGCCCGACACCATAAGCCGACTCGCTCGGGTTCTGGTAGAAGACGGGGTACGGGTGCTTGCGCCAGTCACCAGGGTTCATCGGATTATCGCCAACTAGCTCGAGCTGCGCAAGGCAGTAGTTGCGATTATCGGAGCGGGCCGCGCTGTATATGAGGAACTGTTGGCCGGTCGTGGGGTTGGTCAACTGCTGGGGCCCCTCGTTTGAGGACAAGCGATCGTTGCTCGCGCGGCCGAACGGCGTCTTCTCCCATGCATACTCCGGGACAGAAATGATTTGGCGCTCAGAGAAGGGCGAGGACACCATCCATGGCTTCTCCATCTTGGTTATGCAGAGATTGGCCGGCCAGCCATCGTACTTTCGATGCCAGCATGAGTAGATATGATACAGCTGATCCGCGTGCTGGAAGTAGGTTCCGTCAATGGCGAACTGGTCGTATGTGTCGAGTTCCGCCTTGTACTCCCACTCGGCTTCCCATGGGTCGGAGCCCTTGCCTTCAACAACAAACATGCGGTGATGGACGGCTGGGCAATTGTAGTCGCACCACATCTCAATCTCCGGTGGAGGCGAGTCGTTGCGCGGGTCGGCCGTAAAGATGACATACCAGTTGTCATCGAGGTTGTGAATCTCGGGAGCCCAGAGGTCAGTCGAGTAGTTCATACCTGGTGGAGGCGCGAAGACTAGCTTGGATTCGGCGCCGTCCCAGTCCGTGAGGGATTTGCTACGAAAGAGAGTCACGTTGACATTGTTTGAGTACGTGAGGTAGTAGTAGTCACCGTGTCGGAACATCCACCTATGAGGGTTTAGTATTTCGCTTCTAGTGGGATAGGTAGGACTTACGGATCTGCTCCTTCGTTGATGATCGGGTTCGTGAAGGTGGTCGAGTTTGTCGAGTTATGGGGAGGTGAGTAGCCTTGACAGATGGCCACCACAGCGAGAGCTGCGATTAGCAAGAGCTTGAACATGCTGGCGGTTGACAAAGATAGCACGATAGGGAAGTCGGGTGGGTTGAGGGAGAGAGGCGAGAGGAGAGACAAGGCCAGGCTAACAGGCGGTCGGTGTATTTATATCAACAGGCGGGGGCGGGGCAAACGGGAAGAAGTAAGGTGAAAGGGGGGAGGGTAGATGCATAGAGTATCTGGGGATCTGCACGAGCGTTTATGTGGGGATTGCGGTGTAACTTTCACTGCAGAGAAGCGTAGTCCTCCCGACCAGGCGCATGGTTAGCATAAATGTAAACAGACATTGGAGAGTGACAAAGGGATACGTTATTTTTTTATGGTTTTTTACATAGTCAGCCAGCACATGTGTGTGTATCTTGACAGGGTTGATAGGAAATTGCGGGTATCGCGCAAATACTGAAATACTGAGAGAAGAGACTGCGGGACCAGAGGCATAAGGTACTTGGAAAAGGGCAGGCGGTTCCTGTGGGTGATGTCACATGCCTGCTGTGGAGAAGAAACGCTCCCCGCAATGCCAGCCACAGCCACGCAGCACGGACACCTGCATGCAACGCCGATCGCAGCCTCCGTCTTGGCATTTCGTTTTCTTGAACCTCCTCCATGCCCATCTGGTGCCGATACGGAAGATGAATAATTCGCAATTCCGGCGTCTTCTGATTGATACTCCGCGACAGCAAGATGACGGCAAGAACAAGCCTCCAGCGGCGGGGACGCCAAAGGCCGTGCTGGGTGCGCGCAAACACTCCAGCATCCCCATGACACCGTGAGAGCAGTCTTATTCCTTCACATTCATTTGCCGTGTATACTGACGTCTGTCATAGTCGCCAGGTAGGTCGGGGCGGAGTGCAAGCAGACTTTGCCCGCCAGCTCGCCGAACGCAACGCCAAAGCCAACCCGCAGAAGACAGCCAGATCCTCGGCACCCAAGGGAACGAAGCTCGCTGCAGGCTACATCGACCGCACCAAGGAACGTACAGATGAGGAGGACAATGAAATTGCGAAGCGCATCAAGAATCTGGACGACTCTATGAAGCTTGGGCAGATTGACCGCGAGACGTTCGAGAAGCTGGTGCAAGAGATCACAGGCGGCGATGTTGGGACAACGCATCTCGTAAAGGGGCTGGACAGGAAGCTTCTTGAGCGAGTTAGGCGGGGCGAGGATGTCTTGGCTGGTTCGGACAAGGGGGAGGACGAGGACGAGCAAGAAGCCCCAGACGTAGAGGATGCATTCGACGAACTAGCCGAGGAGCATGTTGGACCTATTGTGCGCGAGAGGGTGGAGAAAAAGGGCGAGAAGATTACATCGCCACCACTGGTCGCCGGCGTCAAGAGGAGTCGGAACGATATTCTAAACGAGCTCAAGAGGCAGCGAGAAGAAGCAGCAAAGGCCGCGGCAGCAGAGCACGAGAAAAAATACCCGACGCTGGGGCCCGGCTTTCGCAAGGTCAACGCAAAAGGCGAGACAACGCGGATCGAGACCGACGACAAGGGCCGGGAGGTCTTGATCATTACGGGTTCCGACGGTAAGGAGAAGAGGAAAGTCAAGAAGCAGAAGATGGAGGAGCAGCCGACACCGGAGATACGACATGACTTGGATGACGCCACAAAACCAATCAATATGCACCACTTGCCAGAGCCCAAGAAGGAAGAGTCGGAAGATGATGATATATTTCAAGGTGTAGGGTCAAACTACAACCCACTTGCGAATTTCGACGACGACGACGACGACGACGACGACGACGATGACTCTGGAACTGAGGCGGAAACGACCAAAGTGGACGCAACTGTGCTGGAAGCCAAGGCCGGATTCAATGTAAAGCTACCATCAGATGAAGCCTCATCTCTAGCATCAGGCGAGGAAACTCGGCAAGCACCTACCGCAACAGCCCCTCGGAACCACAGTTATTTCAAAGCTACATCCCGCGACGTTCCAACCAACCTTTCCTCCGCCGATGCTACTGTACGCGCCGCCCTCGCAAAAGTCCGTAATCTCGATGAGAACTCCACTCTTCTACAGAACCTCTCCTCCACCGACCCGAACGACGCTAGCTCGAAAGAGGCCCGTCTTAAAAAGCGAGCAACCGAACTTGCTGCCTCGGACCGTGACATGGAGGATATGGACCTCGGGTTTGGTGCATCGCGCTTCGACGACGCAGACGAGATGGATAGAGAGGGGGAAAAGGTCAAGTTCAGTCAGTGGAAAGGACTTGGGTCGAAGGGCGACGAAGACGACGCAGAGGATGGTGCAAAGAGTGTGAAACAGAGGAAACGAGGTCCGAAGAAGAAAAGGGGGGACAAGAACAACCCTGACGATGTGCTGAAGGTTATGGAGAGACAGAAGGAAAAGAAGACGTTGGGTTGATTGAGGTATGTGGTGATGATGACCGCACGTTCGGCATTTTTCTTACCGGTACATCAACACGAAGCTCCGATAGGAGAAACGTAGTCTCTCGTCCCTTCGGTACTAAACAGAGCCACTACAGACTTTTCATTCAGTCCCAACTCATCTTTCATATCCTTGCACAGCTTCTTCAAAGCACTCAAAGGAGCAGCGCCACACGGGCCGTTCTTGACACCCTGACGGTGCAGGTATTGCAGATCGCTATGAACCTCCATATCAGAGACGGTGATACTGACATCAACACCATTCTTCAGGACCGCCCAAGAATTAGTCGATATTGTGCCACAGTTCATTCCATCCATGATCGTATGACCTGTCGTAATGGGCGTGATCTTCCCGGCTTCTAGGCTTACTTTTAGGCTCGCTGCGGTGTCCGGCTCCACGGTAATGACAGTGGCTGGCGATGCTCGACTTTCGGATTTGTAGTGCATTGTAACGGCTTGCGCCCAGGAGCCGACGCCGACGGAAGCAATTGCGTGTGTCACTCCGCTGATGCCCAATTCTTTTAACTCTCTGCCCGTTTCGGTGAGCATCGTAGTGTAGCCTTCGACAACCCACTATTTAGCATTAGGTCGAATAGGTTGGTATGGTTGGGACGCGGGAGGTTACCGTTGGGATCTCCTCATATCCAACCCAAGATACATCCATTACCAATAACCCATCCTTGTCCGCCTCCTCTCTCGCTCTCGCAATTGAATGGTCATAATCTCCCTCTACGACGATCACCTTTGCCCCTTCGCTCTCGATCTTCTGCTGTGTAGCTCGGTCCATGAAATTAGGCACAAATATGACCGCTGGAATCTGTAGATATTTTGCCATTCTTGCGACTGCTCTTCCCCAATTGCCTTCCGTACACGTCACCAGCTTAATATGCTCTTCGCTTGCTGTAGCTCCAAGTTCTTGTATGGATGTAGTCAGGGGAAGCTCGCATCTTGCAGCTACTGCTTTGTAGATGGCCCACGAAGCGCCGAGGATCTTGAATGCAGGAAGACCTAGCCGGCTGGATTCATCTTTGATGAGAACATGCCCTAGGCCGAGGTCTTTGGCCAAGTCAGGAAGAGGGACCAAAGGAGTGACGGCGTAGTCTGGTAAGCTCTTGTGGAATAGCTCGACTGCTGGATTGGCGGTAAGGCCAGCATATCTCCAGGAAGCGGCTGAGGGGTTCTGGAACATATCGGAGGACAATTTCGGGCACGCCCGGACAGCCATAGATTCTGAAGCTCGACAAGTGGGCCAGATTAACGTAGGAGAGGAATAAATGTTCAATCAAATATAAGGCATGTCCGCCGAACCTCTAAAGTCTATGGATGTGCCCTTGAGGTCTGAACTCGCCTTTGGAGTGTGATGATGTATTTGGAGCTAGATCCAGCATACCAGGAGTTATTTCTGCGATTTCTCGTAGCTGATACTAAACTCTACTAATGGAACGGAGGTTGTAAGAAACGGCGGGGACTCGTTACCGGTAGTACGAGGGCCGAGCTTCAACGTACGTCATCCAAAACGCCTCATACCAACGCGTCTCCTCCCTCCCCTCCTGACGATACACGACACAGAGATGCCACAATCGCAACCACAGCAGTCGGTCCTGAGGAATATTCCCAAAGTCGTTGTGCGGCCAGCATGGGATAACATAGTCGCGGTGACGTATCTCATCAAGGTACATCATTCCAACTTGCCATGTTTCGCGTACGATCTGACAGGTAACAGGGAATCGTCTTCTTCATAGCACACCCGTTCCTCTACCCGCTGCTTAAAGCTCGCCTGATACCTGCAATTTTGCTGAGTACCTTTATACTCTCCAACCTGTTTATCTGGACCTTCCTACCGCAGGTTGCATTTCTGGCCTTGTTTCACAAAACGGGTAGTGCCTGGGTTAATGGAACATTCCTCGTTCTTGGAGAAGGCGCTGCGGTGGTAGCAATCCTGTTTGAATCCTTCCTAGTGGTGTGTATGCTACATGACGAGGACCTGAAATGGTATACTGACCGCAACCTAGGATGAATCCCAGGTCGACATTTTTGACGCTGTTTTGATATATAAAGGCTACGAAGACCTCGTGCGCCAACACCGACCCGTCGCCGAAGATGCCTTGAACGACCCTGTCCGACGACTGGGTAAGCCTACACGATCTTCGGTCTACGCACCGTTCTCCTTTCGCCAGATCGCAGAATTCATCCTTCTGCTGCCAATCAACTTCATCCCATATGTCGGCGTGCCGGTATTCCTGCTGTTGACAGGCTATCGAGCGGGGCCTCTCCAACACTGGCGGTACTTTCAGCTGTTGGGATACGATCGGAAGCAGAGAAGTGCTGTCATTGGGCGGCGACGGTGGCAGTATACTTGGTAAGCCATCTGCTGTGTCATGGTAATCCCGCTAACCAAACACAGGTACGGCACTGTATATCTGTTCCTGCAGCTGGTGCCGCCATTCAGCATGTTTTTCTTGCTCACGGCAAGTGTGAGCTCTGCTCTGTGGGCGGTGGATCTGGAAAAGTTACGAAGGGACCAGGAAGCGAGGCTAATCCAGGCTCCGCAGTACACTGATGAGCCGGATGCGACCGTTATAGTGTAGAAACAATGCATAAGTTGAGACGTCATGAATGAAGAAGCGCAATGTAGCATTAGGTCTTGCGTGGTGCACTTTGTGGACGAAGCTGATGCTACGCTCTGCAAGCGTCGGGCTGATGGGGGATTCAGATGCATCAACGGAACACAAGGAAAGCAATGCGACAAGCCGTGAAGTACTCCAGGCTCCCCCCACCCCATGTTGTCGGTAGCGCAGTTGTGGAGCAGATGGTTAGCGGAACTTTGATTCTATAGGCAACTGATTAACAAGACGGCGTGCCTGGGGGCTGTGGGTCCTTCGGGAACCGGAATGCCAGTCTGAAACCAGACAGGAGCGATGGTGGGCACGTGCAGCGCGACAGTACGTCAACGACCGGGTGGCAGGCGCTGCCTAAACCCCCAGCCTCCACCCCGAGACCTTCAAGCTCCCAGCAGCTCCATCCAAACCACCACACTCCACACACCTGCATCCCCCATCTTTTCCATCCACGCCCTTCTTTCTAGTCTTCTGATCGTTTGCCATCATGAAGTCGGCCATCTTGCTCGCCGCTTCGAGCGTGCTCGGCACCGCCACTGCCGGGGTCCACAAGATGAAGCTCAAGAAGATACCTTTGAGCGAGCAACTGGTAAGCCATCGACGTTGCGACTTGCGACGGCGTACGGTGCGACGCAGCTAACGATGAGCAGCAACATGCCGACATCCAGGAGCAGGTGCACGCTCTATCACAGAAGTACTCACAGAAGTTCATGGGCAAGCCCGAGAGCCACATGGAGCAAGTCTTCAAGGCGCCCTACATCGCCGACGGAACGCACCCAGTGCCCGTCACCAACTTCTTAAATGCTCAGTGTATGTTGCGCACATTCCACGGGCCGTGCAACGGTTGTTAATAGGCGCCAGACTTCTCTGAGATCTCTCTCGGTACTCCTCCCCAGACGTTCAAGGTCATCCTCGACACTGGCAGTTCCAACCTTTGGGTCCCTTCGTCCGAGTGCAATTCCATCGCCTGCTACCTCCACACAAAGTACGATTCATCGTCATCATCGACCTACAAGAAGAACGGCACTTCGTTCGAGATCCGCTACGGATCGGGAGAGCTCAGCGGTTTCGTGTCTCAAGACGTTTTCCAGATTGGCGACCTCAAGGTGAAGCACCAGGACTTTGCCGAGGCCACCTCTGAACCTGGTCTTGCTTTTGCCTTCGGCAGGTTCGACGGCATCCTGGGTCTTGGTTACGACACCATCAGCGTGAACAAGATTGTTCCCCCCTTTTACAACATGCTCGACCAGGGTCTGCTGGACGAGCCCGTCTTTGCTTTCTACCTCGGAGACACCAACGAGCAACAGGAGTCCGAGGCCACTTTCGGTGGCATCGATGAGAGCCACTACAGCGGCAAGCTCATCAAGCTCCCGTTGAGGCGCAAGGCTTACTGGGAGGTTGATCTTGATGCCATCACCTTCGGCAAGGAGACTGCTGAGATGGACAACACCGGTGTCATTCTTGACACTGGCACATCTCTCATCGCTCTTCCCTCGACTATCGCGGAGCTTCTGTAAGTTGACCCACGATGCTGCAAATGCGACCTCCTCATGCTAATGTCTCGCTCGCAGCAACAAGGAGATCGGCGCCAAGAAGGGTTTCAACGGTCAATATACCGTGGAGTGCGACAAACGCGACAGTCTGCCCGACCTTACCTTTACGCTTACCGGTCACAACTTTACCATCAGTGCCTTTGACTACGTTCTCGAGGTCCAGGGGTCTTGCATCTCTGCCTTTATGGGCATGGACTTCCCTGAGCCAGTGGGCCCACTTGCTATTCTCGGCGATGCCTTCCTCAGGAAGTGGTACTCCGTCTACGACCTTGGAAACTCGGCCGTCGGCCTTGCCAAGTCCAAGTGAGCCATGGACAACCGGAGGAGATGGAAACAGGACTGAATTGTTTGCTGCGAGTGTCGTTCGTCTGGGCGACGGCGTTTGGCTCAAATTGTACCTATGGATGACTTGTTTATTAGTACAGTAGTAGCGGTGATGTGCACATTAGCGATTACAGATGGATGTGCCATGCAATAGTGACCCCATCAAATATAGTCCAATCGCCCTTGTACACGCTGCTAGCTGTTATCGATACGCATCATCAAGTGACGTAGCTCAAAGGCTTGGCCACCCTTCAACGTCAAGTTTCAAGGCCAGTCAACCGTGCATGCGCAAGTACTACGGGCAGTCTGAAGCGTTGCACGTAGAAGGAAGGCCGCAGAGAATGTTGGGACAAACGCTGGTTATTTTGGGTTACCAGGCAGCACCCTTATCATGCGGTCACTTTTCATAGGCAGCGTCGTGCATGTGCCGCGCTAGCACCCCGGAGGAGCGTGGACCCATCTCGTGCGCGAAGTATGTAGTATTTGCTCCCAGCGCGCGGACTACTACTACCTTCAATATGTGACATTTCAAGGCCAGCGACTGCCAGCAGCAGTAATCCGTCTCTTCTACAAGATACACACGAAGTAAGCTCTTTTGCAGGCCCACGCCTCCTCTACCGCCGCCCGCGATCCGAATACCTCAACGATTGTTTAGCCACGAGTCCACGCAATAGCCACACACGATGGCGTCACAGGATGGAGGGAGGGAGAGGACAAGTCGAAAGCTGACGAAGAAGCGAAAGGAGTCGAGAAGAGAAGCGCGCGGCATGTCGCTGGATATACCAGAGCGTTTCAAGGACGGGGATGACGAGCATGTAGATGTCACGGCGCCGACGCGGAATAATACCATGTCGATGAACCAGTCTATATTCTCTATGATTGCACGAGCCGGACAGCAGTCACACACGGACCTGGGGGCCCTGCAGGAGATGGATTCGGGCGACAGCGAAGACGAGGGAAAGAGGAAGGTCCCGTATCATGGTTTAGATGGTGCTGCAAGGTTAAGTCGCTTGAGTTCAGCGAATGACTTCCGGACTCTACCAAAGGATGTGCAACATGGGAGCACTGACAAGACGAAACACAGGCGAGCATTGTCAGAGAACAAGTTGCTGCGTTCGCTGCCCAAATTAAAGATGTCCAACAGGAAAGAGAGCCGAGCGGAAGGCCAGCAGCCTACGGATCCAATGTCCTCGTCCCAGTTCCTGCCACCTCGACCGCGGCCAGGAGTCTCGCTCCCGACCACCGCGATCGATCAGTCTCAGAAGGCAAACGCCAAGGATATGCCTCGTGAGGAGATACACGTCGAGAAACGCCGGAGGAGCAGACATGGAAGGTCGGCTGAGCCGACTAATGGCAAAGCGCCTGTCACACTTGCGAAGAGGATACAGCAGATCTTCGAGTTTGAGGCTGTTGAGGAAGTCATAGCAGAATATCCTTGCTGGTTACTCCAGAGCGTTCTCCTTCAAGGGTATATGTACATCACCCAAAAGCACATATGCTTCTATGCATATATACCGAAGAAACATGTAAGTCAAGTCTACAATCTTATGAGGAGACTTGCTAATTGCGGTAGCACGACGTAAGCAAAACAGGCTACGTCTTCAAGCATGGCCGATCAAAGTACAATAGATATTGGTTCGTCCTACGAGGTGATGTATTGTCGTACTACACGAACCCCGCGGAGCTCTACTTCCCTCGAAATCGTATCAATCTGCAATACGCTATCTCAGCCGACGTGGTCGAAAGCAAGAAACGGGGCGACGAGGAGACTACATTCATCGTTACCACAGACGAAAGAAAGTACCAATTCAAGGCTGACAGCGCAACAAGTGCGAAGGAGTGGGTCAGGTCCATTCAAAAAGTCATATTCCGCACACACAACGAAGGCAATAGCGTGAAGATATCGTTACCTATACAGAACGTCCTTGAAATAGAAGAGAGCTCGATACTCGACTTCGCAGAGACGGTCAAAGTTCGTGTAATTGATAATGATGAGACGTTTGCTATTGATGAAGTAAGTACCAGCACCACGCAGTGGTAAAGTTAGCTAATCACGGTAGTACTTCTTCTCGTTCTTCAATAGCGGCCCAGACGTGTTGAATGTCCTGCGTATAATGATCAATGATAATGAGCATCACCAGCCTACACAAACTCGTGACCGAAGTGCGATCACCCCGACTCTATTAGGGCTATCCAGTCACGACGAGTTTATGGCATCGCCAAATAGTACGGACAACACAACACACATAACAGAAAACGTCCGTGCCACGCTGTCACCACTACCTGCGCCGCATGTAAGCAAATCAAGCACAAGCGATATCTCTGCTCGGTCTAGTGTTGATCTCAATCGAAAGAGCTGGGATGTACGACGTAGTATGGACATCAGCCGTAGTTTCCGCCGCCCGAGCCATGAAGTACGACGCCCTAGCCATGAAATCCGGCGGAGCTTCAGCGCTGGTCGTCATGATAAGCAGGTGAAGGGTGGACCGGGGGATAGATCGCCGTTGTCTTTAAATGCGGCAGATTCGGAATCTGCTACTCTTTCACTCGAACCCGGTACAGAATCATCGGCAGCCATCCAATCGATAGACGAGAGCAACGAGTCTGCTTCACAAATCTTGGATCGCTCCGACGTGTTTCTAGCCCCTATGGCTCACTCGCCCGATGCCTCTCCTTCTCATAAGGTGGACCGGTTAGCTAGACTCTCACACGACACGACACGTTCTTTTGGAGTGGGCAAAGCTCAAGCAAAGTCCGCACGACCTGCACCACACCTAGGTAATGCGCAGCCACCGACAGGCTCTCTGGATATAGAAGAGGACACAGATGTTAGTCAAGCACCTCCACGCTTATCGAGTTCCTCCTCCGCCCTCCAAGAGCTCGCCTCGTACCCCCTACACAAAGCTTCTGGCTTAGCAGGCTTCCTTCGGTCACGGTCCAAGCAAATGGGCAATCTACTTGCAACCGAATCAATAGGCTACTACGAGAAAGTTTCCGGAATGCTAGCTGGCGGTCGAAAGCACTACACTACCGCAGAGGGGCTAGAGACTGGGGATCAAGTACATGTACTTGAAGACGACGAGGACGCAGCGAAAGCGGCAGAAAATTTCCGAGAGCATTTCGCCTTTCCGGAGACTGAGGTGCTCCAGTCGTCGTTCTTTGCATCGCTCCAGCGGGTGCTCCCGAACTACGGCAAGATCTACATCAGCGGGAGATACTTTTGCTTCCGTAGTCTGATGCCTACGTCCAAGACTAAGGTACGTTGAGCTATGTTCCCCAGGACAAGTGCGCACTAACAAACATAGATCATTCTACCAATGAAGGACATCGAGAATGTCAACAAAGAGAAGGGATTTCGACTCGGCTACCACGGTCTTGCGATTGTCATCAGGGGCCACGAAGAGCTCTTTTTCGAGTTCTCCAAGGCTGAGTACCGCGACGAGTGCGCTATCACCGTGCTTCGCATCCTGGAGAACACCAGATACCTTGAAGATGAAGACTCGCCTTCTTCCGGTATTGACAGCGACGATGAAGCCGCTAAAGCTGAACATGACCTTTTACGACAGGCTCGAGAGAACAACAACGCGGGAAAGACTGTTAATGTATCAAATCTCGTACGTGCGGCGGACCATGATCGAATCCCCCTCATCTTCGACGATCCCCTTGCCTCGTTTGTCGACTTTAAGCCCCCGGAGCCATTGACCATCGTCTGTCTTACCATTGGGTCTCGAGGTGACGTACAGCCATACATTGCGCTATGTAAGGAGCTACTGAAAGAGGGACACAAGCCGCGCATTGCGACACACGCGGAGTTTGAGCCCTGGGTGCGGAAGCACGGTATCGATTTCGCACCCGTGGATGGGAATCCAGCTGAGTTGATGCGGATTTGTGTTGAGCACGGCATGTTCACATACAACTTCATGAAGGAGGCTAACTCCAAGTTCCGCGGATGGCTTGACGATGTGTGCAGCTCTTCATGGCGGGCTTGCCAGGGTGCAGATGTCCTAATCGAGAGCCCTAGCACCATGGCCGGTATCCATATAGCAGAGGCTTTGGAAATTCCGTATTTTCGTGCCTTCACGATGCCTTGGACACGCACTCGGGCTTATCCGCATGCCTTTTCGGTGCTGGAGAAGAAGATGGGCGGCGGCTACAACAGCATCACATACATTACCTTCGACACTATTTTCTGGACTGCCATCTCCGGCCAAATCAACAAGTGGCGTCGTCGAGAATTGGGGCTTCAAAACACTTCGCAAAACAAGATGCAGGCGAGTCTCCGACCCTTCCTGTACAACTTTAGCCCCCACGTGGTGCCACCGCCACTCGATTGGCCTGATTGGGTCCGCGTCACAGGGTACTGGTTTTTAGACGAAGCAGATATGTATGAACCTCCTACAGATCTAATGGCATTTATCGAGCAGGCGCAGAAGGATGGTAAGAAGTTAGTTTATGTGGGGTTTGGCTCCATTGTTATTGACGATCCCGCCGCTCTCACCAAGACTGTTGTAGACTCTGTCCTGAAGGCAGATGTTCGCTGTGTACTATCCAAGGGCTGGTCTGATCGCCTGGAGACTAAAGACGCTTCGAAACCCGAGATCCCTCTTCCCCCAGAGATTTTCCAGATCCAGGCGGCGCCACATGATTGGCTGTTTAAGCAAATGGATGCCGCGGTGCACCACGGTGGCTCAGGTACAACGGGAGCGAGTCTTCGAGCCGGCATTCCCACGATCATCAAGCCTTTCTTTGGCGACCAATATTTCTTCGCCCAGCGTGTGGAGGACATGGGTGTGGGCACCTGGCTGAAGAAAGTTAACACAAGCGCGTTTAGTCGTGCACTGTGGGAGGTCACGAACAGCCAACGGATGATTGTCAAGGCCAAGGTTTTGGGCCAGAAGATTCGAAAGGTAAGCGCAGCACCTGCGAGAAAGGCAACACACGACAGGTACACTAGCTAATTCTTCTAGGACAATGGCACACAGGTCGCTATCCAGACCATCTACCGCGAACTCGACCGTGCCCGCTCCCTAATCAAGAAGCACGCGAAGCAAGACGACGACCCCACGGACGAGTTCGAGGATGACTGGACGATTGTTGAAGATGGCGAGGAAATGGATGTCTCTTATCCTTTTGAGATGCAACAGCCCGTGCCGGGGGTCAGCCAGGATGCATCTCGAACCGTTCACGGTTCTGTGGTATTGGGAAGCACAGATTTGAAGGGCGTAGATGCGCAGAAGCGCGACCCAGCGTCTGCATAGAGATGGAATGCTATTCTAACATTGGCCCTGAGCATGCTTGAGGCGGAGGCGTTCGAATAAGATTTCGGCATTGACGATAAAGACATTAGGGATTCGAGAGCAATTTGCAAAGCTACCTCGGGTGTTTGAAAGCCAGCATGTGGAGTTTACTGTCTGGTGTAAATAGGCGCAGAGGGATATATCTTAGTAATGGTGATGTTTCGATTTCCGATATCACTTTTGCGATTAGAGTGTGGTAGTATAATAGGTATAGCCTAGGTCACAACTATGCCAGAAGACCTTTCCGCCCAACTATAGCCTACCTCGTTGTATGCGCAAACAGCTGCGAAGCTATCATTGAGCATATACACTATGAGATTGCGAAGTTAGACAGGCGTAGCTTCAACCACTGTGGCTGGTAGATGTGTCTAGCTATCCATGATGGCAGGCGGCTGTGGCGTGAGCAGCTGAGTCGTCGCTGAGTCGCCGCCTTTGTCACTAAATCCGAGTAATGAATGCCCTAAAAGGAGCGGGCGACTCTATGACTACATAGATAGTAGAGAGTCATCTAACTCTGACTCGATATGTATTGAAAGACGTTAGTTCGGTGATTGCTAAAGCAGGCAGCCGTGAAGTAGAACACCAGGACGACGGCTATCGTAGCTGCCTAGAGTAGCAACCTGGCTAAAGTAGGGATGAAGTACCAAAATCCGGCATGTAAACACCAAGCTATTAATGCGCTCTTTGATGGCCAGCATCCGAGAAACACAGACGGCGCCTCTGCTGCTGCTCTTTGTGTCCATGTCAAATGTTTGAGGATCCGAGCACGTGATCCAAGTCTCGCAGCGGTATTTAAGAACCGGCGCCCCGCGCAATTAATACCAAGGAGCCGCCAGCCGCACCGCCATACGTCAATCCTTGTCACTACTAGCCAACTGCACAAGTCTACGTCGCACTGGTCACCTCACTCCAACCAATTCCCACGATCTTCTGCGATTCTCCGCAATACGCGACTGCAAATTGTGCCTGCAAGCTCCCCCGGCGTCATAGCTCTCGTGACGCGAGGCCGCAAGGTCCATCCATTGCGCCGACGCGACTGCCCCAAACACCATATAGCGCATCGCATGGACTGCTACATCAAGGAATGAAGATTACATCGCCGCGGGATTTGTCGTATCCCATCACCATCGTCGACCTCCTGAGAAAGCGGGATGAAGAGGTCAAGCGGTCGGATAAGCTGTTCAACTACCGCTATGAGACGCCGGTGACGGAAGGCGACAAATGGGGAGGGGAGAAGATAGTCATGAAGAAGATGATTCAGTTCTTCCATGCAAGCACCGAGGGAAAGGTCACGCGATGGCTGATCAAGCCTGGCACCGTCATTGAACGGCCTGGGTAAGCCAACTGCGATGTCAGTAACACAGACAGGGTGCTAATACAGGCCTAGCATTGAGCTTCTCGAGATTCAAGAGCCCTGCACGCACGAGACACAGTTCGGCGGCCTTTGCGTCGACTGCGGAGAAGACATGACCAAAGTCGACTACCTCACAAAGGAGAGCAACGCAGCCCGAGCGACCGTGAACATGACGCACGACAACGTTGCGCTACTCGTCAGCCACAAGGAAGCGGTGGCGGCTGAGGAGGATGCGAAGAAGCGATTGCTGAGCGCAAAGAAGTTGACGCTCATCGTCGACCTGGACCAGACCGTCATCCATACCACTTGTGAGCGAACAATTGCCGATTGGAAGACCGACACCGAAAACCCGAACCATGATGCTGTCAAAGACGTACAGGGCTTCCAACTGGCCGACGACAATGTCTCCAACGTGGCTGCGAACTGGTACTATGTCAAGATGCGCCCGGGGCTGAAAGACTTCTTCGACAGAGTATCGAAGCTCTACGAGATGCATGTCTACACCATGGCGACCCGAGCATATGCGCAAGAAGTCGCAAAGATCATCGACCCCGAACGGAAGTACTTTGGTGACAGGATCCTTAGCCGCGACGAAAACTACACGGACAAGCTGAAGAGTCTGACGCGGCTATTCTACCAAAATACCGCAATGGTCGTGATCATCGACGACAGGGCAGATGTTTGGTCATATAGCCCCCACCTGGTCCGCGTACCCGTGTTCAACTTCTTCCCTGGCGCAGGCGACATTAATGCAAGTTTCTTGCCCAAGCAGCAGGAGCTGGTGTCGTTTGCCAAGGACAAATCACCGCCAACGCCGAAAAAGGGAGAAGTAGACGGCGATGTCTCCAACGCCGTTTCTGATTCCGCCAAGCCTGCCGACTCTACCTCCTCAGAAGCTAGCAATGGCGACCTTAACGAGCTAGGGCAGCAGCTGATCTCTATGGCAGCAGGAGAAGATTTGGAGCAACAGGCCAAGGAACAGGAGAAACTCATCATCGCACAACAGACCGAGCGGCCCCTTTTGCAGCAACAGCTCATGCAGGACAAAGAAGATGAGAAGGCCGAAGAGAGCGAACAGCCTACTGAAGCGGGCAGCAGCGACCCACATCACTCAGAGCAGCCCAAAGTTCGGCATAGTATCCTGGATAACAATGACAGAGGCCTGGATATAATTGAGCAGAACCTGCTTCGCGTCCACCGCACATTTTACGACGAATATGTAAAGGCAAAGGCAGTGCCAGCGAGCGGCCGTATCGCCGAGCTGAAGGGCGAAAAGAGCCCGAAGAAGCGTCCGTTGAATGACGTAATTCCTGATGTTGCCGAAATCATGCCGCGCATCAAGGAGGAGGTGCTCGACGGGACAGTGGTTGTCTTTTCGGGTATTATTCCGCTAGGCGTTGACATTCAATCGTAAGTATCCCGCTTGATAGTGTCACATGGTAGAAGCTAATACTGTATAGATCCGACTTTGCACTGTGGATTAGGAGCTTTGGCGCAGAAGTATCTACCAGCGTCAACCGTCGGACAACACATGTCATTGCCAATCCCGATCGGAAGACGACGAAGGTCAAACGGGCCGCACGATACTCGCACATCAAGATTGTGAACCCCGAATGGATGTTCCAGTGTTGCACAAGGTGGGAACACGTAGACGAGACGCCGTATATGATTGAAATGGATGCTGCTGAGCGTAGCGGGTCACCATTTGGGGAGCTTGAAGACGAGAGCATCGGCGCTACAGGCGATGAAGATGCAGAAGAGAACACGGAATCGCCGGTTACGCTCGATCTGACGGCCGATAATTGGGCAGATGTCGATGATGAGCTCAATGATTTCCTCAACGAGACCGACACTGAAGGCGACAACGAGTCGGACTCCGATAGTGTTCGTTCGGAGAATAGCACGCCATCCGACATGAAACAAAGCAAGAAGAAGCGGAAACGAACAACGAATTCCACGGATGCCAGCGAGGCGGAGGAAAGCGATAGTAGCGTCAACAGCACATCACGACTACAACGACGGAAGAAGCGCACCATGGAGAGGGTCACTTCCTTGGCCAATGTAGTCACCGCAGACAAATCATCAGGCCTACCCAGTCCAGAGACGACAGGGCCAGAAGAGGGACAGGGAGAGGACGACGAGAAAGCTCTGGAGACAAACGGAGTTGGGTTAGATTTGCAGGAGGAATACGATGATGGACTGGAGGCGGAACTGTTGGCTGGCTTTGGAGACAGCGACGAGGAGTAGAGGATTACGACTATCTTGTATTAATATTTACTCACCTGCATAGCGAGGTGTTTGGCATGCGGCGTTCTATTGGCCATCTTGGGATACCTTACATATAGGACGGATACCCCAGGATCAAGCTAGCGGGCGGCATGGTGGCTCATATACAGCAAATGGAAATCATGATGTTTCTCTGGTATCCTTTTTGTCGTGTCCATGTACTGCCGTAAAACTTCAAACTCCATCTCAACTAACTAAAGTGAGAGCTACGAGGGAGATATCGACCTTGGCACGTGCTTGGGTAGCATGTAACCGGTCAATGCAGGGTTCACTCGGATACCCAATAGGAGCTAGCCAGCACATGCTTCCAAGTTACCCCAGCTTCGCGCGCACACTAGCGCCCTTTGATTGAGCGTGGGGCAGCGGGACCCTACACCCACCTAGGTTGCAACTAGCTGCCAGTGGGACAGTGAGGCTGAACGTTTCTTTTGCTGCCCTTCAACGCTCACCAAAAGAGAGCTGATCCTTCTTTTCGCTTCTGAGCTCCACCTCCACCAATCAAGGTAGCATCGCCAGCCTTAAGCCGACCTAGGCAGCAGTCAACTCAGACAATAGCACCGAGCTATCATTATTAAAGTACGGCAACCGCCCCCAATCTACGTTGTTTAGCTCCGAGCTATCGTGTGGCTCAACGATCTTACTACAAAGACCTTGGAGTTGCACGGGAGGCAGTTGAGGGTGGAGTAGCGCAATATGACGTCAAGACTGAGCTTCATGGGCTTATCGGTGGATTTGAAAACGTTGGTCGTTCAACATGTCAGTCAAAAACCATCCCAGGCGTAAGGGTGCTGGAGAAGAAAAGGCACCCGCAGGCTGACTCCTACATAGATCACCCGTCCCACCGACCTCAAGAATGTGTGCCTCGCCAGCAAGCAGCTCCACGAGATCGCAGTCCGCCAGCTCTACCATGAGGTAACCCTCGACGTCGGCTCGGCGAATGATGGACGGATTGCTGCCTTTCTCAGCCCTAAGAATATCGGTCTGCAACATGTGCGGAAACTTGATCTCTACCTCGCCGATGTCATCGACAAGTGCAACAACCAGTTACAACAAGCCAACTTCGCGATTCGTATGATACTAGAGCTGTTACCAGAGAATATATTAGAAAAGTTCAGCTGGCATCCATGGTCATCGTTCTCTGGCGATAACCTGGTGCTACTGTACAGGAAGCAGAGACGCATGAAGTGGATGGAGAGCATTGCGCTTGACCGGGACGTCCTGGGAGACCTTCAGAAAATACCGGAATTCGAAAAGCTGTTCGAGAATGTGCGAAAGATTGGCCTATATCCAGATTCGCGGGAGGTGCTGGACTTTTGCCACTTCCTCCTCAAGAATACGGCCAACCGCAAGCTCGACAAGATGACGCTACACGCGAGCTTTGACGAGACCGACTCGTCAATACCAGATCGGGAGTTGTACGACTCCTCGACGGGGCCTGGCCTGATGACCTCGACCATGTTCAGCCACATGCAACCCTTCGCAAAATGTACACCTATCGCACTGAAGGAGATCACGCTCCAAAAGCTTAGATTGCGATATGCGGCGGATACGTACTGCAAGTTGATCGACTTTCAATCAGTCAAAAGCATCCGTGTCTTTGGCTGCTCCGGTGCCGACGCGCTCTTTGCAGAGCTTAGCAAGAGCACAAAGCTACCCGACAAGCTCGAGACTCTGGAATTCAAGCACGATGACAATCCCGAGAATGACGGTCTAGGTGCCATTGAGGGCTTTTTGTGCTTGGTCTCTGGCATCAAGACCCTCACCCTCGACCTTACATATGCCAAGAGTCTCCCGGCATCTGCAGGTATCGTACGGCATGGAAAGACGCTGAAGACACTAAACATACACGCTAGCACGGGACCTGACAGCTGCGACGACGAGCTGGTCTACGACTATGCATCGCTATCGCAGATTTGCAAAGACTGCTCGCTGTTAGAGCAAGTTTCGCTAGCTTTCCCGCAGGTGAGCGTCATAAGGAGCAAGAACGACAGCTTCGTCAACTTTGAGGTAGGTTTACCTTCGATACTCGTTCGTTCGATTGGCAAACAGTCAGACGATTCTCGAATTCTGGTCGTAGACTACGTGGACAGACTGACCCAAGCACTACCCCACTATGTTTTGCAACGGGCAGTTTATATGCTCTACTTTTTCTTGACAGATAATCGGTTCACTAATGCGACTTTTGCAGAATTGTCTCGGCGACCTCCCAGGCCTGGTGACACTGAATATCACTACCTGGCCAAACGACAGCCCGTCATCGACGAAGCTGCCGCGAAAGATCTACGAGCACCTTCTTGCAGGTTTAGCCCAACAGGGCTTCGAACGGAGCTTAAGCCACGCCAAAGAACAAGGTCGCTCGTCCAAGCTGGCCATAATTGCCTTCGGCTCCTCTGACAAGGTGTATGATCGAGAAGATAGCCAGAACCAGATCAGTAAGTATTTTCATGTTAGCCATCGCGCATGTGTCGTGGATAGCCTTGAAGCTCCTCGGAATGTGACCCCTGTGCTAATTCCAACTAGTCTTTGTCAAAGGGCGACAAATCGACCCTCTAGGCAACGAGAAGTCAACTGCAGTACAACTCGGGTGGTGCTTGAGGAAGTTTGTCGATGCAGGGCCCAAGAGCGATATCCTTGATTTCTCTCTCTCACGATCTTCGCGGCCGCCAACGCGAAGTGCAGCCGACAGTGACGATAGCGACTGACAGATACGGGCCCACGGGGGGTTGGAATGGGCACATGCTACGGTGGAATTGCAATGGCAGTGATGCACGGTAGACTGATGAGACTCGGGAGGGGGTACTTTGATATGCCATAGTGCTGCGTCACGAGCAATTAGGTCGTGGTTTGGCACGTGACACAGACGTCAGAGCTTGTTTTTTGTGCATAGCGTTGGTAGATATCCCACCCCCACAGGTTCAAGCGGGCGTCTGACGATAGGAATGTATACACGACTTTGCGCAGGAAGCACACATGCCCTGTTCGCCCGATGCCTTTTTCAAGACGAGGCTCCTCATATTGTCGGGGCTTTTGATCTCATCCTCGACCGCATGGGGCTGGATTGGCTGGCCCAAGCTCAAGCTTCGACGAACGCAGTGCATCAGGTGCGGACAGGAGCAAGACGGGTTCGCTGCAACAAAGCGCAAATGGTAGGGGGACTAGGAGTTGCTATGCAAGACCAGCATACTGGGTAGTTAGTCCAAGAGCCCCAGTTGATGCTATTCCCCGCGTATCGTGCATCGCTTCTTCAGGTACCACGCCCTATCATCAACTTCGGTCCCTTTTGCGCGCCAATTTCCCATCGACATGCATCCAACGCTACCCCAGGCGTTCCCCTCAGCGAGCCTCTAGCCAGCTTCCGCTACCGTACCCAGTACATCATCTTCCCGGGCCGACGCCTGCCGTGTGCCCAGTTCACAACCATCGGATCGCGTGTGAGGTGAGCTCTGGGAGAAAACATCGTCTGCACAGCACAGCACCACACCGCACCGCACCGCACCGCACCGCATAGCACCGCAGGCTCTGGGAGCATCGCGGGGCCCAGGGGATTGGCGACGACGTCTCATCTCATCCGTGTGCTCTGCGAGCTAACGCAATGTCAGACCAGTTTCCACCGTGGTCGCGGGAAATCATCGGCAGCGCGAGGCCCTCTTCGACCATGACCTCGTCGCCGCACTCGTCGCACTATCCTCCCCCGCCAGACGACCAAGACGCCCACTACGCGCCCATCTATCCCAATGCCCAGGTCCTCGACGCCCAGCCTGCCCGCGCGCCCTATCCGCAAGAGCCGCCGTTTCCGAAGCTCGAAAACATCAACGAGGTGCTGCAGGCGCAGCAAGCTCTCCATGCGAATCATGCCTTGACCGACCAGCATCCTCAACACGCTCCCGCGCCGCCGCACCAGCCGAAGCCAAACCGCCTGCGCAAAGCATGCGACTCGTGCAGTATACGCAAAGTCAAGGTACGTCGGGTGCCACTACTGTGCATGTTTGCCAGAGCACGTACTAACGCGCTAGGACAGTGCGATGAGTCTGGTCCGCCATGTCGAGCCTGCTTGGCCCTCGAGATACCCTGTACCTTTGAGCGTCCTAGTCGACGACGGGGCCCTCCCAATCGGCATGCAGAGGCCGTCAAGAAGCAACGGCTGAATCCTGGAGACTCCAATTCCGGGGCTTCGTCGCCGCAGTCTCCTACCAATGCAGCCCATGCCCTGGCCCAGTTGCAGTCCTCCCATCCTGCACAGCTCTCCGCCGAGGCAATCTGCCCGCTTCCCACCATGAACGCCCTTATCGACGACTTCTTCATGTACATACATCCGCTGTGTCCCTTCCCACACGAACCTTCGTTCCGAGAGGCATGGGAACGCAGGGAAGACTTCACCAATCCTTCCTTCTTGGCCTTACTGGCATCCATGATTGCTGCCCTGGTATCCTCGTTTCCTCGCAAGCCCCGCCTCCATCTGAAAACGCAGACACGCCTCGAATACCCTTCACATCTCTCCCTCGTCGACAAGTGCCGAGAAGTTTGTACACAGGCGCGCGGACCCGGCTACCTAGACCGTCCGTCTTTGAACGTCTATGATGCGTGCACGAGCTACTTTTTAGGCCTGACCGGAGCCTATGTGTTCCAGTGGCGCCAATTGCGGCTCTACCTCGCCGAGTGTCTAACCATCATACGCTCGCTGGGTCTTCACAAATCCGAATGTCAAGGTTACACCTACCTAGGCAGCGTACCCAGTGCCTGGGGTTCAAATGGACCCAATTTTGACGGCTCAAGAGACTTTAAGCTAGACTACATCACCGAGCAAATTGGACGGAGAGTATTCTGGGCCGTCTTTGTTGGCGTGCGGTAAGCCCTAGACAGAATGCAATGGGTTACAAGTTATGCTAAAGTCAAGAACAGGACAATACAGCAGCTAGGCGCCTCTTTTGGGGAGCTCATGATTGCACCTGCAACCCCAACCGAGCCTCTGCCTCCACTGCCCGAAGAAGTCGATGACGTCCACATTTTTCCAAATGAGATTCAACCTCAGCAGATTGGTGTCGTCTCCCTGATGGCAGGCTTCAACACCAACGTACGCATCTATCTGTCGTACTCCACGCTTGCGACGGCAGAAATGGCTTTTGGCGTTGATGAAATATTCGACTGGGATCGCCAGCAGCGTATCTTCGAAGAGAGTTTGCAGCGCTGCAGACTGGCTCTCGAGGCCATTCCCGAGGTGCTCAAAGTTCAGGCGAAACCCGGACGAGCTGGCGGGTTCACACAGCAGAGGCAACCCTACTATCCGCCCATGCCAGAATTTTCAGAAATGAGAGACCCAGCGTTGAACCACTACAGTGGTGCTGAGTCTCATGACAAGCGCCGTTACGAAATTCAGAAGGCAAACGTCTACGCGAGCCACTTAGCGACGCGCTCATACTTGGTAGAAAAGTATTACTTGCAACTAGAGAAATTTCACAAGGTGAAGAGTCAGGCAGCGCGGCAGAAAGAACCTAATGTTCTAGTCGCAGGGCTAGATAAGTTCCTGACTGGTCCACCAGCCAACGCCGACGCCGAAGCGCTAGAGCGGACCATGTCCGACGAACGCGAACAAGTAGTCAGTGACCTGCTTGTGGTGCTAGGAAGCATCGATATGGTCAATATGGAGCCAAATGGCGACTCCTTTGTAAGTCTCCACATCTACTTACAACACTCCGATTTACTGTACGAGGCTGGCAAACAATTAGCCCTATCATGTCCGACTCAAGATTTCTTTCGACTCAACCGTATCAGTCCGATTGCAAGCTTACGATTTGTTCCGACACAGACCCAGAAGATCCGGTCTATAGCGAGTACCTTGCTTGAAGTGCCGAAGGAGAGAAAGGGCAGCGTGGCACTTCAACATCAAGACTATCTATACACGTTTCTCGACATCCTGAGTAAGTTGGAGAGGGCAAGTCCGGAGGCTAGCGACCCAGCGAGTGACACGGTTGATGAAGAGACGGAGCTTCGGCTTTGGGCGGATTTGAGAAATCATCAGCTCAAGTTTCAAGAGCAGGGTGGCGTCTATGGGTTTTCATGAACGAGAACGCACAAGTCAGGATAGCCTTGTGAACCCGCCCGCGGCCGTGAAGGTGGAAGGCAGGATCGAAGTATGCTGGCGAGGCATGCTCCAGATGTCACGACAGTGTGAAGAGTCACGGCTTGAGAGCAGTATCGGCTCCACGAGATCTGGGCCCTTTCGCTCAATAATACCTCCGTCACAGGAGAGGAAACATGGTCGATTTGCTTTGTTGGAGAGAAAGAGAAGTTCAGAGGACGATGTTGATGATCGTGGTAGGTAGACAGTCAATTGCACAAGGCCAAACTTAGTATACAGCAGCGCGAATCGCATCTTCTAGCTTTGTCGTAAAGTAACATGACGTTTTCTCAACCTATGTACACTCTTACATCAAGGTACAGATACACTTCTTTTACCAAATACGGCATGCAGGCTGGAGTCAGTAACCCAGACCCTCCCTGTGGCATAGGGCGCCAAAATCATGCCAACAACAATGGCCCTGCACTTGTGCAGCCTTTTCCTTGTTGAGGACCTGTTTTTCTTTTTACTCTAATGTTCCCTCTCTTTCATGCGTCTACGGCACAACCACCACACCTAAACTTCCTGCCTGCCCAACAACACTCCTCGCAATGCCTTCCAAGCTCAACCCACTCAACCTAGTTTCACTATGCTTGATCTTTGCAATCTCGTATACATGCTTCAAACTCACAGTCCCAACCGTGCCCATGGTCGCATTGCCCACCGTTGGGCTATTCGTCGCTGTTTTGCCTCTTTGTCCGTCATGATTGTTCATCGGACCCGGGACGTTGCCGGCGCCACGTATCTTGTGCTTGGTGGGCAGCACGCCGGCCGCGCTGAGGAGTAGAGTTGCGGTGGGAGGTGTGCGGAGGGAGAAGTGGAAGGAACGGTCGGGGCGGACAGTGATGCGTGCAGGAATGGGGGTTCCGGCTGTGTAGTGAGCTGTTCGTGCGTTGAACTCCTGTGAAGACTGTATTAGACACTGTGTGGGACTGCGCGAGGGTCGCTGTAGAGCATGTCGTACCTTGCAGAAGTCCATACTCTTCACGCCTTTGCTACCCAGCGCAGGACCGACTGGCGGTGACGGCGACGCCTGCCCTGCGCCGACAATCAATTTGACGATTTGGTCTTTTGCGATTCCTTTTCTCGCCATTGTGCTATGTGGATGCGATGATAATGGCGATGGGCAGCTTTTGCGGACTCGTCTCGGAGGTCTCGGTCACTTGATTTTCCGGCACATGTTCAAACACAGTAATTGCCCGACCAACGGCTCAGACGGCACTCAAACTGCGAAGAATTGTCTGTAGACATGGTCCGGAGGTGTTGAAACGGTCATTGTTGGCTGCGAAGTGAGTACTGTCGACACTTTCACGTGACGGCGCGTTGGAGCTAAACCTGTGGACAAGCTCAACGCGTCGACCTTCCGCCACCATGGATCACCATTCCAACACCATTTTCTTATCCATTCGTCCTCTCTCACAAGCCCAACGGCCAAACACCTGCTGCGACACCTTGACTAGTTTTTGAGAGCCTGCGCCAATCCTTCAATGCACCGACCGAAAACACTCGCATCTGGTGAGGCGACCCCGGCGAAGCCTGCGGCGCGGTTGTATGGTGGCACTCCACAATCGACCAACCGCCTCATTAGGCCGTTCAAATGCCCTGGCTCCGCAACCTCGACACGGGTATCGGAAAAGCCCGCAAGGAAGAGACGGAAGGTTGACTATTCTGGTGCCGGCGGGGATGACGGAGAAGGTGACAAGCCGTACTCGAACGATGATCGATTAGCACTTGCCACGCGTGATGCAAATCGCTTCCCCGTATTCAAACCCAAGGACAAGGACACACTGTTCAAGGCCAAGTTCATCATTCCTCTGATCAACAAGGACACGGGTGCCTACAACCCGAACCGGCCAGCTCCGCTGCTCGGTATGCGGATAGGCACAGTCTTTGTTGCGCGGCCGCTGCATGACCCCAGCGGAGAGTTTGCAATTGTATTGTACGATCCTACAGTCGATGACAAGCCTATACCGAAAGAGGAGGTAGAACCAAAGCTCAGTCAAACTGAAAAGAAAGAGCTAGAGGCTCCGCTGGTGCACAAGAGTCTGGCAGAAATCCTGGGTTTGAAGAAGAAGGTGGAAAACGAGCGTCCACGCGTGCCAGTCGTCATAGATCCGAGGCTCGCCAAAGTTCTCCGTCCTCATCAGGTCGAAGGTGTCAAGTTTCTCTACCGAGCGGCAACTGGCTTGATTGATCCGAAGGCACACGGCTGCATCATGGCAGACGAGATGGGTCTTGGCAAGACGCTCCAATGCATCGCCCTAATGTGGACCCTTCTGAAGCAATCACCCGATGCTGGCAAGTCGACGATACAGAAGTGCGTCATCGCATGCCCTTCGAGTTTGGTGAGGAACTGGGCGAATGAGCTTGTCAAATGGCTCGGGAAGGATGCCGTTACGCCCTTCGCTATTGACGGAAAAGCTTCCAAGGAGGAGCTGATCCAGCAAATACGACAATGGTCTATTGCATCCGGACGTGCGGTCGTCAGACCAGTACTGATCGTCTCGTACGAAACGCTGCGTCTCTACGTCGACGAATTTGGACAGACTCCTATTGGTCTGCTACTCTGCGACGAGGGACATCGATTGAAAAACGGCGAGAGCTTGACCTTTACAGCACTCAATAGCTTGAATGTGCAGCGGCGAGTCATTCTCTCTGGTACGCCCATTCAGAACGACCTGTCAGAGTACTTTGCACTGCTCAACTTTGCGAATCCGAACTATCTCGGCACACGAATGGAATTTCGCAAGCAATATGAGATACCCATCCTACGAGGTCGCGATGCTAATGGAACGGATGAAGACTTGAAGAAGGGTAATGAACGTCTAACAGAGCTTCTAGGTCTAGTCAACAAATTCATCATCCGACGGACCAACGACATTCTCTCCAAGTATCTCCCTGTCAAGTACGAGCATGTCGTCTTCTGTAATCTTGCACCGTTCCAAAAGGATCTGTACAATCATTTTATCAAGTCCCCTGACGTTCAGAGCCTACTTCGTGGCAAGGGATCGCAGCCGCTCAAGGTCATTGGCATGCTCAAAAAGCTTTGCAATCATCCAGACCTACTCGATCTTCCTGACGACCTGCCAGGCTGTGAGAACGCCTTGCCAGAGGACTTTGTGCAAAAAGATGCCCGGGGCAGAGATCGAGAGGTCAAGGTTTGGTACTCCGGCAAGATGGCTGTTCTAGACCGCATGCTTGCACGGATCCGCGCCGAGACCAACGACAAAATCGTTTTGATATCCAATTACACCCAGACGCTTGATATTTTTGCTGCACTTTGCCGCTCGCGAGGCTACGGTTGTCTTCGTCTCGATGGCACAATGAACGTCAGCAAGCGACAGAAACTTGTGGACAAGTTCAATGACCCTGAAGGTCCCGAGTTTGTCTTCCTCCTTTCGTCCAAGGCTGGTGGATGCGGTCTGAATCTCATTGGCGCCAATCGACTCGTCCTCTTCGACCCCGACTGGAATCCAGCCGCCGATCAACAAGCCCTTGCTCGTGTTTGGCGTGATGGGCAGAAGAAGGACTGCTTCGTCTACCGGTTCATCACTACAGGTACCATTGAAGAGAAGGTCTTCCAGCGACAGTCGCACAAGCAGTCTCTCTCGTCTTGCGTCGTCGACTCTGCCGAGGACGTTGAACGCCATTTCAGTCTAGACTCCTTGCGGGAATTGTTCCAGTATCGCGATAACACGACAAGTGACACACACGACACATTCAAGTGTAAGAGGTGCAGGAAGGAGGATGGACGCCAAGTCATCAAGGCGTCGGCCATGCTGTATGGTGACACGAGTACGTGGAATCATTTTGTCAATGATGGGGAGAATGGCCCACTTGGAAAGATTCAAGATTTGCTACTGAGGCAGGAGACGGCGAATGACCTCAAGGATGTTAGTGCTGTGTTTCAGTACATCAGTCATTAGCTATTTAGCATTGTCAGTCTACAATCGCACTTTCTAGCAGGCGTCGGAGTTTGGCTTTGCGCATTGTTTTATACTTTCTCACGGTCTTGAAGCGCGAATTGCGTCGTTTGTGAGCGTTACATGATCACAGCGATGGCAGATTGTGATATTACTATTACACAGAAACGTCAGAGCACATAGATATGAGCATCGGAACTGATCACGTCTTGTGAAAATGATCTGCATTCGGAGGAGTTTCAACACAGCCAAGCCATTATATTTAATGAAACAAAGGGTTTAAAAAGCCCCTACGGCCCATGACTACCTGTTAAGCTATCGCCAGTTTGTAGAGTTGTACTTTGAGTGTGGAGATGTCAGTGAATACATGCAATCTACCAAGATAGGTGTGCTGCTCGACCATAGAGTCAAATATCGATCTTGGTGAATCTGGAATGCGATCAGTGGTTGCATACTTAGGCAGCAGTTCGAGTATGACTGTTCACACCTTCGAGGGTATAGAAAAGCTGGTCCGCAGCCTCCATCTGATCATTTTCACTCTGAATTCTTCGAAGCCTTGTACGTGACTCGGAACCTATCGCAAACATGGCATGATGAGGTTTGGAACCACGGTTGGCGACCGTTTCGAGCAGCCTATGCTGGAAGAATCAATGTAATCACAAACATCTCCACACTCAAAGTACTTTCACAGAACCAGCGATAGCTCAACTAGGGCGTAGGCGCTTTGGAAATGCTCTAATGGCATCTGTTGTGATATCGTACTGCCTGCCTAAGCGTGACAAGTCGGAACCACCAAGCTTGCACCACCTGGTCCGAGCTTCGACATTTCGAAGAGGTCCGCTTCCACTTTCACTGCCACTCACTCACCCCGGTTCTTTCGACGCACACTCCTTCCGAATACGCTCCCTCACCCTTCCAACACCCGGAATACACGTTCTCTACATACCACCCCGCCACCCAATATGGACCCAAAGCGCCGAAAAACCGGCGACCAGGACATCAGCGAGCTCCGTCTCGCATCGCGACAGAAATATCTAGCGGAACGAGAAGCACAGCAACTCGCCCTCCTCCGCCTTCAAGTTGACGCAGAAGCAGAGGATGAGGCCAGGCTAGGCTCGAAGCTGTCAGAACGAGAAAAGAAAGAGTTTGCTAGGAACAGGCAGACCTTGAGCCTCGCCGAAGCAAGACAAGCCATCGACGAACACCTCGACGGATACAGGCTTCCCGATTCAGAGTACTCAAACAAGACCGAAGTTCTCACCAAGAGACACAACGACAAGGAATCGCTGAAGAGCGAGGTCCAGCTATGGGAAGAAGAGCAAATCGGGAAGATCAAGTCGCAAATCAAGAAACCAGAGCGTGTGCAAGAGGACGACTACGAATATGTATTCGACGTGCAGACTCAGGTCTCGTTCCAAGCGGACCCCTCAAGCAGACTTGATCCCGATAAAAAAGCCCTTCAGGATCAGCTCGATGCCGCGGAAAAGAAGGCAAAGACCATTGAAGAGACACAGAAGAGCCTACCAGTCTATCATTACCGCGAAACTTTGCTCAAAGCCATGGAAGAACACCAAACGATTGTCGTCGTCGGCGAGACAGGTTCAGGAAAAAGCACACAGCTGCCCAGATACCTGGTAGAAGCTAATTATTCAACGAAAGGTGCCATCGTAGTCACCCAGCCGCGGCGAGTCGCCGCTATGTCAGTCGCAGCACGAGTAGCGCAAGAAATGGGAGTTAGACTTGGTAAAGAAGTCGGATACAGCGTCCGGTTCGACGACAAGACATGTGAGGAGACGATAGTGAAGATGGCGACCGATGGTATCCTATTACGCGAATTCTTTGCCGACCCCTTGCTCTCAAAGTACTCTGTCATCATGATTGACGAAGCGCACGAGCGCAGTGTCGCATCAGACTTACTTCTAACTCTGTGCCGACAAGTGAGTCGTGCTAGACCTGAACTCCGCATTCTTATCCTCAGCGCCACTATAAACGCGAAGCACTTTGCGGACTTCTTTGCAGCACCGGTCCTTAATATCCCCGGTCGAGCTCACCCTGTGTCTATCTACTACACATCGGCACCCGAAGCCAATTATCTTAGTGCGGCTATCACAACGGTCTTCCAAATTCACATCGCTGCCGATCTCCCCGGTGATATCCTTGTCTTTCTGACAGGTGAGGAAGAAATAATTTCAGCTCAGGAGAACATTGAATCGACAATGAAGAAACTCCGGGGCAAGGTCAAGGAACTCATTATCTGTCCACTATACAGCGCGCTTCCTCCTGATGTTCAAGCCAAGGTGTTTGAGCCAACGCCGCCCAACTCTCGAAAGGTCATCCTCGCTACCAACATAGCCGAGACATCCATCACCATTGACGGTACCAAGCACGTGATCGATTGTGGCTTCGCAAAGGAAAGCAATTTTAACCCTTCCACGGGTATCAGTTCTCTAGTTGTCAGCCCCATCTCTCGAGCCAGTGCCAATCAAAGAGCGGGACGAGCGGGACGAACTTCAGCGGGGTTTTGCTATAGATTGTATACACGCTTCGCTTTCTACAATGAGATGAGCGAGACGACGGAGCCAGAGCTCCAACGAACCGGCTTGGATGGTGTAGTTCTTACATTGAAAGGACTCGGAATTTCGAATTTGCTTGACTTTGAGTTCCTCGATCCACCATCACCAAATTCTATCATTAAGTCGCTGGAAGGCTTATACGCTCTGGGCGCTTTGGATAGTGCAGGAACACTAACAAGAATGGGCCGGAAAATGGCCGAACTACCACTCGATATCAAATTGTCCAAAGCCATTCTTGAGTCAGAGAAATACGGCTGCCGCGAGGAGATGCTTTCCATTGTGTCTGTCCTAGGAGAATCTGCGAGCCTATTCATGCGGCCCAAAGATAAGAGGGTAGCAGCCGATGCTGCACGCGCTCGTTTTAGTACCAAGGATGAGCAGGGAGGTGATTTCCTGACATACCTCAACATATGGCTACAATTTGAAGAGAGTGGCTTCGACCCGAGGTGGTGTTCCGAGAACTTCCTTCAATTTCGTTCATTGTCCAGAGCACGCGATGTTCGTGATCAGCTAGTCAAGCTCTGCGAGCGCGTCGAATTAGCCGAGACGAGCGCAGGATCGGACCACGTCGCCATTCGCAAATGTCTCACGGCTGGATTTTTCCCTAATGCCGCGCGACTCCAACGCGACGGTCTGAGCTATCGTACACTTTCCAACAACGGAATGACAGTTTTCATCCACCCTTCATCCAGCCTGAGTTTGGCAGAGAACCGTCCAAAATGGGTTGTTTACGCAGAACTGGTCGAGACGACAAAGGAATATATCAGAAGTGTCCTGCCTATTAATCCAGATTGGCTGGTTGAAGTAGCCCCGCATATTCATTCAGCAAGCTCAATCAGCAAACTTGGCGATAATAAAAAGATGCCTAAGGAAAGGACGAAGACGGGCACTGGCTACAACTTGCCAATCAAGTCAGCAACTGCCAGCCAAAAATAGGCTGTAGGTTTGACTTTAGTTTCAATCATGTTTCATCCCCGGCGAGATATTTTACCTGTGCGATTTCGCAGCATCCGTGCTATCTGGCACATGGCGACATTTCTTAAGGATCGGATATAGGTGTTCTGGTAGGAGAAAGTATGGCTCACCGTTCGATATGATACCCCTCTCAGTTGCGTCTATTTCAGTACATGTCATTTCTTGGAGCTAGTGTAGCATAGGGTAATGCTCCGGGATGAATACTAATGTCCCATGGACGTGTAGATTGGTGAAGATCATGGAACAGTAAGCGAATGTATCTAACGTGATGCATTCCTTAATTGTAATTTTGTTCCATCGTTTTCAATTTCGTTTGTAAGAACCGTGTAGCATACCGACATGCTCTAAGAGGCAAGGGAAAAGAGCAACTGCCTCGGAATAATACAAACGGACAATGATATCATGAGGACGTGAGTGGAGAGGACGCTAAGAACCTAATGATAGCTACCTGCCGGAACATAACAACCCTGAGGGGCAAAATATACATATCACAGAACCTGAAAGAAGTAGCTGAGTGCTTTCTAGATGATGTGATAATTAGATTAGCAGCGAAGATATCAGGGGTTGACGCCTACATGCTGCTGAAGCGAGCGCGACACTGAACCCGATGCCTGATGAAAGCATCCGCCCATACATATTGGCTATGGCGAATCTCCGCTACAAGACTTTGCGTTATCGCATCATGCGGCAGCCATGCTCTGCTACTTATTGCAAGGTGTTTGAAACGGCCCCTCTATGATACATCGAGGTTGGGGCCCATGTTCCATGGCTTTAGATTAGGTGAGTTGAAGGATCAAGGCGCGTTACAGACCTTGGGGTGCATGCCTTTATTTGTATTGCCTCCTCCACTTTTTGTCATGTTGTATGTGGAGAGAAAGTCAAGATGGTGAGCCCAACAAGTAGAATCACGAGCACTAGGTATTGTGTAGTGAGAAAATTCCTTCAATTTGTCATCGTACAGCATCATCATAGCGTCATTACATGCAGACACTCATCCCCTTCGACTCGCTTCTCGAGCCACTTCCAGCTTCTCCGCATGCTATGCCATGCCTATCATGGACGCACTTTATAACCAACCCGGACGTAGATAGATTGTTTACTATCGAGAGTTCTAATCCCCTTTTCTTCGACAAGTCGTCACGCCGAGACTAGCGTACCCATTGGAGGGTACTTGTGTCCTTCTTGTTCCACTCGTGGTCCACAGGTGCACCATTGCTCTGAGGGCACGTTACTCATGACACCCGCGACGTGTTTACCACAGCCCCACCATGTGGTCTTGTCTAGACCTAGTTAGAGATGATCAAGGTATAGAGAAGACCAAACATAGTGGTATTCGAGGTACGAGTATAGGGGTGGGGTGTCGAGGGAAAGGGAAACATACGGCAGGAGTCACACGCGGCTTTCTTGCACATGATGAACGTGTGGTTGCGAAGTCTCAGCTGCCAAACAATGGTGACTTTGGTGGCAGTTGAAGAATAATCGATGACCTGGTACTGGACAGATGTATGTCTATGTCTATACTATAGAGCTTCGGTGTAGGTAGTAGTGTAGAGAAGTATGACTTGAAGGTCTTGGAACTTTAGAGATGCAAAGTTAACCGCCCACTCCCAATAGATATATATCTCGGGCGCAAAACTTGACTTCCCACATACGTAGTCGCCACCGCTCAACCCTCACCGGGGATGCTCTTCGTTCATTTCCAATTCAACTTCGCCGACGTGGTCGCCGACCTAATTCGGACAACCCCTTGCACCAATCAGAACCCTCACTTGCTCTCACACTTGGCCTTTAGTCTCGTGTTGCCCTGCTTATTCTCGCTTGGCTGCGGGAAAGGCGCATTTTATAACCTATAGTCTGGGACAAAATGCATGGCAATTTGGGCCGGAGTGCGGGTTGCGGTTCGTAGTGTGCTTAGTGTGTAATAGAAAGAGTAGAGGCGTAAATTTAGCGGTCAACGCGAGCACAGAGGAATAGGTGGGATGCGATGGCGTGTATGAAACTTGCACGTGGCTCCGGGGATTTGAAGTTCCACAGCGGCTCAAATAGGTAGGAATTAACGTTTTTAGATATCGCAAAACGCCTCTCATTCGTTAAACGGAACTTTTGCCCAGATGTACACAAAGCGGATCTCACATAGTCGGGAGGGCAGTTCAAAAGTGATCAAACGTGACAATACATTTTACTGCATACTAGCCAATCCTCTAGTCAATGGCTGGCCTCGATCTATACATTATCAGCGCTTTTGATGCATGCCCAAACGCCTCCGCTGAGTATACCATAACTAATAGGCTCACCGCTTCAGCTGCAGCTTACGAGTCAACTTCGCCGACTACCCTCAGGAACGCCGGGTACTGCGGCAACACACACTGGACCCATACCTCTAATCGAAAGTAATTTTAGTCGCTTGCTTCATGCTATCGACGTCCTTATAGAATGCGCCATATGCATCATGGCCCTTCTTCTTGACCGTTGTGCCAAATTTCATCAGGTCATCTGGAACTGGCTGGTTCGCTGCTTTGAGCACGTTGATCAACCTATACAAATTAGCATATTCACGACTTGATTGAAGTGGGGGACTGTTTACGATCCAGAAAGCCCTTTATCATGCTCTGTAAAGAGTGTGATTGCGAGCCCCTCCTTGCCGGCACGACCCGTCCGGCCAATCCTATGCACGTAATCCTCAGCCGTCAAAGGGAAAGTGACATTGATGACCAGCTTAACAGCCGGGATGTCCAAGCCTCGTGCAGCAACATCTGTAGCTACGAGAAGCGGCACTTGACCCTCCTTGAATGCCGCCAACGAGGCGCTGCGCTTCTCTTGGCTCAGGTCGCCGTGGATGCCGCCCACGCGGAAGCCCTTCATGCGGATGAAGTTCTCGATGCGCATAGCTTCCTTTTTATACAAGCAGAAGACAAGAATGCGATCGTCCTTGTTCTTGCCCGATTGGTATTGCTTGAGCAGCTGAAGGAGTCGCTGCTCTTTGGCGCGGGGGTCTACAACCTCGACCAGCTGCTTGATGCGCACATTGGCGCGGAGCTCGCCTGACACGTTGTCGCCGATGGTGATCTTGACTGGAGAGTTCATGAACGTAGACGCGAGCTCGCGAACCGACGGCGGCCAGGTGGCTGTGAACATGAGGGTCTGGCGCTTCTTGGGCGTCTGTGAGATGATTTGTCGAATGGCCTCTTCAAACCCCTTATCGAGCATTCGGTCGGCCTCGTCAAGGACCACATACTCGGCTTTGCTAAGGTCTGCGGTACCTTCTCCAATTAGATCGTTTAGACGGCCAGGTGTAGCGACTACGATGTGTGCTTTGCGGCAGGCAGCAACCTGGGGATCTTTTGGCACGCCCCCGTATACACAGACCACTTGGAGGCCAGCAGGTGTAGCCAATACGACCAACTGGTCGTAGATTTGAACCGCCAATTCGCGGGTTGGCGAGACAATGACTGCCTTGATCCCCCTTCGCTTATCTTTGGGTAGAGACGAGATGAAGCGCACGCAGGGCACGCCAAAAGCCAGCGTTTTGCCAGATCCTGTCTCGGCCACTCCGACCATATCCCGCCCTGACAGTAAGAAGGGCCATGTTGCCGCTTGTATAGGTGTAGGGGCGCTGAATTTGGCGAAGGGTGCCCGCTGGGACTCTTCGATGGGTAGGTATTTGAAATTAGTAATCGGGCGAAGTTTGCGAGCAGCGGGCTTCGGGTCGTCGATCGTCATAACGTTCTTGGTCAGGAAGGCATCGATGTCCGACTGCGGGAGTTGCGCCAACTCGTTGTTTTCCTGATATTCGCCAGACTCTACGACTGGTTCTTGGCTCGTGGCGATGGGCTCGACTCTCGACACAGCAGCGGCGGACTCGGAAGCTTCGCCGTTGGCCAGGTCCTTCAGTTTCTTTTTCTCTGCCTTTCGAGCGGCTTTTTTTGCTGCCTTGACAGTGTCCTCATCCTGTTCAGCTGCTGCTGCACTGAGTTCGGCATTGCCAGTCCCGTCCGCAGCTTTCTTTGCCTCTTTCGCTTCCTTCCTCGCCATTTTCGCAGCTTTACGCTCAGCCTTTGAAAGCTTCTCGTCGTCTTCCGAATGCTCTACGCTTTTGCCATTGGCCTCCTCCGGGTGCGCATGTGCATCTATCTCAGTCGCATCGGTTGTGGCCGTCTTTCTAGACTTCTCACTCTTGTCCTTCTTGCTCTTCTTCCTTGAAAACTCGGGCTTTACAATCGCATCATCTTCAGCGACGACGTCGGAAATCGGTCGCTTCCCCATGGCGTTGGTGTACAGCGTTATACAAGTAGAGAGTTGCGAAGGATGGAAATTTCTCTTTTTCATCGGCGGTCGGCAAAGCGCTAATCGATAAAGGCTCAACTATACTTGAAGCGGTTAGGATACAATCTCGCGGGTTTGACTGACGCGGTCGGGGCAACACCTCATCAGTGTATTCCTGTCGTCGCGTCGTCGCTGGTCTAGTGCAGATGGTATGCAGTGTTGATTTGGGTGAATAGGTGAACGCATGTTGCTCTAATAATCGAAACGCGCTACCAGAAACATCCTCACTGCTATCTGCACTCACTCCATGAAGGCATGAACCAGGCCACCACGTTTGCCTCGACCTCGAGAGACCCGGAGCAATTATGACGGACGTGACAGAGTTGAGGTGCTGGCCGTCGTGTGTCGACGCGGTTGATTGGTCTCATGATGGCATCATTGCATTAGCCTCTGATGAGCGTGTCGAGCTGTTCGTGCGTTCACCACCCTCGGTACCTGCGTCTGGCTACTAATCGACAGTCAGTTCCCAAATACAGTCAGTTTCGATGGGGACCAAGACGTCCCGCAGTGGCAACATGTGCCTCTCAAAGTACCTCTGTTTTCCTACGATGAGCTGCCAGTCAAGGAACCTGCGCCATTGCCCACGTACTCGCTTGGTGAAGAAATCTCAAGCAGCGTACCTATTGCCATAGCTTGGTCACCTCCTGGTCTTGCAAAGCATCGAAGATGCGCGCTTGCCACACTTACTGCGAACCTGGTCCTGTCACTCTGGTCAACGGAGAGCAAGCCACAGGAGGAATCGAGCTGGAGTCGTCGCCTTATCGTCAATAACGCGCTTGCAGACTACTTTCTCAACAACGTGGCTGATGAGCCTAGTCACCTTGGCTCGGGGCTTGGGGAGCAGATGCGACTGAGGACCCGTATTCGGGCATTTGCTTGGGCGCCTGCTTTGCCTAGCTCTGAAGCGAACGGCATCGTGGGGACACGCTTGTCGTACGGTCAACACATTGTAGCCGTGTCCAACGACGACAATCAAGTTGCTTTCGCCGTCATTGACTCGCCCACCTCAACCCTTGGAGTGGATAAGAGCTGGAGCGCAGAGGTGCTGACCCACTTCTCACTGACACCAGATTCGGAAAGCATCTTCTCTGAGCCAATTGTCTTTGAAGACATAATCAAACAACAAAGACACGTTTCGCATGTTGCGTGGAGTCCATGGATCATTCGAGGCGAATGGTATCATGCCGTAGTCGTGTACGCTACAAACGAAGATGTGCGAGCAAGGATTATAACGTATACACATGACAGCATCGGACTAGGCGACGAGGTTGTCTATCCCGATATCCAACTACGATACAATGGGCCGATGAAGTGGTCTCCTAGGGTCGAGGAGGGAAATAAACTCAAGCTTGCCCTATTCGCGAACTCGGGGCTTGTACATCTGACTATTTCGGCACACGACGCTTCAATCATTGACCAGATCACTCACGACCTTGATGGACGGCAGGACCAGATTTCAGGGGCTATTTGGGATTCCGCTCAGCACCCAACACTTCGCCTTCATTTCAGCTCGCTGTTATCGACCCTAGAGAAGCCGACCGCTGTTGTCGAAGCATCGTTTGATGGGCTCGAGAATCTCACCTCTCCAAATTGGCGAGATCAGATTGAAAATAACCTAGTGCTCTTCAGTGTCAAGAACGATCTCAAAGGCAACAGTAAGGCAAAGGTCTGGGGGTTGACTACCTCCCCACTTGGAGACTTCATTGTAGCCTGCAGTAGCGTACATCCTTCGGATATGATCGAGTATGGGCCGCCTGCAGATCGGCGTGGGACCATTGCCATTAGCGTTTTGCGACAGTACAGTCAACTACGAAAGGCCTTCCCAGCACGGAATGTGAGCGCGGAAGGCATTCTCTACACCCTGAAGAAACTGGCCGAGAATACCGTCGAAGACGCCGCTCAGATGCCCGCGTTCGCCGAAGAGATTGTAGACAAGCTCATGCAAGCTTACTCATCCTCTCCAGGCTCCATAAGCGGCAAGGGCAATTCAACAGCGTACCCTGACTCTAGCAACCTCGATGCCCTTGTTGAAGCGCTCAAAAAGGCAGCTTTCCTCGATCCGAATACACTCAGAGACCGCTATACGATTCTTGCATCTCAAGCCTGCAAGGTTACTTCGTCCAATAATAACCTCTTGAAAACCCTCATCGCTTATCGCCTCGCAACTGCACTACAAGACCTATCGTCATCACTTGTTCAGACGTCCTTTAGTACTGAGATCATTAGCCAGCATCAGCAACTCATGTGCCTAGTCCACACTCTTGCCGAACCTGACAAGTTGGAGGCCGAGCCTTTCATGAACAGGGTGAACGGCGCAAACAACGGATCGAGCGGGTATCCAAGTGTAGTCATGGATGATGCTATAGCACGTATAGAGCCTGCCGCCTCTGGGGTAGACAGGTGCGACTTTTGCTTTGCGCCCATACCTTTCACAGATTTAACAACATGTACTTGTACTAATGGACATGAATTTCCGAGGTGTGGCCTGAGCTTCCTTGCAATTCAAGCACCAGGCGTTACAAAGTATTGTGGCATTTGCAGTACGCCATTTTTAAACGAAGACTTTGTGATGGCGCAGGAGGTGGGAGTTCGGGAACATGACTTGGAGAAGGGGGGGTTCACAGCTGTGAAACATGTGGTTCAGGAGGGGAACATGGCTACTGAATCTGAGAAGAGGGAGCTTCCAGTCACACTGGCGAGGGTACTATTTCTCGCTTGCGACGTGTGCATCTATTGCGGCGGCAAGTTTGTAGGATGAGCGGAGCGGAGCGGAGATAGGACCTTGTTATTCCAGTATCAAAGGGTTGAAGGCCTACTTGAATGAGGAATGGATGCTATGTGAAGTATAACAAGTGGTTGGCAGTGTCGATCTCTACATGACCAATGGGCTCGGGAGAGTGCCGACCCGCGCGGTGACGGCGGTCTCACAACGGGTCAGCTAAGTATAGCCGTTGCAAATGTGGAACCCATGCTGCAGTCGGCGCGTTTCAGATGGTTGCCTACTACACAAGGCGATTGTGAGGCTGTTGCTGCTGCTGCTGCTGCTGCTGTTGGATGAAGGGGGGCCAGGCTGGCACGCCAGAGGGCATCATTCGCAGTGAGGTGATATGGGGGATAAATGCGGAATAAGCACAAAGCAGAAGGCGACTCGAGGATGAGGACCTTTGCCGGACGCCTATCAGACTGACACTCGAGAGTTAGCGAAACGGTTCTGGAAGGTTTGAGATGACTCTCGTGCATATAGCAGAGATCACAGGTGTGACTGGGGGCGGTTCAGGCCAATGGTCGAGTCGAGGGGCGGTTCGAATGGGTGCGTCTTCCAAGCTAGACGACAGGTCCGGCGGCTAGCCCAAAGGTCGCGCGCCGCCGTTGCACCTGCTTGTCCATAATATTGTATATCAGCGCGCGCCGTGATTGTGATCCGTTTCCTTTTTTTTTTACCTTTGATCCGCAGAGTCGTGTGTGTCTGTGTCTGTGTCTGTGTCTGTGACAATACCCAAGCAGATTGATTGTACTCGGTGCCTGCCCTGCCCCGCCCCGCCATCCCAGCAGCAACAGCAACAGCAACAGCAACAGCAACCCGCCGCAGCAGCAACACCCCCAACTACTCGACGCGACGGCTCTGGAGGGAAAAGAGCGTCTTTGAACTGTACGCCCGTTGCCTTTTCTTCACCCCACCCCTACCTTACTATTATTACCTTGACATTCACATTCACCGAGTGCTCGAGTCGAGGCTGACCTGGCCACCGCTGCCCACAGCACCCTCCCCCCCCCCCCCCCCCCCCCCCCCCGGCGACCCTGCCCCTCCTACCTACCTCCTACCTACCTTCTTCACACCTAACACGTCGGTCGAACCACCTCCCCCAAGACACACGCAGACTCCAGCTCATTTCGATTACAGAATTGGATCCATCGGCGACGCGCAGTTCAAGCCGAGCGTCTGGTACGTCAACGACTCTTCTTTGGTGCCGCAAAGGTGGCGGCGCATAGACCGCAGCGCTTCTTTGTGCTCTCCTACGCTTCCCTTCATCGACACGAGCACTGTGCCGGTTTAGCTCATATGCTTCGAGCACGTGGGGGCTAAACCCAGTGTTATGACACGACGATGCTGTTTCACCTCATCCACCACGCCCGGCTGAAGACACCCAAGACATACCCCTTTCTGTCTTGCAAATCAACGTCTGCCATGCACACCTCTTAGACCTTGTGCTAACAAACAATGCTCATAGGTCCCGCGTTGAAGACTCCACCAAGCTCTCAACAAACAACACGATACCTCACACGACCAAGCACCTCAATTCCAACCACTTCGTTGCGCAGCAGCGCACAACACGCACAACACCCGCCAGCATGCCACCTGCCGGGAGCGGTAGCTCCAGGAAGATCTCTTTCAATGTTTCTGAGCAGTACGATATCCAAGATGTCGTCGGAGAAGGCGCATACGGTGTTGTTTGGTACGTGCAAGCCATACATGGCAGTGTCAGCGCGCGTGCTAACCCCTCCGACAGCTCTGCACTGCACAAGCCGTCAGGCCAGAAGGTCGCCATCAAGAAGATTACGCCCTTTGACCATTCCATGTTCTGTTTGAGGACGCTGCGAGAGATGAAGCTGCTCAGATACTTCAACCACGAGAACATCATCTCAATCCTCGACATTCAGAAACCTCGCAACTACGAAACATTTACCGAGGTCTATCTCATCCAGGTGCGCACAAATTCCTAGGCGTGCTGCAAACTCGCTGATGACATAATGTAGGAACTTATGGAGACGGATATGCACCGCGTCATTCGCACACAGGAGCTCTCCGACGACCATTGCCAGTACTTCATCTATCAAACGCTACGCGCGTTGAAGGCCATGCATTCAGCAAATGTCCTCCATCGTGATCTTAAGCCCTCCAATCTACTCCTCAATGCCAATTGCGATCTCAAAGTATGCGACTTCGGTCTCGCGCGATCAGCTGCGTCGACCGAGGACAACTCAGGTTTCATGACCGAATACGTCGCCACGCGTTGGTACCGTGCACCGGAGATTATGCTTACCTTTAAAGAGTATACAAAGGCGATTGATGTGTGGAGTGTAGGCTGCATTCTCGCTGAGATGCTCAGCGGAAAGCCGTTATTCCCAGGAAAGGATTGTACGTTTCTGATCCTTCGATTTGACCATCACAGCACGCTGACAATGCCACACAGACCACCACCAGCTCACATTGATCCTCGATGTGCTCGGTACGCCCACCATGGAAGACTACTACGGCATCAAGTCTCGCCGAGCGCGCGAGTACATACGATCTCTTCCATTTAAAAAGAAGATCCCGTGGAAGGCCATGTTTCCCAAGACGAACGACCTTGCATTGGATCTGTTGGAGCGACTATTGGCCTTCAATCCTGTCAAGCGCATCACGGTTGAGGACGCGCTCAAGCACCCATACCTCGAGCCATACCACGATCCAGATGATGAGCCGACCGCCGACCCAATTCCAGAGGAATTCTTCGACTTTGACAAGAATAAGGATAATCTGACCAAGGAGCAGCTGAAACGTAGGTAACCGAGAAGTGGCATTCTGAACATCATTGACGTGCAACAGTCCTCATCTACCAGGAGATTATGCGATAAACGTCACCAAGTTTTCAACGCGTGCGATATTTACACAAGATACCACAAGCATATCGACCTCGCAGCTAGCTGGCCTGAGCTCACCAACATGTGAGCACGTGAGAGGATGCTTCTCATCTCCCTCAATTTGGATTTCTCTCAGAGAGACGGGTTTGCACGACACAGAGAGGTGACGTGGAAACGGGCTCTAGATAGCTTGCCAAATATTTCTCTTACAGTCGGCGTAAGAATACGACCAAGCACCAATGCATTGCTTCTTTTAAGGCATCTCACTGCTATATGAATTGTCCTTCCTCTCCCCCATTTGATCCTCCATCCTTGCTCCTTCTCAACTCTCCCGTCCTTTTGACATCACAAAATTTGTCACATTATCCTACTCGACACCAACATGCTTGAAGTCACAACTCTAGCTCAGTTAAAGGTTCAAAGTTGAGAGGCGTCGTCGTATAGTGAATGAGCCTATGAATGTAGTGTCGGCGAGGGGCTGCGATTATTCAATGCCGCCCAACGCCGTTTTGCGTACATGATGGTGATTTCATACATACAAATGGCCTCCAGCCAGTATATTTACATATCATACAGACACCCAGACTCTTCTTTATCTCCCTTATCGTGTCTTAGAAATCACATCTCCCATCTTTCCACCCAGTCCTCCACCGCTCCTCCCATCTCCCACAATCAAACGTCTGCTTTCCCAACTTCAGATTGACTGCATTATGCGCCTCACACATCCACGTCCCAAACTCGCTCCTTGAGCTGACCCGTGGTGTATTCGTCGACATCCAGCCCTGGAAATCTTCCGCGCACACCCAGCATGGGTATAGCTTGCCAAACGTCGAGAGGAAGGTCTTGGTTTCGGATTGGAGTTGTGGGGTGGGAGTTGTAGGGTAGGTTGCGGTGATGGAGTGAAGGAGCGTCCAGGACGAGCGCCCGAGGGCTTCGACATCCGGAGGGCAGTCGACGGGGAATGTTGGCGCGGTAGAGGAGGTTGAGGTTGAGGATGGGGTCGTGGGTTTCTTGCCTGCTATGGCGAACAAGGAGGCTACATCGTTGCAGGTCCGACACCTGCAAAGTAGGCGCAACTGTCAGCACTTGTTCTCTCCCCAGATGCAGACGACGACGAGCCCGCATCTCTTCCGGCGCATTCAGACGTTGGTACTTACGGCTTGCCATCAGGCCCAAGCACAATGCCTTTTGAAAGCTTCTTCGGTACAGCGGTTTCTGTATCGTGCTTCTCCGTTGTCTCTACTGACCCTGGTGTCATTCTTTCCCCCTCGACGGCCTTGGTCGTGGTTGTGACGTGCTGTGCATGTCGTGTGGTGATTTCAAATGCTCCCCGAACATCGTCCGTGCATACAGGAACCTCGGAGCGACCTAGACAGGGCTATCCATGCATCCATCCTCACTCCTCCTCGTCTCTACAAAGTTTAGGTGGTTATGTAATGCGCCGTTCATCTGAAATCACATCTGATCTGGAGTGTTCGCTGCCCTACGAATGGGAATAATAGCGTTGATAAGGATCCCTTCCTCTTTGCAAACACCGCCAAGATCGACTCATCGGCACTCTCCTTGATGAGACATTGAGCCATGGACGTGCCAGTAGCAGCTAATGTGTTTGGTATAATGGGAGCTGTATGTCGAGCGCAAGATACAGATGAAAGATGCTGACCTATGCTAGGTCTGCTGGTCCATCCAGGTGAGCATGTCACCCATTTTAGCTAGCAGTCACCTGCTTTGAGAATCTGCTGTTGACTACATAAGTTGATCCCCCAAATCGTCATCAATTACCGTCGACACAGTACGACTGGACTCCAGCCTACGATGATGATGCTCTGGGCATGGGCTGGCGTCCCCTTAGGCGTGTACAACATCACTAAAGAGTTCAATATTGCTCTACGGATACAGCCTCAAATCCTCACACTTCTAAGTCTAGTTACGTGGAATCAATGCTATTACTACGAACGGGTAACGTTGAATTTCCGTTTGTGCACACAGAAGCCAGGCTGACACGGTCAGAACTGGTCAATTCTTCGCTCCCTCGCCGTTGTCGTTCCGGTAGCGTGTGTAATGGGTGCCATCCAGGCTGGTCTCATACAGGCTGTTAGTCATGCTAAGCAAAGGGATATGCACTGGCCAGGTATCCTCATGGCTGTGGCTTCCGCTGCCCTTCTTGCGGCTGGTGTCCTTAGGCACTATGTGGATGTCTATCTTTACCGCACTGTTCGAGGCATATCGTTTGTCTTCGTGGGAATCGATGCCCTTGGAGACGTATTCTCACTCGTCTCTGTAATCTTTCAGCCCAGCCTAGATGTCCTAGGCATGGTTATCTATGGTACTGAGTTAGTGCTTTGGGCAGGTGTCTTCATATGCGGAGCGTACTATAACCTCATTCCTTGGATCGTCGCGGTATGGGAGAGAAGAAAGAGTAAGCAGGCTGCAGGTGGAAACGCGATTCCTGGTGCTGTGGAGAGGGACGTACGTGGGGTAGTTGCAGTGGTCGCGTCTGGCATTACACTTCACAGTCTGCCTTCTAGCACTTCGGTTTTCAGGACGCCTTCAGGGGATATCGAAGTCACACGGCAGCGTAATCACCTGCCGTCTATAGGCGCGTAGGTGAAGAGGCCATTTCTTACAACCTAGTCTTTCGGACTTGTTGACCGAAGTTGTGGTTTCAATCGCGGCGGTTATATTTTTTTGAATTGCTTCTTCACTTGCTTCTTTCACACCGCAAACGGTTTGTGTCATTACCCCTTTGCTTATGTTCGGGTTGCTCCCGATTCCCGGCTATCACTTTCACTTGCTGTATGCCCACATGTCTCGCCATGGTTCGCTGCTTCCACGCTCTCTAACTTTGGGCAGGCGCACATACCGCTTTACCTTTTACCTAGGTACCTTCACACACCCCGCGCCCGCCTGCCTGCCCACATTCAATCAACACCATCGCGCGCCCGCTGTCGACTTAAACCTCAACCGCCAGCAATCTTCGGCCTCAGCTGCTTATTCCTTCACTCCCAGTAACGCCTACACCACCGGTGACGCAGATCCAGCAAACCGGTATTTCTTCTTCTATAGCACAAGTACATCTATCCACTCCATCGACGCACAATATTCACCAGACTCGTTGTGCAGAAGCTAACAACCGCACTTCAGCTACAACAATGGCTACCACGATAACCAAGATCACGTCGCTAGGTTCTCAATACTCGGCCTCGGGCGCCCCATCCGTGCCAAATCCGACCCCGGCCACTGAGACTCTCGAAAACCAGGTCATCGACCCTCCCCCGCTAATGGACTTCGCTGCTGTCGCAAAAATCCTCGGGCCTATTCAAGAGTCGCTCAACGAGTCAGCCGAGGAGGCCATGTATCCATCGCCGCCCATCAACACGCCCGAGATACTCTCTCCAGATCCTTCCGTGTACCGGTACCAGACTCGTAGTCGCGGCTTCAGCGTGATCGGCGATAGACTCGCCAGATTGAAGATCGACCACCGCAAGTTCCCTCATCGCGACCCAGACGTGACTTCCAGCAGTCGCTCAAAAGAGCCCTCCATTACTGAAGATGAGGAGTGTGATATGGCTAGCATTGGCGAGATGCTGAGTGATGGCGGTAAGGACAAGCATGGTCCTGGACATGGTAGTATGTCCCTTGCCCCCCTCGCCCCTCGTATGGGCGAAGGCTCAGTTCCTATCGCTCTAGGTTCTCCCACGGTCAATCCACGTATCGAAGAGTACCTGTCCTTCACCTCCAAGGACCTGCCTACAAAGGCCCCTACCCCTCGCTTCGCCTCTACGCTTGTAGAGAACGCCTCGTCATCGTCATTGACCAGGACGGACATTGACAAGGAGAGCTTGAACAGCCGCAACAGTATGAAAAGCGATGACGGTGTCACAGAGAAAAGCAACTGGGCCGAAGAGGTAGAGGAGAGTGTTGACCGCGCCTGCATGCGCCTCGAGCAGTTGGCCCGCGACGAGTTTGTTACCAATCCTAGCAAGAGCATTGAGGACTACTACATTGCTCGACTGAAGCGCTTGCTCGGCAGCGGCAAGAGAGTTGTCCCAGTCGACATCCAGAAGAAAGATCACGACCTACATGAGTAGGCGAAGATATTTGCATAACTATGACGAAGAGTTATCTTATGACTGCACCATGACTGAACTCTCAAGACGCTCAGTGCATTGTTCAGGAGGCGCGAAGTAGTGACTGGCTTCCACGATCTAGGTAGCAGTCCAACTTGATTTGCTCGACCCTAGGTTTCTGTATAGACAGCATCTTCTTCACGGTGTTTGATACCCACAGTCTCCAATGGATGTGCGTGAAAGTCTCACGTATGGCTTTTTCAAAAAAGCAATACTCTGCGTCTGCTAGGATACAAATGGAGCTTGTCTTGCTTTCAACCTCAATATCCACGCATCTTAGGTGAAATACCAGTAAACGATACAGGTGAAGCAATCTGACCGTGAAACGTGACTGGCCACTCTTCCTCCCCTATTCCACACACACTTCTAGCCCGAATCAACCAACGAAAGCTACTCCCAAAAACTATCAGCGACGACGCGACTTCTAATTCAGAAGTCTCGAATACGAACCATGCCTTACTCCCAATCCCTGCAAAATGGCTACAACAGCCAGCGTCGTTGCAGTAGGTTTATCCCCACTCCTGTAGTACGCAGCGCCCGCCGCCACGAGAAGGCTTACGAGGATACCGGCGATACTTTTGTCATATACGTCACTAATACCGGTTTTGTACCACCGGAAGTTGAGAATGCCTAGTCTTTGTTACTAATCCTCCACAGTGATGGGCGAGAAGATATGTTAAAGTGCCTTGGGAGTAGCATACCCATAATGAGAAAGAAGCCACTGCCTTCATACCATCCTGCTTTGACGGCGCCGCGGAGTGCGGTAGGCAGGGTGTTCAGAGAGGGATGCTTGAATTGATCAAGCCCCTTTGTCTGCAGTTACGATGAGCATTTTATCAAGTGCTAGTGCGTTAGGGATATTGGTGGGCTCGTAGATGTGTCTTCATACCGTATGCCCCAAAGCCAGCACACCATGTGCGACGGCTGCTGCAAGGAGAAGAGGGTTGTTTGTTGAGGTTGTGGTTGCCATGATCGCCGATGAGCCGTGAAACAGTTTGTGTAAATCTAAGACTGTAATCCAGCAATAGTTTCTTTGTTGTAGCAGAAGTGAACGATGATCAGTGATTAGTAGGTAGTAGTGAACATGCCTTGGCTACCGAGGCTCTCGCCGGATTGGGGTAGTTCCCCACTCGACCTGCGGGTCCGCTCAGCTCTGAGCTCACATCACATTCGGAACTTTCCTTGGTTGTTTTTAAATATATTTGACGAGGCTACACATGCATGCTCTACTCTACTTGGTTGCTCTTCTGGTAGCACGCCTTGTCACTATAGCCTCGCCGGGTTATGGTAGGATCCGAATCACCGTAGAAAAGCCTCCCCAGCTCATGCTAGTTCCATGCCCCCATCTGTCCTGCCTCTCGCATCGCATGTTTCTATTCACTAGCTCCATTCTCATTTTCCTCGGGACTGCGTCTGTGTAGGCATAGCAGGCAGAATGCCACTCGCGATTACGTCGAGATCTGAAGGTGCACAGGTCGCCGGCGACGTGTAAGGCCCAGTGCTGTCCTGCTCTGCGCTCAACTCGTCTGTCTTCTTTTCAACCCATGTGAAGGCTTCATTGACGGCTATCTTCATTCCACGGGCCACTTCTTCGACCAATTTGGCTGCGGATTCGGTGCCTTCTGTTCGTTCTCCGAAAGGCGTCGAGGGCTTCGTTGATGTGTTGTGGGGCTTGTCGACATCATGGGACTGAGCGAGCTAAGTAAAAAAAGGGCGAATAGTGGTTGGGATCATTTACCTGTTCCTTGTCTACTGAGACGCCTACTGCCTGTGGCGTTGCTTCAGCTGTTGCTTCATCGGGGTTTGGCGTTGCTGCAGCCTCTAGTGCTTGAGGTCGCATGGTTTCGTTCGCAAGTGCGTCCAGTGCTTCGGCCTTCATTTGATGCCCAATACGAGCAGAGTGATGACTTGGCGTGGCTCGAAATGCTTGTCTGGAGACAACTTACCGTGTGCTTGCAACAACGGCGGTGGGACCTGCATGGACTGGTTTGTTTGCGAGTCAAACCAGAAGCGACGTCATAGGGTAAACAAAAGGAAAGCACGCGGTCGTATATATGCCAGTACCATGAAGTTTGCTGGCGTATACATGTATTTGACAATTAACAGACCCTCTTTTACTTTATCAAAGGCTTGAAAGTTGGGATCGGTCTTCATTCCATCTCTAGCAACTCCGTGCTTGCTTCTATGGGACAAGCGTCAGTATTGCAGTGGCAGTTTAGGTTAGGGAATATGTAACTTCCCATACCAAGATGGTCTACATATACTTGTCCCGGATTGGTGGGTTTGAATAACTATGATAGTTCCCTATACCATTGCAAATCACGAGTGCGCATCTCAGAGTCAAACTCTTATTGCCGCTGCATAGCGTCTCAACCGCATGACGAGGTGTCGTGTAGTGCAAGCAGAGGAGAGGCACGAGCATTTATTCCAGTTGACCGAGCCAGTGTTGGAAACGGCAGCTTACACCCCGCTAACAACGATAGAGAGCGCCGATGAGACACCAAAAACCCACCGGTTAAAGGTCCGACACGAGAGGGGGTAGTAGAACGGTGGCCATGTTCACAAGTCTGGTCATTCGTAGTTCAAAATGTAGCCACCGGGTCACAGCAGGCGTAAGAAGCAATCTTGGTGGAAACAACAAACGCCAACCCTGTTCGTGTGGCGCATGACTGGAGCCGGTTGACGTGCAGATCTAAGGGTCTATCTACTCTCGGAAAAACTGCTTCTGCTTCTAGAACCCTTCTTCGACTACGTAGGGCTCCCCGAACCTTCTGCGGCTTCTGCGGCCGCGACGGCTTCGACGGCTTCTCTGACAAGGTAGAACCGTCATCGGACTTGGGCAGCGATCTGATATTAGATGCGGCATGGAAGCTATTTCAGCCTATCAGAAGTGTGGCTTGGCAGCAATACAGCAATATATGAAGGCTGCTGGCGCACAAACTGTAGCGGAGATGATCAGCTGGAGATGTTCTTGCTGCAGGTTCGCTGCCGCCCGTTTGCTGACCGATTGGACCATTCGTAACTAGGAACTGGCGCGTCGCATTATGCTGTCAGTCGGTGGTCCGCTGTTGGTTTAGCCTGTTATGCCCTTCTGGGTTGCATGGCAGACGGACGTGTGGCATGGCGTATAGGCAGACTGTTTGGCGTGTAGGCGTCCTACGCACTTGCTCATGGCTGTGGCGGATGCATGTCTTGTGTGTGCTTCTGCCAGGTGTTCCCTTGGTAGGATTGGAGGCAATTTGTTCTTGACTAGGCGAAGACCTTGTGGAGTCGAGTCGAAACCCTGGTGTCTTTTACGGCCGTCCACTGAAGACCCCTGCCAGGACCCATTTCCCCGCATTTGCATCGATTCCGCTCGCAAAAGGCGGTTTGCCTGTCTCGTGGAGCCAAGAGAGGCGAGACTTGGGGGTTGATATATCCATCGCTAGCCTCCTGCCTGCCAGCCTTTTCGTCTGGTCGTCTGGTCGTCTAGTCCTCTGGTCGTCTTCTCGTCGTGTCGTCTCCCCGGTCTGCTGCGTCTTGCCGGCTTTGCATCTAGGACTTGGTCTCGACATCGTGGCTGCACGCCGCAGAGCCATTGTGCAGCTTGCCCCGGCCTGTCACCTCGCAAGCCACCAATCATGGCGGGAATTACGCCGTCTCCAGAAGTTAGTCCCGTGTCAGCAGCAACCACCAATGGACATTTCCCGCGAGACTCCTTCTGCCTGTCTCTTTCCACTCTACCGGACGCGAACCATTTCCTGCTCAAATCCGCCCTCACGTCTCCCCATCTCCTCGAGTCTTCCAATGGCCTCTACCAGGGAAGCGGTGCGTTGAGCAATCCCTTCAAGAAGCGGGCCCGCAACATGTCTCAGTCGTCCGGCACAGATCGTGAGACGTCAAGTGACACGCCACCCGCCCAGACCAATGGCATGGCTCCTACGAGCAATGGCTCCAACGGCACCAGCACAGAGCCGCAGCTGAATGCCAAAAAGCGCCCGAGTACTGACACAATCGATTATCCACGCCGGCGCGCGACCATTGCGGTACGGCCAGTCCTTCTTCGAGACGTGCCAGGCAGGGTGCAGGTGCTGACCCGTCACAGTGCGAGATTTGTCGGTCACGGAAATCCCGTTGCGATGGCTCACGGCCAAAGTGCCGGCTTTGCACAGAGTTGAATGCAGAATGCATCTATCGAGAACCAGGCATCAAGCTGGACGCCGGCGACAAGCTCATCCTGGAGCATTTGAACCGCATCGAAGGCCTGCTGCAGACGGGTCTCACGAATGGCTTCTCACTATCTTCACATTCGCCCGCTGCGAGCAACTCCACGAGCGACGACTTTCTGGCCCGTAGCACCGGCAATATGTCCCATCTGGGCATGGTCCAGCCGATCAACGGCATCGGGACATGGTCCAACCATCCCTCCAACATATCGACCATGCCCAAGACACACAATACGGCGGCTTTGAACTTGCTGTCATCACCCATGATTCGCGAGCTCGTATCACGTCCTTACGATCCCAAAATCCTGCTCCAGCTCGAAATGACCCGGGATCCAGTCAGCCTTGGCACGTCTAGGGGGCTGGACCTATCCAACACGGGAGCGTACGTGCAAGCCTATTTCGAGAGAGTGAATGTCTTCTACGCGTGCGTAAATCCTTATACCTGGAGCGGCCACTACCAGACCGCGCTGAGTCACGGATTCCGGGATGGACCTGAGAGCTGCATTGTCCTGCTGGTCCTCGCCCTTGGTCATGCTGGGAGTACCGGAAGCATTACGCAGCAAAATTCAGAAAAGGATCCAGCTGGATTGGCATATTTTGCTGCAGCATGGGGTCTTCTCCCAAGTGTTATGACACGGAATAACATGGTCGCGGCCCAGTGCCAGATTCTAGCCGCCGCATACTTGGTTTACCTTGTTCGTCCCGTCGAAGCCTGGAACGTATTATCCGGCGCGAGCATGAAGCTGCAACTTCTTTTGAGCGCTCCCGGAAGAGTATCTCCAGCAGAAGAGGAGTTGGGCAAGAGAGTGTATTGGAACGCGGTAATGATTGAGAGCGATCTTTTAGCGGAGCTTGATCTCCCCCATTCCGGAATTGCTCAATTCGAGGAGGGCTTTTCTTTGCCAACAGGGTTTGAAGATCTGGGAACAGAAGCAGTTGGTCGAGATGAGCTATGGTACTTCCTTGCAGAGATCGCCCTTCGAAGACTCCTTAATCGCGTAAGCTCCATGCTGTACATTCGAACAACGCCGTATTCCAAGGGGCCTGCTGCTACTTCAATTGCCCAGCTTGATCCACTTGTGGTCGAACTGGACTACCAACTGAACCAATGGTATGCAGGACTACCGCCAGCAATGCAGTTTCCACTCGATAGAGTTCCCCTGCAAAACCCTGTGCAGACTGTTCTGAGATTGCGGTATTTCGCGTGCCGTACCATCATCTTCCGACCCTACGTACTTCTTGTCCTTCAAGATGAAAGCCTGGCGATGGATTCGAGCGTACAGGATAATTGTCACAAGTGTCTGGAGGCTTGCGTTCGTCAACTGGAGTATATTACCGCGCACCATGCTGGACACCTTCCGTATCTGTTTCAAGGTGCTCTTTCGTAAGTCAATATTACACTCGGGCTTGGCCGATGTGCTAATGCATACAGTATTATTTCACAGACTCTTCTCATCATGGGCGCAACCATGACTCCTTCCCTCTCTCAGCTACTTCCTCCGCCCGCCACAATGGATGATATCATCAACAACGTTGTTCTCGAAATGGAACGCTACGCCCATCTAGCCCCGAGTCTTCGCCTTTCTGCCGAGATAATCCGGGAAGCCGAGGGGAAACGACAAATGTGGCTCAGAACAGCAGGTCTAAAGTTCGAGGTCTGAAAGGATCTCAGCATGGGCAAAATTTGTATTTGGAGATACCACTGCAGCAAGCAACATATGCATCGATAACATAGTTGTCCCCCTAGCGAGAATACGGTACAACCATAACTACTGCTTTGCAGCATGTAGCACACAAGCGACACCTTTGTCCACTCTCTGAAGAACAGAGTAGGCCCCCCCATTTTGCAGAATTGAAGATCACTGACGCATTGTGATCTCCATCGTCAACTGCGAGAGGAGCTACTGGCTGAACGTAGAAGATTCCCATCTTCGTAGATCTGCCTGGGCCCATGTTGGGCCCGTGAAGGATAAGTCGAACTGCTGCGAATATCATGAGGGAATGATCGAAAGGTCGGAGCCAGATCACTATTGCTCATCTGGACCAAGGCACACCACCATGAGTCTTGGGGAATTGGGCACGCGACCAGCGTACCGTTATGGGATTGGATGCTGAGATGTTCTGTTGACCGAGATTGAGACGCGAGTTACTCTCTATCTGTGACGAAGCACCACAGAGTGTGATCTTGTGCGGTTCACATCAAATCGTTCACACGAAAAGGTTGCGATGCAGAGTTGTCCTGTGTACTAGGCTGCGATGTGATTGCCACGCTGAGGTAGATAATGGCTACAAATTCTGTAATACTTTGGTAAATGTACGATCAAAAATCGTGCGTAGACTCAAACTACCTTCGTAATATCACTACCTCACTACTTCTGTACTACGCCTTCGTCTTTATCAGATGAGTAGAACATCTGCAGCGCGCAGCACGCAAAAAGAAACGCAGATCCCGAAACAGCGTAACATCAACTCCGATATTGAACAAACGTGATAAGATAGCAAGAACACAACTAACTGAGGTCAGGGAATTAAAACAGCCGAGGTCGACTACCCTCCATAGATCCGACATTAAAAGCGTTGTAAGTTCCCAAACTCTCGATAAGGAAATAAAAGCTTGGAGATAGTAGATCAAGAGTAAGGTCCACCGAGATAAGGGGTGGGATAATAGTTGAAGCACCGGGCAATAGACTCTAGGATCACTTTGGAATGGCCAAACCCCTCTAATTTATATTGCGTAACCGTCACCGATCAATCATGTCTGACGGCTCTTTGCACCTTCCACAAGCCAGCCTAGCAAGGTCTCGATAGCGGGCGCAATGAGACGTCTGTCAGCAATCAGTCTAGCTGACGGGTGGCACCATTGGAGGATCGAATAGAGTGCTTTCATGCATTGAGAGCGCCTTCGAGCTCATGTGATATATTCCGGATAAGTTTAGCTACCAAGTGTTGTTCCAGAAATCATCGTTCGGCAGCGGCGCCTCTCGCTGCGCGCATGATCATTAACGCAGTTGGGGTAGAAGGCACTCCCACCAACATTACAACATTGCTATTGGTCATGTGCGGGACGTGACGCCACAAACGGAATAGACGGGATTGCCTCCCGTTCGCAGTACCAGCGCCTTTCATTTCATAGACGACGGCAGTGTAGGATCCTTGTGTAGAGTTGGGCATGTTAGGAATGCTTTGAAGAAGTGCGCATTGATTGAATGTCTTGATTGTCTCGTTTGGTACTATACAAATAACTTTATACGTAAGATTATCTGGTTTGGTGGTATAGACATGTGGCACAAGGCTTCTGAAGCGTTTCTAGAAGAGCACTGATCCACATGCAGGTGAAGACTTACTTTACCCGAGACGAGAGATGCCTAGCGAGTGGATGCTGCATTTGTGATATAGAGCGGCAAGATGCAGGATGCAAGTACCAAGTTCGTAATGTGTCGGGTGTGTTGTGTCCACGGACCGAGTTTTGAGGTCAATTATGGCATGCAGGCAGGGGCTTCTATTGCCGGTCTTTTGAGGTGTGGATGTGCATCCCCGCTAGAAATTGGCTGCATAGGCGAGACGAAATGATGACTTGCATAGAAACAACACATGGCTTCGGAGATTAGTCTAAGACTAAGAGTGTCACTCGCATCTTGAAAAGTTCTTGCTTTTAACACATCTTGCTAGTCATAGATAGCAAGACTACTTTGAATGCTCTGTTGTGTTTACTTTCTAGAAATGTGCTTTCGCAATGACGACACTGTTTGGACATCTGGATGACGACACCACCAAAGTACACACCGACACATAGCGCCTTGAGAAGGTGCAATGTTCCGCGTGGTGCTCCGGAAGACTTGAATCTGGGGACGCGTAGCCGCCCTGCTGCGGGTACAGAGTGTGACATATCGTCCCGATGTCCAGATTGTCAAAGTGGTGTAGTGGAAATTGTCCTGTCCTACGTGGCGTTACATCGTACTCTGAAGTTGGGTGCAGCAGACAATTATGATGTCAAGGACCACTTCATTTCCTGTGCTTGGACACGACCTTCCTCCGCTTTTCAAAGGCATCCCCTGCTGCCGAACCAGATCCACGGGGCCCGTCGCCAATTGGCCGCTTCCTACTCTTCTCCAAGGTTCCTAGCTTCCCACCCTTCTTCTGCGTTAGTCTTTCAATGCGGTCTATACCAGCACCCAAGCTCCGCCATTCCTCTCCGCCAAAGCCGCCCTCTCGTTGCCGCGCGCGCTTCTTGGCTTCATCCTTCTTGCTCTCCGGAGCCAGACGCGTAAAGTTGGATTCTTCATACTCTCTCCTCTCGTTCTCCTCACGTCTCTCCTTTTCAGATTTCGTATGGCGACCACCATGGGTGATAGTACTTCCAATACTCGGCTCAGCGATAGGGGCAGACGAAAGTTCGGTTGCGATAAATTCATCCAGAGTAGCTGATTTGCCAGGTCTGCGCTCTCGTCTCGCTTCTCGGGTTTCGACAGTCGGCATGGCCATTGGTGTGATCTTGGGTGGTCTGTAGATGCCATCATTCGCGGACTCTTTGACTCTCCCTTCTGTGGCCTCTGACTTCATCCGTGAAACGGCAGCTTTGTTTGGCGCAAAAGACATCTCATCTTCATCTTCTTCCGTCTGCGCTGACCCTGCATCGCTAACATCTGACTCAGACCCTACATCTACCCTGCTCTTCCTGGCTTTTGGCTTCGAGGTTGCTTGAGTGGTCCTCCGGGTAGCATCGTTCGCGGTCCTGATGATTTTGTCGATGCTGTACTTAAGGCGGTTCTCAAGAGGTCGAACGCCCTTCTCTAGGTAAACCCGCAGCTCAACGAGCTTCTGGACCACTTCGTCCTGGGGATGAAGATGCTGCCCTTGGATCTCTCCATTCGAGCCAGAACGTGATCTAAGCTTCAAAAGAATAAGAAACACGAGGTTCTGGAGATACGAAAGTAGTATTTCGTTCTTCGCATCCAGTAATGAGATGCCTTCCTTTGGTGGCAAATTATCATCGTTGGGTAGAGCTTCAGTGGCGGATTGAATCGAAGAAGTAAGCGTCGCAAGAAGCGACTCTAGGGAGTTATCGACCGCCATTGTCCTTGATCGCTGAGTTGTCTTGATACAATCACATCTGTCGAAGAGTGCAAAGAAATTTTAGCGGGTCAAAGATTGCCAAGGCGCCAATGCACAGATATTGGGGCCGTGCCCACGACCATTCCACACTCGTCCGTCTTAAGAACTCCCCATTCCATGATAGTGAGTTCTGGTTTGGCAAGCTACTCCAATAGTCGCTAGACTACTCGTCGTTTCAGAAGGTGTCTTTGTTATAATAGTATGCGTTCTATGCATTAATGATTGCCACAAAGTTATATAGTGGCTCCAAGGGCGACAGGCTTGTCTCGAGAAACCGTGCTCTGCTAGAAGTTTGCCGAAATTGCGCTCATTCTGAAATCTGGTGGATATCTATGCAGGAATCTTCATAACGCCTGATCTGGCCCTTGACGCCAATGCTATGCATTCGCGGTGGACATGTACCCAAATATTGAATCAATGCTCACTAAACGCCCGTAGATGGATGAACAACGCCTCCCCTTCAGGCAAGATACCTATACGAATCCACCTTGACTCCCTCCTTGACTCCCTCCACACGTTCAAGGTATTCACGCTCAATAAGAGATTCGATACGCTTCTTGATCATATTAACCTCGGGCTTGAACTGTGCAGCCAATTGGCCAAGTGTCTCCATAACCAGTTGCTGGTGGGAGAGTTCTTTGCGTTGCCTGTTCCGTTGTTAGCTTTAACCATGCGTACCATCATAGGCATCTACATACTTCATGATCCTTACGATGGCGGCCTCGATACAAAACTGTCGCGAATCATCGTTCTTCTTCTCAGTCTCTCGTCGCTCGCGATCGCTCTCAACTTTGTTTCCGCTACTGACAACACCAACCTTGATCTTAACGAACTTGCCATTGAAACCTTCGTTGAAAGAAAACCTGTCGGTGGGCTTTACATCCTTGGACATGGGCTCTTTGATCAAGATGCGCGTCTTTGGCGCTACAGCGAGCGACTGGAGGTTCCTGACTAGATCGTTGTGTGGGATGTTGGTCTGAGCTTGGATTTCCTCAAATGTCAGGTGTTGATTCGTGCGCAGCTCATTAAACAGCAGTAGAATGACCATTCCGTAAGTCGATACGTTGAGATCATGTCGACGCTCTTTGAAGGACCCGTCCTTCTGTGGTACCTTTGGGAATACGGCCTTGATGTCCGCCGAGCCCATATTGGCAAGCCAGGTGAGTTGTCGTCCTGAATGTTTCTCGCTGTAGAACTTTTCAAAGCCGCGTTTAATCTTCTCCACTATAGGGGGGAAATTGCACCTTGGCCGTTGGTCCTCTTCGTCGGCGGCAACGCCGCCCATAGTCTCGAGGGGCCATGTCATACTTGTCAGGACGTTGATAGCTAGTTCGATGCGCTTTGGATCTTTCTCGCCTAGCCCTTCAACATGCTTCTTGAAGCCAGCCGTGAGCTCCTCGGAGATAGTCATATCTTTGAACATGGCTTCCAGCTTCAACGTGAAGTTGTTTCCAAGTTCAATCTTCATCTTTGAGATCATCTGCTTCTCGACTTCGTTGCTGATAGACTTGTTCATCAACAAACGCCGGCAGAGATGCTTCTTATAGTAGCGCTCGAAAAGGTCCTTATCTTGCACATACCGCAAGAGGATGATGGCTTTTTCTAAGACGGCGTCGATTTCCATTTCAGTCTTGCCTTTGATGCCCTTCTTCATATTCTCGTCGATGAAGAGTGAGATGTACTCGGAGGATCGTGGGAAGGTGGGCGAGTTGATGAACTCGGCGAAACTCCTCGTCTGAGCCTGCTGTAACAGCGAATCCGATTCGAACGATTCTCTCCAAATCTTGTCGAACTTGTCTTTCAGGGACAGCACGTCTTCTACCCATTTGATCGCAGCGATCGTCTGTTGGTTGAGGCTCTTCTCTTGCGTGGCACCTTTGCCCTTGTCTGCGGAGTCGGCTACGGGTACAGCGGCGGGTGCCTGGGATGCGGCGATGGCGTCATTGTTGATATCCGAGCCCATATCGACGATTCGCTTCTGAATAGATCGCGTAGCCTCCGTCTTTTTATTGTCTACGCGCTTATTCAAATCATATATCAAATTTAGCTCCTCTAGCCTGTCATTGTCGATCATGAAGCGCACTCCACTGTCCATCTCTACCAGCTCATGTATCCGGTTCTTGATGAGCTCGTCCTCAACCACCTTCTGAATCCTGGGTCCGGTGCTCTCCAGAAGCGTCTGTTTACAGCGCTCATCTTCCTCGTATATTCGCCGCCGTGCGTGCTTGCAATATGCACCTGCATTGGAGTCGCGCAATAGGAGCTCCGATTCATTCCGGTAAAAAGTCCTACTGGTGTCGAGGAACTCCTTCTCGAATGAAGTGTTGTACAGGCGCTGCTCTTCGGACTCCATCTCGTCCTCGTGTAGACCTTCGAGCATCCATACACAAGACTTGATGAGGTGCTTGTCAATGACGTCGCCGTCACGTTCCATCTGTATCTGGTCGAGGATGATGTGGTTCAGGAGGCCAAGGATTGCGCGGGCGTCGGCCTCGGAGACCTGCGAGTGGAGAATCTCGTCGCGGAACAGAACCATGGCAGCGTTGAAGATGGAGGGCCGTCGATGGTCTGCACAATAGACGCGATCCTGGATCCGGGCTTCGTTAGCTATGACTATTCACGGTAGGATCGGTTCAGACAAGGGTCTGATCTTACCATGTACATTAGCACGTCTGCCAACATACTCGTGCAGACTTGATGGTCACCCCATGCTTGCTTCAGTCCCTTCATGAACTTCTCGCCTGCCACACGGCGCTCGTTAGTAGTTGTCCCGCCTACGCTTTGCGCATTCGCGAGGAGGTTTGGCGAGAGTAGCTGCTGGATGGATGCGCGGACCTCGCTGCTCAGCCAGTTCCGCTCGAAATCATGCACCCTATTGTATAGGTTCTCGCCCTTCTTCTTCAAAACGATGCGGTAGGCGTGGCGATACAGCTCCTCATAGGATAGCTTCGAGGCGTTCTTGGTGTGGATCTCTCGAAAGGCAGCCTCGATGGTGGCCCACGTGTTCTCAAAGTCGATCTCGTCGCCATGGAGGCCCTGCGTTTGCCGCATGGTTAGTATAGAGGGCGTAGAGGTAGTGGGAGGCAGTTTGAAGCAGTGATCGTGACAGGTCTTCATAAAGGCATGGTGAAGGTGAAGGCGAAGGTGAAGGCGAAGGCGAAAGGCGAAGGTGAAAGGCTACAACATACCCTGCGTGGTGGCCGTATGCGCTGCCGACCCCTTCCTGCGATCATCTTGCCTTAGGTCCTTCCTTCCTTTGGTTTCGCGGTAGAGTCGCTCAAGTGCTCGAGGGCGTGAATATGGCCGACAACGGAGCAAATGTCTTGTCGTCAGGATGGGCCGGAGCGTACCGATACAGCAGAGAAAGTAAAAGACGTGGAAGAACAGTAGCCGTAACCATGCGAGTCTGTTTGTGGTGAAGGGAAGGGAAAGCCGGGCTTCGCAACGCCGTTCCAGCCGGGGTTCTTGCCGCAAGCAGCGTCATGGCTTGGCGCTCGGTGAAGATGGCTTATGTGTGCTGCATCTTCTTACCTTCCTTCGCCGTGGTGTTCAAGGTGATATTTGTTCTCCGACCCATCTATTCTACTGTTTCTTGCCTTTTCTTCCAGAACCACAGGACCGCAATGCCCACTTCAACCACTCTGTTGCGCGCTTTTGCTCGAACAGCTGCGCCTCGAGCTGTACAAACCTTCCATGCAAACCACATTCCAGCGTCCGCATCGCGCCTCTTCCACCCGCCGCGAACGTCGACTGCCATCCGCCGTTCACCTATCCCGTCTCGAGCACCCCTCCCTGCCACGGCCCGTTTCGAGTCCAGCGCTGCCTCACCCACATCGACCAAGGCCCCAACATCGCGATTAGATCGAGACCAAGTCCCTTCCTACGAGCTCACATTCACATGCAACGCCTGTAAGACACGCTCCTCGCATCGCCTATCCAAGCAGGGCTACCATCATGGAACCGTCCTGATCTCATGTCCGGACTGCAAGAACAGGCACTTGATCAGTGACCATTTGAAGGTGCGTTCGAGAACGTGATAGAACAAGTAAATCTATATCAACTTATATTCACTCAGATATTTTCGGACAAGTCGGTGACTATCGAAGATTTAATGCGGGAAAAAGGCAATCTCATCAAGAAGGGCTCCCTGAGTGCAGAAGGCGACGTCGAGTTCTGGGACGACGGAAGCTCGACGCCTCGATCCGCCCACTTCCACCCACATTCCAAACCCAAGGGTGACGATCGATTCACCGAGCACCCAGCATCGCCCAAGTCATCGCAGGACTGAAACAAAAAAGAATTGAGAATACTGCAGCTACTGGCCAGCATGACGATACCCTGTACATTACTTGACGACGTGTAAAACACTGTTTGAACATACATTGGCGAAGCATTAAAAGGGACAACAAAGTGGCATATGACATGGTTGAACATGGTGCAAGTGCTCCTCAAGATTGCACGACTTAACAATGAGAAGGCTGCTATTGTACTTCACCTCACGTCACTTCTGTTTCGTCATCATCACTGCATGATGACATTGCACTTTTATCAAGGTACTTCTTTCTCCCCTCTCTCTCTATATCAGTCCTTGTCCCATGTCGATTTTCAGTTTGCCATCCGGCTCCTGCCCATTACATCCACCTAGGGTAACCTAGATTGCAACAGCTACGGTAACGTCGACGGCAAGACTTGTGACTATGCCAGTCAAGAGAGAGCATAAGGATGATTACTAGGAAGAAGCTCCTACTAGCACACAGCGTTTAAGAAACTCGATCTAGTCCCGGAACCCTCGGTCGAGTATCATTGGGAGGCGCAGCTGAGCGCACCGAACGTATCCTGCTGTAACAACATACAACGTCGCCCTATAGGTAACCTGTATTGCTGACGGCGGTTGCATACCAATTTTGGCATTGACGACCCACATTTGTCAGTGAGGCAGCGTCATCAAGAACGGATGCGTTTCAAAAGTTAGGATGCACGCTAAGCCGGCCTGATACTTATAGCCATGGCACCCGTATTTCTCATGTTTCGGGGCAATTGGGTGCATGAAGCCGCATAGCTTTGAAGACTACGTCCCGTGACGGCCTTTGATAGATAAACTGAGACATGAAATGACATTCTTTTTCTACCACATGTGTACTTGAGAGTTTAAGAAGCACCTGGGAGGTGCTCGGTACGCTCACCTTACCGCAGCAAAATAAAAACTTACAAGAACAAAGAATTTAAGTCTGTTAGCCTGGGTGTCGAAACATGATTAGTGTTCGTGAGGAGTAATTTGTGCATTTCTCTAAGCTTACCCATAAAGTTACCCCTCATTAACCCCCTTCACCCAATAGATTGAAACAACTCCACTTATCTCAACCGCGCTACCATGACTTGATGTGTGTAGAACTTCCGCATCGTCTCCACCCGATATCTCACTTGTGAAGCCATCAGCGTTTAATTTTTGATCACAGAATATAAACATCAAATTTCAAATTTCTTGTATCGAACAACCAATTTGTTCAATAACCCAATCTTTGGGCGTGGTGGCGGAGTGGTTATCGCGCAAGACTAGAAATCTTGTTCCTTCGGGAGCGTCAGTTCGAATCTGGCCCACGTCGTTCTTTTTGCTGTCAAGAGGCATCCCGTGGCAACAGAGCCGTTTCCCCTCTCATTTTGTCTCTATTTGGAAATTGTATCTCAAATGTAGATTCGCCTCTACGATCCTCACTAGATGGGTGATGAAGAGCAGAGAGGACATGGCAGTTTACTTTAGCTCAGATCAGACCAGTACTGTGATCTGAGCATCAAGGAAAGTAACCCCATTCTGACAAGCAATGTATCTTCACCCCATCATTCATCGCACTTCCCACGTCTGCGCTCCCTGTCACAGCTCGTCCAGAACACTCGTATCAAGAAAATTCTGCAACTCCTTTCGCGGTACCGGTGTTCTCTTATCCACTTGCGCCAAATAAGTGTCTTCTTCCACGAGAAAGTCAAGAAGCTCCTTGTCATCCCATCGACCACTCCATTTGTGATCATCCCACACAGCCTCTACAACAGACGCATCCATGCCAACCTCCTTTGCCACAAAATCATATACTCCGGCCTTCTTCGGCTCGTTTGCGAAAACATCTAAGGTTTTATTGAGCGCGCGCACGAACTCAACGATATCTTTTCTCCTCTTAGGGTCGTCGAGTGCTTCTGTAGTGGAGTACAGAGCATAGACTTCCCGATATATTGATGCATTCTGGAAGATAACTGCGTTTGGACCGAGGGTTTGAGCACCAAGTTCGACGGCTGGTTCCCAGACGCCAAACGCATCAATTGCGCCTGACTTGAGTTGTGAAGGGAGGGTGTTCGAGGCGCAGGGCGTCTTCATGCACACATCTACACAATAGATTTACAGTTAGTAGAATATTTTTAGAATAACGAAGACATGCCGCTGTTCTATTCGAAACATTTCCCCATTATAACTAAGCATTTCGAGGACTGCTTTTTTGTTTTCTTCGCTTAGAAACGGAAGAAACTTACTACCAGAACGTTAGCAAGACGGAATCAAGATGGACTGGTAGTACTCATGAAGTTAGCCTACCTTCCACTAACAACCGTGTATTCTCCTTCCTTCACCCCGACGTTCCTCATCATCTTCTCCACAAAGATAGCTGCACTGGTTCCCTTGATACTACCAATCTTCTTGCCCTTCAAATCCGCCAACGATTTGATCCCTTTGGAACGGTCAGCCACGATCCGATACGCCACTTCGCAAACGATGTATATGAGGCGAATTTTGCGATGGCTAGCGTATTGTTTTAGCCCTTGGGTTTCGGCGTTGGCGGCGAGGTCAAAGGATTTGTCGGTTCCGAGGTTGGCGACGCCGCCGGATGTTAGGGTTGCTGAAGAGGAGCCTTTGTAGAAATTTTTGATAGCGTAGGGTTGGGGCGTGTGCTCGATCCAGGCAAGGGATGTTGCGACTTTGAGTGCAGCTCCATGGTGTAAGTAGAGGAGGAGGATGGGTAAGAACCGCATATTGGATTGCGGTGTTGACTGATCAGCTCGTTCACAAGAGACACTCGTAGAGCGTGCGCATTCGCGAAACCATTTCTTATCTCCATCCTCTTGTCGCTCAAACAAGTCATTCTACTCATGCAGGCTTTCGACTAGTTCACACGAGCATGTTGCGCTCGGTGTATTGATATCGACGCAAGGATAGGTCCATTAAACCAGATTAATTTTCGATTAAACCCTGCGCAGCCTCATGCCATTCCCGCCTATGGTTCATCGGTGTGCAATTGCCGACATAAGATTCAACGCTCAACTCAATCTTCAAGGATCGCCGTGTGGTAACTTCAATGTATGTATGGGATTCCATAATTGCCGCTTGGTAAAGGAAAATGTGGGACTATGAAATACAGTTCTTCGAATTGGAATGTAACAAGAAGTGAGGTGAGGTGAGGTGAAGGAACCAATCAATGGATCACGGCAAGTGGCGATTGCTAAGAACTGATAGATTCATCCACCAACAAAAGAATGCCGTATAGATTGACACCATATAACATCGAATGCGGCATCCTACTTACCATGGCGCCGAATATGCTGCCCATGAGTGGCTCGTCGAAATATGCGATGAGGATTCAGCCAGAAGGGGGTAGAGAATGGACAACGCTATTCAGACATAAAAAAAAGTCTTCATCGCTAATGGCTCTGGATCCAGCCTAACATCTGTCCGAACGCCTGCGCTTGCGACTGCTTGATCTTGGAGTCGTCATAGTCCCCAAGGACAGCAAATCCGTGTGGTACGCCCGAGAAAACTTGGATTTCGTGCTCAACCTTGTTAGTCTCCATTGCTCTCCGACCGGGCGTCAGAACTTCTTCCTCTGACAGCATTGGGTCGTTTTCGACGGCAGCAAAGTAGATGGGTGCCTTGACGGCTGCCAGGTCTTCCTTCGTTAACATTGTTGGATGTGCGACAGCTCCAGCCTTGAGCACAGGCTCATTCTTGATGGTTCCTTGCTCCTCATCTTTGGGTGCTGCCTGGTCTCCAGCAACGATATCCGGGTGCTCGCCAGCCAGAACGAGAATGTACTTGGCACCAAAGCAGTATCCTACGCCGTATATTCCACCTCCATTGGCGACAGCATCTGCAAACTCCTCCTTGGCCCCCTCCGTGACCTTGTGTAGTATTGGAAGCACCTTTTCCGGTGTATGTCTTGCAAGCCACATGTCGATCATGAATGACTTGATGCCTTCAGCGGTTCTCAGCTTGATTGATTCTAGCCATGAAGCTTGCTGAGAGATTTCCGTCATATCAACACTGTTGGGTGCTGGGTCGTTGTCAAACTGGTCTGGCATGACGACCAGGTATCCTTCCGAGGCATACCTGTCGGCTTGCAGCTGGTTATTGGTGGACTTGACTCCCGTTCCGCCAGTGAGTAGCAGCAGGAGCTTCGAGGGTGAGTGTGGGTAGTCGGCGGGCTTCGCAACGTAGCATTCGACACCGCCTAGTTTTGTAAGGTCGCCAGTCGGTTTCTCGCCGGACGGGGCAGGCCGGTCTGTTGTGCAGTGTTCCTGAATAGTCACTACGGTTCATGGCACCTTGTGTGTAGTAGTTGGAGGCAATGGTAATGTCATATGCTTACACCCATGCTCGGCCCCTCTTGTGCTCTGGTGTCTCCAGGAAAGAGACTCTGCTCCGCCGGCTCCTGAGGCTTTTCTTGCGCATCGCTCTCAGGTGCCCGTGTGGCAACATCGTTGTCTGCCATGATATATGTCCGTTTTCAAATGCAGCGTCGAGTGAATGTGGATGAGGCTCGAATGTATGTTGATTGTAAGGCCGCCAATTACGTATGTAGCTCTTTCCACACCTGAACTCGGCTTAGAGCGGGGCCAAAGTGGGGTCACATGACTGACGCGTCGACGCGACTTTCTAAACGCTGTTTCATCAGACCTTTGTCACGCCGCCACCGACATACGACACCTCACAGTACACGCGCCTACAACAGAAGTCAACATGGCAGAACATGCGATTACACAAGGCGCCATCAGGTATGATAGAGAGCAGAGATAACTAGGCAACACGATACTGATTACGAGCAGGAGCATCTTTGAACCCAATGGCTGCTTCGTGGAGCACCCAGTTCTACAATGCGTGCAGATCAAGACGATGGAGCCCAAGGCGGGCGAGGCGAACCCAGTGCAGCGTTTTCGTGTCGTCCTCAGCGACATTCGCAACTTTGTGCAGACCATGATTGCGACGAGTATGTCAATCATGCGGGGTGTATGGAAACATGACACTAATCGCACGCAGCTGCCAATGAAATCGTCACCTCCGGACAGCTCAAGAAGGGCTCAATAGTACGGCTCTTGAAGTACAATCCCCAGCGCGTGAAAGACAAAAAGTATGTCCTGACCACATCACCTACTCTCAGAATGCTCACGCGGACATAGCATCCTCATCATCATGGATCTCGAAGTCCTTGCGCAATACGGCGAACTCGAGAAGATTGGACAGCCCGAAGCCTTGTCAGATACGAAGGCGGAACCGCAGCCTGCCGCCATCTCAGGCAACAACTTTTACGGTTCAAAACCGGCACCCGCGCCACAGCTACAGCAGCGGTCGCTGCCTGTTCACCAGAGCAACCCTGACACATCTTCACACCCACATCTGTATCCTATTGAGTCTTTATCTCCATACGCGCACAAGTGGACAATTCGCGCACGATGCACCAGCAAGAGCGACATGAAGGAATGGCACAACCAAAAAGGAACTGGCAAACTCTTCAGCGTCAATCTGCTGGATGACACTGGCGAAATCCGGGCGACGGCTTTTACTGAAGTTGCCGACAAGCTCTATCCCATCTTCGAAGAAGGCGTGGTGTACTATATCTCGGCACCGTGCAAAGTTACATTCGCGAAGAAGCAATTCTCGAATCTACCCAACGACTATGAGCTACAGTTCGAACGAGACACAGAGGTTGAGAAGGCAACAGACCAAGATAACAAGCCGCAAATTCGGTTCAATTTTACCAAGATTGGTGATCTGAATTCAGTAGAGAAGGACACGACAATCGATACCGTCGGTGTTTTGAAAGAAGTTGCCGAGGTCACCACAATTACTTCGAAGAATACCAACAAGGACTTCAGCAAGCGGGAGTTGACACTGGCGGATGACAGTCAAACTTCGGTACGACTTACCGTCTGGGGCAAGACAGCAGAAGGTTTCGACGCACCGCTGGAGTCGATTATTGCATTCAAGGGCGTCAAGGTATCCGATTTCGGTGGACGCAGCCTTAGTCTTCTGAGCTCAGGCTCCATGATGGTCGATCCGGACATTGACGAGGCGCACAAGCTGCGAGGATGGTTTAACGCTGTCGGTCAGAACGCTACATTTTCTACCCATCAAAATATGGCAACAAGCTCTGGTGGCGCCAAGAACGATGCAAAGATCATCTCTCAAATCATCGAAGAAGAAAGCTACCTCCAAGACACGCCTTCATACATGAGCATCAGGGCGTCCGTTTTATTTGTCAAGAACTCCACCTTCGCATACCCGGCATGCTCAACGGCAGGCTGTAACAAGAAAGTCATAGAAGACAACCCCGGCTCGTGGTGGTGTGAGAAGTGCCAGACCAGCTTCCCTGAGCCCAACTATCGTTATGTGTTGAGCATCAACGTGGCGGACCACACTGGCACGCTCTACCTCAGCTGCTTCGATGAGGCTGGACAAGCGATCGTCGGCATGTCAGCCAACGACGCAATGAAGATCAAGATGGACGATGACGAAAATGGCACGCAAAACATCTCTACTGTCATGCAAGATGCTACCTGCAAGACGTTCAACTTCAGGGTGCGGGCGAAGATGGAGACATACCAAGATCAACCTAAGTAAGTCATATGTTCATGCAACCCCTACATCAATGCTAATACACTGAAGGCCTCGATATCAAGTTCTGAATATGTACCCGCTTAATTATGCGCAAGAAGCCAACAAACTTGCTCAGCTCATCAAACAGTACGACATCAGCGAGGACAGCTTGTTCGTGAACTAGAGTCCATCACGAGCGAAGGTGACGCTTCATCGGGCTAAGTCATGCATGACCGAGCCCGACCAATAGCTTTCATCCATGGACAATACTGCGGTGTAATGTATATGGGTACGGGGTTGCTTGTCTTGTGAGAGTCGTTATACAAATGATGGTGGAAGCATGAGGAATTTGGCTTGTTTTCATTGTCTATTATGTACCCCGCCGAGTTCAAGCTCCATGAATCGTGAAGCTACCCCGCCAACGTCATTACCAATCATTCCGTAGCTACCGGAACGGCATCGGAACAGAAAAGCTTGCATGATTCTTCTTTCTTTCTAATGCAGATGTCCCTTGGACAGTGATCAATTCTCGGCCGTTTACTGTTCTGACGTCCCACAAGCACTACTATATCGATTGTCTGATACTAAACGTGCTAGCAATATGCGCGACACAATGCGCGCAGTAGGTCCGTATACTTGTCGAATAGCATTAGATCCTACCTTGCTCACGTCCTTTAGATATCAAGAATGGCAAAGGTCCAATCGAAGCCCTCCAAATCGCCGAAGTCCCCAAACCCAAGCTCGGCAAGTCTCAAGCACTCATCAAAATTAAAGCGTTCGGATTGAATCGCATGGACCTACTTCAGCGAGAAGGGCACTACCCGGTGCCGCCTGGAGCGTCCAAGATTCTCGGTGTTGAGTTTTCGGGAATAGTTGCGGAGCTAAGTGAGGAAGGTGGTGGGAAGGAAGGGTTCAAGGAGGGAGACGAAGTCTTTGGACTAGCGTATGGCGGGGCTTACGCAGAGTATATCGCGGTTAGCACGCACATGTTGGTTAGGAAGCCAAAAGAGTTGAATTGGGAACAATGTGCTGGTATTCCTGAGGTACGTCATATGTTCAATGTCCACCCGTTGGACTCTCTAGTTTCTTCACCTCTTCACAAACCACTCAGATAGTTAACAAGTGCCTTCCTTTAGACGTGGATCACAGCCACCCAGGCCATGTACCTAGTCGGTCACTTCGCCGCCGGGAAATCCATTCTCTGGCACGCAGCCGCCTCTTCCGTCTCCATCGCCGGTATTCAGCTCTCTCTCGCCGATACCGCCTCCGCAGTATATGCAACTGCACGACAAGACGCCAAATGCAACTTTGCTGTCAAGGAACTCGGCGCAACAGCTGCCTTCAACACTACGACCCAAAACTGGGCCGAAGAGGTCATGAAAGCTACAAACAACAAGGGCGTAGACATTATTGTCGATTTCATCGGTGCGAGCTACTTCCAGCAAAATCTCAAAGCCATCGCGAAGGATGGAATCATTGTGAACCTAGGCTTTATGGGTGGCACAAAAGTGCCGGAGGGTACAGATATCAGCGCCTTCATTCTCAAACGGTGTACTTTTGTAGGGAGTAGCTTGAGGAGTCGGGATGACGAATATCAAGGAAAACTCAGAGATCAGCTTGTGGAGCATGCGCTGCCAAAGTTCAAGGACGGCAGTTTTAAGCTATTCATTGAGAAGGTACTACCGTGGGAGCAGATCCAGGATGCGCATCGCTTGTTGGAGGAGAACAAGACGAAAGGTAAAGTTATTTGTACAATATCGTAGCCATGCAGTCTGCTTGGACGCTCAGCTTGAATAGTATGCGGATCAACCCTCTGCTTCTCGCATGTTTATGTGAAGCAACCAGCTCAGCTATCTATGTACTTGCAGTCTCCAACGTGGTGATGGTACCCCTCTAGCCGGAACTTGTAAGGTCAGGTTCAAAATTGGCACATCACTTGTCTCGTCATATCAACTCCACGTCTCCAGTTCCGGTGCCAACTGCCCATTGTCTGATCGCACTCCACCTCACAACCCACACGTCACCTCTCTTGATTTCGAATTTTCGATCTGTGCCTTCAACAAACACTTCTCCCACATCTCTTAACGCTCGGACAAAAACTGCCTTGTCCTCCTCCGGCTTATCGACCATACTGATCCCACCAGTTGTGTCATCTAGCCGCTGTAATGAGGCCGGGAACTGGCCGAGGAATGAGGATGAGTAGTGTGATGAGAGGAGAGATTGATGAGATGTAAGATACTGATGTTCGGTGGATGAGAGGAGCGGGTACAAGGTATCGAGCGAAGCTGCGTGCTGCGTTTTGATGTGGAGCGGATGCGCGTCAATCTGGCGTCACGATATCAGCCGGCCTCTGAAGACCACAGGTTGGCATATATATATACCTTCTTTATTCTCGCTCTCAGAAAGCTCCTGACGAGGAACTTGAATCGCTCTAATTCCGTCTGAATAATAATCAACTTGAAATTCGTCTTTGGTTCCATATTGCCTGTTTGGTCTTCGACCAGCTCAATCTGCCTGCGACATTAGCACCCTTCTACTTTTGTATGCCTACCCCATCGTCGAGTATTGACATACCTGTCTCTGTATCCTTTCCAATACGCTGTCCATGAGATCCTTCGGCCACGGCAAGATCTCAGGCGCAACCCTTTCCGCAACCCAGCACCGAGTCAGTTCCTGTAAATCGCGTGTCTCTTGCGGGGTCGAGTCAACCGCAACTTCGGCGAGGAGATCGTCTATATCCATCGTGGGGTAAAGTATACTGAGGCCTATGGTGAAGGGAGATGTGGTGTTCGGCACAACGAGTGGGAGGGAGCTTGGGATGAGAATTGAGCGACCGGTAGACGTTGAAAGGCTCGCGTGCTGAGGCTGGTCAGTTGTTATTGGATACTACTTCAATGCATGTAAGTAGTGTTGGCGTGCAGGATGCGGGCGGGATGACTGACATTGACATTGCAGCGGGATGTGGGGTCTCGCGCTAGTGCGACGCGTCGCGACTTCCTAGGTACATAGGTACCTAGGTAAAGCCAGTCAGGCTTCGAAAAAAAACACAATATAGAGAGTCACGGCAGGGTGAATGAACACAGGGGAATGGTAAGGTATTCTTTATTTTCCTAATTCACCACAAGCAGAACTCTTCAATCCACCTTTCGTCCGTCCATATCAAGACAAAGTGATCATCAATTACCTCATCAAACTCTGTGCTGGACACCGCTGTACAAATCTCGCGTCTTCATGTACATACACCACACACACACACACACACCCCCGACCTGCAGAGAATAGAAGTGACAAGTAGATGAGTACAGCGAATACGAGCTGTGGACCTCAAATCGGGAATTATTTTGAAGAAGAAGTCCCGTTTTGCCAGCGCCGAAGAGAAGCATGTGCCGAAATGTGGAATCGAAAACCGATGGTGAAGAGCTCATTCTGTTTGTGGAATATTTGTGGAGGGTGAATACTAAATAGAGGTAGTCACCTCTGGAGTAGGAGAAGATGTGGTGCTGGTGATGACGTATGAAGGTACGTAGACCTGGGTTGTATCTGGCTTCGTGATGATTCCTAGATTGTTCTGAGAACATTTGGGAGCGATGTTTCAGCTCTGCAGGGCCATAGAAAGATCCGGTTGAGGATAGTAAAGACAAAGGAAATTAAAGGGCACGCGAGACAGCGGTCTGAAGCTGCACGATGCTTGCCTAAAACAAGATGGGTATCCAGCAAGCCCTCTCGAGAAATGGTAACTATGCCCGGGCCCGCAGCACCACGGCAGTGGGTATAGAATGCAAAAAAAACGGGGATCGAAGCACCGTAACAATTCGGCTGCAGTCGAGATTGCTGGTGTCCGTCCAACAAGTCCAACGTTGGTGCAGGTCGAATGGCAATCGCTTCAACGCCTCAGGAGGAAATGGAAAGTTGACCAAACGCCAATGCTGTGGGCTTCCAATGCAGCAATCGTAATTAACGCCATGAGTCGATCCGCCGTGAATTAGGTGAGTGTCATGAAAATATCGTCGGTCAGCGTGCAGGCTCAGTAAGAGGCCATGCGACGTGAAGTGCCTATTCCGCCTAGTCGTCCAACATTGAGCGACTCGTCGCTCAGTGTGAATATGCTGCCTCCACTCCGTGTCCGACCAATGGCTGTAGGGCTGTCTTCCATCTGACATGATTGCTGTCCAAAGGCAAAGGTCTGTGCCCGGTTCAATTTGGTGCGTTGTTTGAGTTTGTTCAGTCCGCGTTCGCAAGAGTGCTCGTGCTCCTTGGCGTCCATGCGCAGGTAGTTCTGGGGATAGCATCGAGTTGAGTGCGCGTAGTAGAAGGAACTATAGCCCCCGTCTAGTATATACACCTCGGGAAAAGAGAGGAGAGGATATTGATGAGCGTTCTCTTTACGGTCTTGGGAACGCACGAACTTGGCCCTGTGCGCTGTTAGCCTGATGATTATCACCAAAATGGCAAAGGGAACTAACATGAGTGGTGCGCGATGTGCAGAGTATTCGCAATGGAGAATCAGAAGAGTGTTAGCATTTGATGGAGCCTGGAAGAGACGCTCTGCAAGCTTCTCCTTGTCACAGAAGTTCAATGCACCCTCAATATGTCCACCCTTGTACTCGTACTCAAAACGACAATCAATGATAACCTTGTTATCATAGTGGTGGTCGTATGTACCGTCAAGGACCTCAACCAGAGTGGAATGTGTGATGCGAGGGAGACTCTCGGGTTCGCTGGTAGTGAAGTGGGGAAGCTTGAGCGAAGGTGTGTCGTCAACATCCATGACAGACTGAAGGCTGCTTGGTTGATAGTTGTCCTGGTCTTGTGTGACATTCATCACATCGCCCGGGTGCTCAAACATGCTCAACGACCTTCTAAACTTGCTTGGTCGACGGGAAGGGGGCCCTACAGGCTTCCTGACGGCAGCGAGAGGCGAGCCATTGGCACGAGACGCCGCACCTGAGTTGAGATGAAAGGGCTTAGGTTTCGAGGCAAAAAGCGAGCCATTGGAGCCAGGGCGACGTTCCTGAGGCGGCGAGGCTGTGAAGCACTCGTCCAGGGTCAGTGCTGGTGTACTCGAGAAGTCACCGCATCCGAACTTGAAGGTTGGAAGGGGACTGTTCTCTTGCGCCTTGAAAGATACCGTGTTGGTCGAGTAGTTCTTGGTGCGAGACAAAGCTGGTCGAAGCAGGATGGACTTTTTACGGCTGGAGCACATTAGCACGGACTGAGCAGGGCAAGGGCTGGTGTACTAACTCGGCGGCAGACACCGGCCTCGGCACCTCCAGCGTAGGTGCAAGATACTGGGGCGGGGTGGGTAGCTCGCACGGTGAGAGCATGTCGTCTTCGGTATCTGGGGTCACTTCTGGAGATGGGGACGGCAACGGCAGGGACCGGTCGTGGATGAAGCTGAAGGGAGCTTTATGGGGCAGAGGCGAGATGTCCATGGAGTCGGGGGCAAAGTTTGGTGAAGAGGAGGGAATTGGCGGAGTCGTCACGCCTTCCCATCGAAAAGGTGGGGTTCTGGCACCTTCTGCTTCTGAGCACGTATATTAGCATTCCTGTGGCATGCATGCCCACTGCACAGCCACTTACCTCGTGTGTCCAGTTGTTGAAAGAGATTTGAGGTGAAGAGTGACCGGCGAGGGGTTGCGAGCTGAGGGCTAGAACAAAGAAGATTAGCAGCCGGAATCGGGAGGTTGCTGCGCAAGGGAGGATGTACCTCTGGTCGACATGCAGGTTCGAAGACATGTCGGCGGCGAGACTGGCAGTAGGCGAGGAGCCTCGCATTGGCTGTAGGGTGAAGTAGTCGGTGCCGCCCTTTCTCATGCTCATATCCCTGAAGTTGAAGCTCTTGGGTCCCAAGCTGTGTGCTGAGAAGAGTGGCTTCGAGGGTGGCAGGTCGCGGCGGTAGCCCCAGGGGCCAGGAATTGGCGGCGGGTGCATGGCGGCGAGAGGCGAGGACATCTCCATGACGGCGGTGAATTGGGCAACGTCTTGGATAATGAGCGTTTGTGGGCTGGGCGGGCGTCGTCACTCAATGGCGGGCGTCGGGCAGGCAACGGGGTGTGTGTGCACGAGGCGATAAGCATACAACGACAAGAAAGTTAATTCCAATCTGAAGATGCTCGTGGTAAATAGCCTCACAAGCTCGGGGCTAGAGGAGGAGGAGGGGGTGGCCGAGTGAAGGGTGGGCTACGTGCTCGATGCAGACATGAGGCTCGCAGGCGTTTGTGAGTTATGGATGCTATTGGAGATAGTGAACGTGGGTAGCGATTGCCCTGACGGTGTGGGTGGTGTGCAGTCCAAAGCCCAAAGCCTTCTTGAGCAAAGAGAGCGAGGGGAATGGAGCCTTCTTGGGTGCGAGAAGGGTGAAGAGGAAGAGAGCAAAGGCGAGGTCATGCAGCTGGATTTGAGGCTGCCGGAGCTTGCATCGCTGCTGGGGTAACAAGCAGGAGTGAGGTTAGAGCGGGCCTGAGCTCGTAAGCGCTGCACACCGGAGGCCTCAGCACCAATATTATGCCTGCGCGCAGCCCTGGCGGGAGAGACATGGGGGCAGTTTGCTTGCTGCGAGCTACGCTGATCCGCTGGCTCTAATTGCTGTGTGCAGCTGCACTGCTGCAAAGGCCCGCAGGTACGCAGCACGCTGATTTGGCCGTACCTACTAAGCACGCCCGCGTCTAGAGAGAGGTAAACAACCGTTCGCAGCAACCCAGGTCCGTCTCGCCCGCAGCAACAAGCAAGCAAGCAAGTAATCAATCCATCAATCCATCAATCCATCAATCCATCAATCTCCATCTGACATTTCCTGCTTCACCGAGTGGGCGCTGCCATGCTCCCGCCCGGCCTATGTCGCCTTTCTGCGCGCGCGCCATGCCTCGTCCCATGTCCCATGTCCCTTGTCCCTCCGTTGCCAGAGCACTTGGGCGCACAGAGCACCCCTCCTTGCGAGCATACTCCCTGCCTCCGGGGAAAATTGTGTGAAACGACGCGTTCGAGAGTTCCCTCCCCGCTTAAACGCAACTCTTCTCGCCGACCGGCTGCTCTCCTCAAGCACACACAGGTACACACACACACGCCCGTTACCAAGGGATACCAACCCGCTCCTCATGCAGTCGCTCGTTTCGTCATCGCGGCTGCTTGGCGCCTTCTGCCAGGGAAAACCGCCATGTAGCATCGTGACGGGCGCCCTGTCATTGGCCTCAGCACCGAATCCTGAAGCTGCATTAGCCTGTCGTCTGGTCTAATTGGGCACGCGGGAGACGCCTCTAGCTGACCAAGGGTGCTGCACACGGCCCGTAAACCTCTGATCTCACCAGCCTTATACCGCTTCTGGCTGCATAAAACCGGAAAAGCCATGGCCCACTCACCAGACCGTCTGCTCCAAATCGCGCTGCGGCTCCTAGATCTCGATTGCACCCTCTTAGACGTCATAGTCATCTAGCCTGGCACTGTAACTTCCCAGTTTGCCATTTCATGACCCGGTTTGCATCCAATTCGGACACATGTCAACTTGACCGACAAGCGAGCCTCGCAATGCAACTCGGAGCCGCCGGGGGCTGTCCTGGAGCCATTGTATCGGTGGCGGGCTGAACATCTGTTCGAGAACAACAACCCACTACCGAATCAACCGAACCGCATGCACAAAACCTTTCACAACCGGGCATTCCTCGTTAGAACCCCGGTGACGTGACCCCTCCCACTGTGGACCTGCGAAACTAAGAGCAGCCCTTGTCCCAAGCGCTTGCAAATTGTCGCGTGTCGTCTCCAGGTGGACGCGTTCGCTGCTGTACACAAATAACCCAAGATGCGCATCGTGTACGCCATCACGAGACTTTGCGACATGGATGCTGAGACTCCAAACCCGCTACAACAACCTCGCGTTTCAGGGCCCTGGAGTTCTGCAAGGTGACTGATGACAATTTAGCCTTGGGCACTCTCTTTTGCTGTCAGCGCCCGGCGGAAAGCCTCCGAAAGCTGTCCATCACATGTTCCTTACGGTGTCGCCCAATCACAATCGTCGCAGGGTTTGACCGGCCTGGCTTGACCGGAATTCTCGAGCGCTTTGCTCATCAGCCGTTGCCCAAGGTTAGCAAACTGCGGCAAAGTATTGCAGGGCCTTCAGCTAAACAAGTTAATTAATTCTAATTTTTCTAAGCTAAGAAGTGCAGCGCTTTAATAAAGCCCTAGTTTTTTATTTCCTCGCCTAATATTAATGCTGTTTAGCTATAAAATAGCTAGCAATTTTTTTTAAAAAATCTACCTTTATCTAAGCGCTTTTTTATAATAAGTTAAAAATATAAGCTTTAGCTTTAATTTAGCTAGTAAATTTATTTTTAGTAGTAATAAATTTATATAAAGCTTTAATATAAGTAAATAGGCAAGTATTACTTTTAAGCTTGCATTAATTAGTAAAATTAGCTTTACTACTTTTATATACTATATAAAGCCTATAGACTTAGCCTTGCAAAAATTAGCTATAGTATTTTTATATAAAAAAGTTTTACCCCGCAAAAACAGGACCTAATGTGTTATTAATAGCTTATATTATTAGTATTTTTACTATATATTATATACTTTTATTTTTAAAATTGCTAAACAATAAACTTCTAATTTTTAATAATATAACTTTAACTGCTAAAGCGCAGCTTTCTTAACAGCTTTAAGCATATATTTAAATATTTAATATAATATTAGCTTACTACTAAACAGCTAACTAATACTAGGCCTTTAAGCAATAATAGTAATAGTAAAATAGTAATAATAATACAAATAATAATAATAATAATAATTTTTTCTATAATACTAGCTTTAATACTTAGCTGCCTCTTTGCTTTTTTGCAAATACTATTTTTTTTTTTTATTATTTAAATTAATTGCTTGCGCCTTTAACTTTTTAAAGTATTTATTAAAGCTACTTAAATATTTATATAATTTTTATAGCTATAAAAAACTATTACTTTTAGTTATTAAATTATAAGTAACTATAGTAGCATAAAAATATTTTTTAGTATAAATTCTAAATACGCTCTTTGCGCTAAAAAGCTATATAAAGCCTTTTAAATTTATTTTACTAATTAGTAATAAAAGCTTTCTAAAAAGCTATTAAACTGCAGTAAAAAGTCTATATTTAGTAGCTTATAATAAATATAGCTAATATATTTAGCTTTTTTTAGCAGAACTCTTTTTAGTTAAAAAAGTCTAAATTTTTAAAAAAAAAGTAATTAATTGTTAAATGCTTTAGTATACTAAAAAGCCTAGTATTTAAATTTTAAAAAATTTATTTAAGCTTGCTAAAGCACTTAAACACTTACTTATACTAGTTTAATATACTAGTTTTATAAATAATAATATTTTAAAATTTAAATTTTATTGTAAATGCTAAAAAAATAATAAAACAAAAAGCAGCGTTAAGAAAATTATTAATAAGTATTATATAAATTTTATTAGTAAAGCTTGCATCCTGTTAATTAGTAATTAATATAGCTTGCTATAAAAATATAAAAAGCTAATTATATAAAAAAAAAAATTTTTTTTATATATATATTATATATTTAAAACTGCTGCCTGCGGCTTTTTACTTTTAATTATTAACTATTAACTATTGCAACTTATTAAAAATTATAGTTTATAATTTTAAAGTTTCTTTGCAAGCTAACTTGCTAAACTAAAACTTTAATTAATATTTTATATACTATTACTAATTAAGTTGCTTACTTTTATTTAAGAAAATATTAGTTAAAGTGCTTTACTACTAAACTAAATTTTTAATATTAGCTTAAAAACCTAACTAAACGCCTTATTTTAGTTTAATATAACCTGCCTAGCATTGCCTAAACAAATTAGTTATTATTAAAAATTAATAATTATATTACTATAATTTTTAAATAATAACGTATTAGGTCTACTAATAATAATTATTAGTTTTAATAATCTATTTAGCTAGCCTAGTATTGTGTAAATTTTACTGCCTTAATACTATATTAAAGTGCTAAGTATAGCACTTAAATTATAATTTTATACTAAATTTTTTTACTGCATTGTATAATCTGCTTTAGTATCAACTTTACTTTTATTTATAGAAATAAAAAAGTTTTACTTACAATTTTAAGTGCTAAATTTATATATAAAGGAAAAAAGCTGCTTATATTAGCTTTGCAAAATAAAAATATAATTAATTAGTAAAAGCAATAGCTAGTAAAAAATAAAATAGTAAAATAATTACCTAGGCAGGCGCTTTATATAAAATTAAATTTGGCTAAATAGCTGTATTAACTAAACAGCCTACTATAAATTAGTAATAAAGCCAGATCTTGCACGTAATTGCTATTAACCTTAGGCTGAAGGATAGCTTCGGGCAATTCGGTTTAACAGTTGAAACGGCTCAATTAACATGTAAACTCCTATCTGAACACTATTATGCAAATCCACACCATTCACCTTTTACTAAAGCTAGTTGGTTTTTCTCATCTACGGATATACATTGATTCTCAGGCAATCTTTCTTGAGCGAAAAGCTGGATGTCAATTTGCATGCGGCTCGCTTTGTTATGGTTGATACGCGCAGTTGATATCTACCAGGATGAGGTGACAGCGTGGTCACGACACGGCTTGAACCATAATGGGCGAATACTTTCATGTACATTGGTTCTTACCTTGTACCCACCGAACCCTTTCCCTCGTTTAGTAAGCCTATAAACCTTCAAGTGCACTGTACGTACAGCGAGACTTCAGAGCTAATATTATGCTACCTATTCTAAAGAATTCAATACACCCACTGCAACAAATTTAAGGGGAATGGGAAATGTTAAAGCTACTAACCTGGCGTCGACGTACATGAGTTAAGGACGGTAGAAGGAGGCAGAAGAGCTAGGAGAGCGGGTAATAGAGATAAGAAAGAGGGTCCCGTCAGTTCCGTTGGCTTTCCTCTACGAATATTGTAAGTGTACTAGTTGGTAGGATTCCCTTTACTCTATGTTATAAGCCCTAGGCCCCTTTTCAGTTAGCCGGCATAACGCCCATGATACTCGCTGACTATGTTAGATCGTTTGTATAATGCGGTAAATTGAGTTCGGATGCGTTGCTAAGATTCTCCTAAAGTTACTGCGAGCTTGTGTTGTAGTACTTCTCCCTTTTTTCATACATTGGAAAGATTTAATACAGTCAGACAAAAATTATTTGCTAAGTAAGCATGTTACCAATAGTGTTACCAATAGTACCATTGACCATTGTAACAAGCACACCATTTTTGATACTCATTAGACCAATTTCCTGCAACCCAATTCGTGCCGTCCCACCATTCTGCATACTTGGCCTGCTCGTTTGTCCTCCACGTGAGGCCGGAGCCACCTGACTTCGATTCCCCAGAGCTGCTGGACTGGCCGATCGGAGGTTTGTACTCCATTCCCGTAATGGCACGATATTGCTTGTACTTGGACGAGAAGTTGACATGTCCAGTGCCGTCATCGTGAACGTGACCACTTCCCACACGATTCCGGCTATTCAGCTTATTCGATTTGTAGAGAGCGAAGGATATGACGGGCTTAGGATCAGCCGGGTCGTCATGAGACTTATGGGGTCGGGATCCGTTCAACTTGATTCCAGTGATGATTGGGATTTTGGCGGCGATATCTTCGACGAATTTTTCAGTAGCTTTTTGGAAGGCAGGCTCCTTGATGGCTGCAATGGCTTTGACCAATGAAGACTTGATTGGGCCAGACATGATGGTAGAGAGAGTGTAGAACGTGTAGAACGTGTAGAACGCGGAGGACTTGATTTTAGATGGTATATTACAAAGAATGATATATGAATGAATGAGGTTGAATGAGGATAATGCTTGATGAGGACCTGCTTATTGGGGAAGTGGGCAAGTTTAAATAACCTGAGGGACTCCACACACCCTGTGGCAACGAATGCCTCGTAGCCTGCCGTCGACTTGATTAGCTGCGATATAACAGGCTCGTACAGATATAATACACATGAGACGGACAAGACTCTGCGGCCAGAGTTCGTTTCATAGTACCACCAGCCACTCTCCAATGAGTTTCCCAGGAATCTTGGACTATGATACTACGGCAGCGCTGTATCCACTGACCAACGACTGGGTAATGGTCTGATTTTGTGACCCAACATGCTCCAAGATGCGATCCTCGAGAGTCGACATCTATAGGCCTATATCCCCTGTCCAAATTATCAATGTGACTGTTGCGAGATGATCTAGCCTGAAGCGCCAAGATGCGCTGGAGCGCGCGCTTAAATTGTTATTAAGCGAAGCGGTTATCTATCCGAAGTCGCCCCTGGCTATCCACTTTCGCCCTTACTTACCTATAGACCGGAAGTCTTTGATTTCCATGTTTTCTCATCCTCGTATATTCTTGCGGGTGCGAACGCCAGTCTTGAACAGATCTCGCCTTATTTCATTCTCCTTGTGTCGCGCAGGCCGCGTTACATCGCGCTCCATGTCATCCTCGGCCACTCCGTTTGAAGAAGAGAGGGAAGTGGGCTTCAAAAAGTTCTACCCGATGACCTTGGGCGAAGTTATCAATGAAAGGTATAAGGTCGTGGCAAAACTTGGCTTCGGAGCAGCAAGCACGATATGGTGCTGTCGTAACCTAGCGTGAGTGAAACTCAGGCGCGAGGTGGAGCCTAGCATTAACCAGATATACCAGCACAAATAAATATGCCGCACTGAAAATTTACGCCCACGATTTGGTTGCAGAAGATGAGATTGACAACGAAACTGCCATCTACAAACATATCAGCACCGCGGGGAGCCCCGACCATCCTGGCAAGATGTATGTTCGCACCATTCAGGATTCATTCTTCGTCACGAGCAGAGCAGGGAATTCCCATCGATGTTTAGTTCACGAGGTCCTTTCCAACAACATATTGAGCCTCCGGTATACTCGCCCAGATCGTAAACTGCCCGAGACAATGCTCAAGCAAATTTTGATCCATTTGCTGCTCGCACTGGATTTCTTGCATAGCGAGTGCCATATCATCCACACAGGTCAGGTCGCTCCTCCCACTATGCTTTGGAAAATATTGACATAGTGCTAGATATAAAAGAAGAGAATATTTTGCTGGGTTTGGTCGATCCATCGATCGTGGAACAGCTGGACACAAAAGAAATTGCGGCATCGAGCCTCTACAAAAGTGTCAATGGGTACAATCTCTACAAAAGCGCAAACTTCGGTATTCCAATAAGGTTTGGCCGCCCGATCCTGTGTGACTTCTCGCTCGCCCGGAATGGACGGGTCAAGCACTGCCACGATATCCAGCCGGACCCCTACCGGGCTCCCGAAGTGATTCTAGAGATGCCCTGGGGCTATGCCGTTGATATATGGAATGTCGGAGTTATGGTGCGAGATTTTCTGCTTGTGGCTAATAGCACGAAACTGATGAGAGCTTCTAGGTCTGGGACATGTTTGAGAACAGACGCATGTTCGATGGGCTTGACCCTGAGACTGGCAACTATGGGAACCGCTTCCACCTTGCTAGTATAGTTGGTCTTTTGGGTCCTCCTCCCCTCGAGTTTCTCCAGCGAAGCGAGTGCAGCTCCGTTTACTTCGATGACAGAGGTAAGTACTTGATTCCAAGGATGTGCATCCGCCAACCTAATATCGACAGGCAACTGGAAGTGTCTGAATTCTGTCCTATCAGTGTCTTGGGAAGATTCCGAGAGCAATCTTGAAGTTTCCAATAAGAAAGGCTTCCTCGACTTTGTTCGCAAAATGGTCAAGTGGACGCCAGAATCGAGAGCGTCACCCTCTGAGCTATTAGAAGACCCTTGGCTTCTTGGAGATGTGGAGGATTAGCTGAACTCGGGCACGATAATTAGCAGCTTGAGCTGTAGCTGAACAACCCTGAGCTCGCCATGAGACAACATGAGCCAGCGTGATTGCGCTTGATTTGCTCCCGAGCAACATGACGAGGGGTTGAAATTGGGCCCCAATCAGCTCGTGGGGATGTGAGGTGTCCAAGGACTAACTGGTACCGGTTTCGGGTAACAAGATCCATGGCTTAGCTCTTTGCCCCTTGTGCCGGCATATTTTCTTTCATCTACAGTCCTTAAGACTACTCGAATAGTCAAATACACATATGCAGCTGGTAATGATCGTTGTACTTATGCTTGTTGATACATCGCCATAAAGATTAGTTTGGGGCGTTGTCGGGATACTCTTAATCTACTGCAAGTCCATATTGCGGATAACACCGCTCCTTTCACATGCAAAACATTTTACTACTCTAAGTCAGTGATCAGCTGGCAATCCTCAAGCAGGGAGTTGTGCTGTGCGAGCATGCTTCTGCATTTCCAGGTCATCATCACAACCTAGCTTTAGTCTAAGTAGGGTTGGATCATGACTAGTTTTTCTGAAGCACACACTACCTACCTGAGATCATGGGGATCTCGCAATAGCTTTACAAACGCTTGTTGTGTAACGCGAAATCGTGCAGTTTGACCGCGCCCTCCGACCGACCCGGGAAACGAGAAACTATCTGATGCCTGTCCGTGTCCATCTTATCCTAGTACGAGAGTGAACGTGCTTCATCCGACGGCGCCCAACATACCTACGTCCTCCGCTTGCCATTACCAGCATGAGTTCTGCATTCGCCGGGATCTTCCTCGCCATTCTCGGACTCTTCGTCGTCGTCTACGTGGTCAGTGTTATGACTGACAGCATCACTGAAGAGATCGCTCGCCTGGTCTACATTGAGCAGCGTCGGGCTTTTGCGGGTACATACGCCGGGCTCGCCATGGTCATATCGATATCCCAGTAGCATCCATAGATTCGGCGACAGCTGCACCATGCGAAAAACTTCGCCTTCACCACCGAGGAGCCTGTGATCTACGGCTATCGGGTCGAAAGATGCATTCGAATCGCTGCGATGCACGGTTACCCCCACCATCGACGAGCCCTTTGGCATGTGATAATGCGCGAGATCGGTTATCTGATAAGCAATGTTGGTGCCAGATCTATAGTTGCTGCTAGTTCCCCTTCCCGTCTTCGGTTTCCGAGGGAATGTTTGTGGGGAGCAAGACCGAGTCGCGCTATCCGCTCTGGACCTAGACAGCTGAAGAAGATGAGATGGCGTTGTGTTTCGCGATATTCCCATAGGCATCGTGCTCTGGCCTCGTCGTCTAGCAGTAGTCTGTGGTAGACTGCGCCCCCTCTCCCGCACTGGACGATCGCTGCGTTTCCTCCGTCGAGAGGTTCTCACTGAGGGTCTACCGGACACCTCGCCGACCTGACCGAGCCCATTCTCGTGGCTTCCCTTAGAAGCATTAGCACTGTCACCTCCGTTCATTTCGCTCTCTACCCCTTCAAGAGGGACGAGCTGTCTTGTGGAGGAGAGCACCTCCTCGAATGTCCCCTGAGCATGCGCGCCATTATCGTGACTCTCTTCATCGACGTCGTTTAATGACGGGGCTGGGCTTCCGGCTCGACCGCCTTGGGTGCCATTATCAACAGATTTGGAACTAGGCTTGCTGCTGATTCCAGAGGAACGGAGGTCTGGGCTGCTGGGGATCGGCGAAGGCGTTGGCTTGGGTGTGGGCACGTCGAGTATAAGGCTCTCTGCTCGTCGCTCGGATAGCCTTAGCCGCTTCGCTAGACGAGGGTCTACTGGCTCCGAGTCTGGCGTAAAGTCCGATGCTTCTGTCGAGAATATCGTTTCACTAGTTAAGCTGTGTGTTCGTTCGCGTGTTGATAGGGATCTGCTTGTCACGCTGTCATCATCGTTATCGTCAATGAGTACTGTTTTGTCCTCCGCCACCGATGGCTCTTCTGAAGACCTTAAAGTGGGCACTTTAACCCGTGCTGGGATTCTACTCACCGTATCGGATACCCTCCACACCCTCCTCAGAGGCCGCACCGAGATTACCAACACTTCCGGAACGGTATCGTTCGGTTCTAACTGCAAGGTGACCGCTCCCTGGAGAGTCGAATTATAAGAGGATTTCCAAAGCGCATACGCCCGAGTTGAGCTATCGCTGGTTCTATAAAAGTACTTCAAGTACAGAGATGTTTATAATTATATTGATTCCTCTAGGATAGGCTTTATAGAGAGAGAGAGTTAAAATAATATAATTATAAATATCTCGCTGCTATAGTCTGCCGAGGTATTTCCTATAATTAGATAATCTGCGCGCTGAGGCGTAGGTGTTTCGAATATCCATGGATTGCGGGGGTCGGAAAAATGGTTCATCCGACAATCTAAACTATATTAGTCCTAGTTCCTAAATCTTTCGAGAAACCCGCCCGTGCAGTTGCGACTTTTTCTCTTTTCTCTGGGAAGCACAACGAATCTTCCAAACCCAATCAAACACCGAAGAGAATGGGTAGCAAGACTCGAAAGAGAGAGCATGACTCCGGTTCGGGAGATAACATGAGCGAAGCACCCGCGAAACGACGCCGACAGATCAACGAAGAGCACCTTAAGCTTTCCAAGCTATATGAAGACCTGGCTGCCGAATCAGATGACGTGCGACTTGAAGCCGCCAAACAGCTCATTGTGAAGTTCTCACCAGAGAACAAGCCTGCTGCGAAAGAGGTGCACAGCGCTCTAGGTCGTTTAATCAAGGGTCTCTGCAGCCAACGCAAGGCAGCCAGAGTTGGATTTTCCCTCACCCTTACCGAATTGTTGCGGCAGATCTTTGGCTCCGGAGAAAATGCAATTGAAAGTCTGGAGCTTGATGTGGCCGCTATTATCAGCATGGTTGAAGAGAAGACCAAGGTCGAGGGTAACGTGCCTGGACGGGTAGGACATCAACACACGCCATGATTCTGGCCAGTGCTAATCGACTTTAGGAACGACGAGATCACAAAATTGGAAAGCTCTTTGGCTACAAGGCCATAATGCAATCGTCCATAGTGATTGAGCCAAAACTCTCGTTGGAATGCTGGAACCAGCTTCTAGACCATATATACGGAATGGCACGCGACATCCCCTGGCTACGTGAAGAATGCGGCATGGTACTCGTCGAGGCGGTAAGAAGTCTGAAATCCCGCGCACAGTACCAGAAATGCGCTGAAGAGGTGATTGGACGTCTCAGCGCATTTAAGCTCGTTTCTACACCTGAAGGTGTTGCGGTATGGCTTACTGTTCACAAAAGTTTTGAGCATGTATTACCAGACGGTATCTGGCATGCCAAAAATCCTTTGGCAAAGAAGGAACGCGCCCGTCTAGCAAAGATATTGAAGGAGAACTTTCAAGGCGAAACCGAGAACGGTACCGACGGAGCCACCAAGACCGCAGCTGCGAATCCAAACCCGTCCTTCACTTGGGACCTGGTCTTATCTGAGATCCTGCGAAGAGATGAGCAGAGCAGGAGCAATGCCAAGGAGACAACGGAGTTTCCACAGTTCTGGATTGATGTTGTAGACAGTAAGCTCGCCATTACATACTCTTGACTCTAGCTCACGATGCTAGGCAACCTGTTCTCCTCTACGTCGTCTCATGAGCGCAAAGCCTGGGGGTTCAAATTGTTGAGCAGTATGATCACACAGGTTCCCAAGTGGGCAGTCCCGGCATTGTTCAGTCCAAATCTCATGCGCACCATCATCAACCAGAGCAAGAAAGAAGACAGGTTCCTCCACACAGCCGCACTAGCTTCTTTGAAGGCCGTGCAGGCTAGAGTTCAGCTAGAGAGCAGTTCGGCATCCTTGATCTTCGTTGCACTTACCACCAGGTATGGTAGCATTGAATTTGACAGAACCACCAAGACGAAAACTTTAGAACATGTGCTTTTGTCGGCCGACGATGAGAGCCTGAGAAAGATCGTGCGCCATCTCAACTCGCTTGTTCTTCGTCCAGAAAGCGAAGACCAGACTGTTGCAGATAGCCGACGCCAGATCATCGCCGACATGCTCTTGAACACTGTCAGGAGCTACAAACGATATGATGAGCTCGTTGAACACGTTACCGAGAAGGATAACTGGCTTCGAAGAATACTGGAGGTTTTGGTCGAGTATGCTTACTTCGTGCCCAGCCAGGATGCGAAGACCAGCAAAGTGCCTCTACCTCCGATTAGTGAACGCAGCAGGACAATGTTCCAGGAGCGTCTCTCATCATGCCTAACCAAGCTTCTTGGTGTCAACGCCAACTCGCGCGCAGCCTTCGCTTTAATGATTGTAGGCATGATCAGAAGCAAGAGTACTTCTTCCAGGACGTTGAACCTAGTCTTCAAAGCGGATAGCCCGGTCCTGAAAACTATGGAGGAGGCCTTTCAGGTCCTGGACGCTATCTCTACTCAAGTATAACACACCCTTCTCCTTGGGCGAACTCAACTAATATGATGCTGTAGGGTTCCGTGGCTGGAAATAAGATGGCAGCCGAGGGATTCATGCTTCTCTACTCGTTGACACTGTTGCAAGTGTACAATGGCGAGGGAGATGCCGTTATGATGCTCGATGATCTCGATGCTTCGCGCAAAGCGATGCTCAAAAAGCAGGAAGATTCGACAGCAGAGGGCCAAGACATTTTCGTAGAGATTATCCTGTCTTTCCTTGGCAACCCTCGCACATTATTCCGTAGAATTGGCGAAGAGGCTTTCGCCATCTTTGCGTCTGAGATTAGTTCTGAGGGGTTGCAATCACTGACCGACATACTGGACACGGAGGAAAACCTGGAGGGACAAAAGGAGCTTTTCAATCAAGCAGACGACGATGCTGAGGAAGACCAGTCCGATGACGAGTCCGGAGACGAATCAGACGTTGAAATGATTGATGGCGAACCGCATGACTCGGAAGACGCTTCGGCTTCTGAGGTGGCAAGTGGTAGCGAAAGCGACGAGGTTGACGACGAAGAGAGCAGTGAAGATGATGCAGAGCTCACGCAGTTCAACAATCTACTGGCTTTGACGCTTCAGACTTCCAAACCGAATCTTGACGGCGAGGCTCCCGAAGAGTCGTCTGATGAATCGGACATGGATGACGAGCAGATGATGGCACTCGACCCCCACCTCAGCAACATCTTCCGGCAGCGGAGTAAAACCACGAGCAAAAAGAAGGAGCGGGAGGACGCGAAACAGAATGTTGTCCAGTTCAAATCCAGGGTGCTTGATCTGCTGGCAATTTACCTGGAGAAGCAGTACTCTAACCCGCGTACCCTCAACATGCTCCTTCCAGCGCTCAGACGCACGCGTGCGAACGCAAATAAGCAGATTGCCGACAAGGCTGCCAAGATGCTGAAGACATTCTTCGACACGCGCACAAAACACAAAGCCCCTCTGCCAAAGCCCGAGGAGGTGGAAGAGGTTTGGGAAGTACTAAAGGGCATTCATGAGGAGGCGAAGTTGGGCGGTGGTGCTAAGATGCATGCAGACGCGTGCAGCAGCGCGAGTTTGTACGTCGTAAAGGTACTCATTGGACTAGACAAGAGCAACTATTCTGGAGTGGTGGACGTGTATGCTGAGACGCAGAAGCAGTGGTTCACGGACAGGAAGTCTCCTCTACAGGCAGTACTGTTCACCCAGTTCCAGAACTGGTCTCTGAACTCGCGGCAACAGGGAAAGTAGAGCGATGACTGTGAAGATGGGTTGGCAATATATCCTTGTAGGAATAGCGTAGTCTTGCCATGATTACCCTCTCAAAAGCATGTTTGGTAAATGCCTGCCTTTTCCGCCGTTGTACTGTAGTGAATGGGCCCCCTGTCGCCTGAATTGCCCCACCACCTGCCTGGAGCTATGACAGCCTACTAGCTCTTCAATGTCCAGGAACACGACCACGGCTCATTCTAGCAAACTATTGCCGTCACACCCTGCTTCACAAGGCTCTACCCACCTGCACTGCTCTTTTGCTCTTTCACTATTTGATCTCCCAGGCTGCTCTACCCTCTGCCCACCCCAGGCTCGCAAACAATGGCCTGCACGCACGTAGATGCGCCCGGTAAGTGCCCCGCGTTTCTCCCTGCTGAGCTCTCGTAGTATTATTTACACTCTGTGCAGAGCTTCGCAAACCAGGGCCAACGCAGTCTGTCTACCGAGAAGACTGCACTCAATGCTTCGACTCCATCGTAAGAAGCTTCCTCCGGGTCCTTTCGTGGTCGGACTGACGGACAGCACAGGATGACCCCGCTGGTCTCGATGTTTGCCTCTACTGCTTCAACGGCGGCTGTACCAGCGACCGAAATCACTCGCTCCTCCACGTCTCCGCCACGAATCATCCCCTTGTCCTGAACATCAAGCGCACGCGCAAGAAGATCAGACGCGACGAGCCGCCACACAAGATCACCAAGCTCGCTGTTGCAGCTGAGACGGAAGCCGACCGCTACGATACGACTACACAGGTCAAGTGCTACCAGTGTGGTGTCGATGACGTGGATAAGCGGTCAGGAAAGCTGCCTGACGTTGTCGATGCTGTCCTCAAGGCAAATACGTTTGCTAGGCAGGAGGAGGTCAAGGCTTGGGAGCAGGAGATGACGGCTTGCGAGCACACCCTGTGCCTGGAGCAGGACGCACCAAGGGAAATTGAGTCTCAGATCCTGGGCCACTGCTCAGAGTGTGAACTCAACGAGAATCTCTGGTTGTGCTTGACATGCGGAAACCTAGGCTGCGGTAGGCAACAGTTTGGCGGCATTGGCGGCAACTCTCATGCTGTGGGTCACACAAAGTCTACTAACCATCCTGTCGCGGTCAAGCTGGGCTCCCTCACTGCGGATGGAACGGCCGACATCTACTGCTACGCTTGCGACGAAGAGCGGGTTGACCCCGAGCTACCGAATCACCTCGCGCACTGGGGCATCAACATCAAGGACAGAGTGAAGACGGAGAAGAGCCTCACAGAGATGCAAGTCGAGCAGAACCTGCGATGGGATTTCGCCATGGTGACTGAGGATGGCAAAGAACTGAAACCTCTCTTTGGACCTGGTCTTACGGGCCTTAAAAACCTGGGCAACAGCTGCTATTTGAACAGTACATTACAGGCTCTATTTGCGATGCCAGAGTTCAAAGACCGATACTATCTCCCCGACCAAGGGCTACCGGATGCGCCGCTCCCCGCCGAAGACCTAGAGACTCAGCTTCGTAAGGTTGCCGATGGTATGATCTCTGGTCGCTATTCGAAGCAAGACAGTGATGTTTTCGTCTCCGAACACTCACCAGAAGTCCCACACCAGCGTGGTCTTGCACCCGCAATGTTGAAGCATCTGATTGGACGGGGCCACGCCGAATTTTCCACTATGCGGCAGCAAGATGCGTTCGAACTGCTCCTGCATCTCCTTAAGCTAATTTCACGCTCTCAACATAACGCACCTCACAAGGACCCAGTGGACGCTTTCCGGTTTGCTATGGAGCAGCGACTGCAATGCATCAGCTGTAAGCGGGTCCGATATAGAACAGACGAGCAGGAGAACATCTCTATTCCTGTGCCGATTCGGAGGATACCGAAAGAGGGGTTGATGGAGGTCACCGATGGCGATGGCAAGAATAATGATCAAGAAAAGGAAGAGTTCGAATCGGTCACACTGAAAGAGTGCCTTGACATCTTCACTACCGAAGAACTGGTAGAGCTCACATGTGGAGCCTGTGGTAGCAAGGATGGCTTCACCAAGAGGAGCATGTTCAAGACCTTCCCTGCCGTGTTGGCTGTCAATGCTCGCCGCTTCGAATTGGTCAACTGGGTGCCCACCAAGCAGGACGTCCCTGTCATCATCGACGATGAGCCATTCTCGTTCGATGCTTACAAGTCAAAGGGCTTGACTGACGGCGAGGAACTCCTTCCCGAAGATGCCGGCACTGGAAGTACTGCGGCTTCTTCAGGCAAGTGGCTTCCCAACGAGGCCGCACTGTCAATGCTAGAGGCTATGGGTTTCCCAAGGGTCAGGTGTGAGAAGGCTCTACATGCGACTGGCAACGAGGATGCGGAAGCAGCTTCGAACTGGCTCTTCGCGCACATGGAAGACCCGGACATAGATGATCCGGTCGATTTCAATGCAGGCAGCAGCTCAGCAGGTGGTGCGTCTATCATTGATCCCGAGAAGATCGAGAGCCTAGGTGCTATGGGGTTCAACGCCCCGCAAGCACGGCAGGCATTGAAGGAGACTGGCGGTGACATGGAACGAGCCGTGGACTGGCTCTTCAGCCATCCTGACGCTGCTGGGGACTTTGATCAGGGTGGTAGCTCAGAGGTTCGTTATCTTATTCGAGTTTAGCATTTGCATGACCAGAGCTGACATAGACAGGCGCCCGCCGCATCACAAGAAAAGGTAGAGGCAGGTAGCGACCTATTGCCAGTGAGTTTCCAGTTGCAGTCTATCGTCTGCCACAAGGGAAGCTCTATTCACGCTGGGTGAGTGTTTTCAAGAAGCGCGGTTTGAGAAGGTATGCTAACTATGCCCACACAGTCACTACGTCGCTTTCGTGCGCAAGCAGCTACCTGGCGAACAAACTACATCGTGGGTCCTATTCAATGACGAGAAGGTGGCTAAGGCGGCCGACGTGGAGGAGATGAAGAAGTTTGCGTACGTGTATTTCTTCAGGCGTTTGTAAGGCGTGAACAGTGTGGGACTTGCATGGCACGGGTTAGAGCATAGCGGGTTGGACGCGGAGTTGGCTCGGGTATCATTGGAAGCGGGTTTTCGCGCCTGCACTTTATGGCACATGGCGAAGGAGGCAAGAAAGGCACTGTACTGCAAGCTACGACCCTAAGTTTGGTGTAGAGTGGAGACGTGGTGAGTAATCAATCTCATCTGATAAGGACTTGCTAGGCCTTCGGAGATAGTGTTCGTGCCCCGGTGAATTGTGGGGTTTCGACCGAGTGGACGGAGGCAAATAATGACATGGCCGACCTTCGCTTTTACACTCAGTTCCGCATAGCCGTCACCTCGTCCGCTACACCTACACACACATCCTCAGCACTCCCACAACCCTCGAAATCCATCCAAGTCGATTGATTGACAGACGCCAAACACATCGAAACCTCGCATCCACCCATTTCCACCATGTTCAGGAGAGTCGTAGCGGCAGTGCCCGCCCAGGCCGGCAGAGTGCTTGCAACGGGTGCCCGACCGAGCATCGCATCGCCTATCCGCACAGCAGCGCCCACAGTATCAGTAATGGGAAGGCGTCAGTATCATGAAAAAGATAAGTTGCCCCCCTCCCCGCGCCATTCCAATGTTTGGACTTTGGTGGCGATAACTTGAGTCGCTGCTCGACCCGTTCCCGTATATTGCCTTCTGTCTTGGAGCGCGCAGCTAACGCCCGCAGCACTGCTCGACCACTACAACCGCCCGCGAAATGTCGGCTCCATGTCCAAAACTGACACGGACGTGGGCACAGGACTCGTTGGCGCCCCAGCCTGCGGCGACGTCATGAAGCTCCAGATTCGCGTTGACCCCAACAACAACACCATCAGCGACGTCAAGTTCAAGACGTTCGGGTGCGGTAGTGCGATTGCGAGCTCGAGCTATCTGACCGAATTGGTGAGGGGCATGACACTCGAGGATGCGAGCAGAATCAAGAACACGGAGATTGCAAAGGAGCTTTGCTTGCCGCCTGTCAAGTGTGAGTACTCTTATCGGTAGAAAATCCATCATGGACGGATGGGTATGGGAACGTCTGGGAGTATGTTACTGACTTTGTCCTAGTGCATTGCTCCATGCTTGCAGAAGACGCCATCAAATCCGCCATTTCGAACTACTACACCAAGAACCCCAACGCACGCGCAACAGACCTCGGAGGCAAGTCGGCGCCGCTGCCAAAGGTGGAGATTGAGACTGTTTCGGCCGCGGCCGCGTAAACGAGAAGGCGTACGCCTAAAATTGTTACCAAGGGAAGAAGGACTGATAGGGAAAGTAACCAAGGGACGACCTTGACTTGACCTTTTTTTATTATCTATGTGACATCAGGTCTCTCGCTTCTCAATGTACCTTGATGAGTTATTTGGGGGCGTTTGAGCGTTCACGGTGGGTGGGTGGCTGTCTTGATAATAGCCGAAAACAAGATTGACAAGGTACTGGGCCACAGCCCAGCAAAGGCTGTACATGTTATTTTAGCAATGAACAAAATTCACATTGATACCTGAGAGACTGTGCGTGTGAAAGTTTGATATGGAATTTGGTAAGGTATACAAAGTGAGAATGAAAGAGTCAAGAGTTACAATTTTTTTTTTTCATTCTCCACAACGCCGTCCGTAAGAGGGATATATCATATTTATATCGGGGTCTACCCTGGTTAAACCAAGGTCGATAGTCGCCTTATACACTCGTTGCGTGAGCTGAGCGTCACGCCACATTGTGGGTACTTGGATACAAGGGGGGAAGAGGTCTAATAAAGCACGTGCGAACTGACAGTATCGAAGGAACATGACGATGACATGATAATATATTCATCTGATACTAGCTGGGTGTACTAACCATTTGAAACTATGCATTGATCATGTGCACTCTCCAAAGCAGTGTAATGAGCTAGCCTGCTTTTGCCTTGTGATGAATCTTGGAATTTACTTGATGTTATACAACCCGTTCCTCCAATGACTCTAATATAAGACCATCGCTATATGGCTTCTATAAGCCCGTTTTCTCTATACTACTCAAAGAAAAAGATGGCTGTTGCATTGTCGCAATCAAAGAACGAGACCAGCCTAACGCCGTCGCTATATCGAAATATTGACCGAGGTGTTTCCTAGGTTGACCAGCCATTCCACCAATGCCCAATCAATCCAATCGTCCTAATGCAAATGCGGATGAAGCTGTTATGAAAGAATGGGTGTGACAGTATACAATGGCCACTCATCGTTAGTGGCCTGGGTGTGGCATCTTGCTGTTCATCTGGGAAGAATCTTGTGACGCCTGTGTCACGTTGTTATGCTGTCGCGAAAATAACATCGGGGGATGTCGATGTTGAAGTGTCTTTTCTATAAGAAACCAGAATTCCACTTGCCCATGAGCATGTCCCGCGTCATTTCGAAGCTGAGCCAGCTACTCGCCATGCTCGGTGCAACCTTGAGTAGGTTGGGCACAATACCCTTGTATAGGCCTCGGACGCCCTCCGTCTTGACAATGGAGCGAATGGCGTCGCCAACACCAGCGTACTGGTATCCCATGCCACTCATGGTGTTGACCTGGAATCTCCGCCGCAGGACGTCGAACGGGTATGTGATGGTCTGCGCTACGGCACCGGAGACGGCGCCTGCTCCCAGTTTGCCAATAGCGCCTGGGTCTTTTTGACCTTCGGGTGTGAACTGCGTCCTGGCCATCTCGTACACCATGAAGTTGAGGCCAACGTAAGGTGCTACGCCTGCCACGGTAGGGATGATACCGCGATAGAGAGCAGGGAAACCGCCCTCGGTCTTGTACATGGTAGTGAGGAGTGACCACATGCCCGGTAGCTTCTGGCCAGTTTCCTTCTTGAGACTTGCAAACGATGCGGATTGGATGGATAACCGTGTCCGGACGATGTCGAGAGGGTATGTGAAGGTTACGGAGGTGATGCCAGCGAGACCGCCGCAGAGTAACCGTTGATATGCGCCAAGTGGTGCGCCTGGCTCGCTTTCGAAGAACTAAGACTTGTCAGCTCAACTGACCAGCATGTGTGCGGCCGTGTTGTCCCTGCGCCATTGGTCCTTTTCAAACCCAGACATTCCGCCCGAATGATGCTTGGGTATACTCACACGTTTGTAGACGTTGTATGCGCTGAACTGTACGGCAGAATAGGGCACGATTCGTATGCAGTTGGTTCCATTGCCAGCCATGAAGCCCCTCCAACCCTCTTCTCTCCACATCTTGGCCAGCGCTTTCGGTACCGACATCTTGTACTCATTCCGGCCGACGCTCTGAACCTGAAATAGAATCTTGAGGCGCTCGAGGGGCGATACGACGGTGCGGGAGACGGCGCCAGCCACTCCACCGGCAACGAAGGAAGCAAGGACTGGCTGTGCGAGGAGTTCTCGGAATCGCTGGAGGGTGGGCTGCAACGACAGAGTCAATTGACGTGTTGGAGGGGGGGTTTCTGCACGTGTACCTACATTTAGATCCTTTCCGGGTTTCGAGGTCATGACTGCGGCCGTCTGCGACTGCGGCTGTGGGGAGGTTTTGGACATGGCAACGCAGGTAGTGCCCGCAGCGCAAGCACGCGTCTATCGGGGGACAGGAGAAGTGGCGCGAGGCAATGTCGAGCTCATGGGTGGTGGCTGCTGCTGGTGATGCTCCGGGGTTGTAGATGGAGGGCTGACTGGGCGCGGAAAGCGGGCGCGGTGGTATCGCAGGAAGCTGGATTTGCCATGCAAGGCAGATATGGAACTGCCGTGTCAAGTCGCGAGTCGAAAGCGTGTGGCGGCGCAATGAGTGCAGGGTGCAGGGCGTAGTAGTAGTATTAGTAGTAGTAGTAGTAGTAGTAGTGGATTTTCGATGCCAGATGCCGGGGCTCTTGAGAAATGCTAGCGCGCTACCAAGTCACGGCGGCGAACCAGAGTCGGCCCCAGGTATCCAACGCTCGTGTGTGGTGTAGCCTCGCTCTGTATGTCTATGTATATATGTACGTAGTAGTCCATCTCTGATCGACAGCCCGCCCCCGACTACTCATTGCAAAGCAATCACACAGGCAACGGAATCAGGCATATTGGCGGACCACTTTGTGACATGGCTCAGGTGCCAGAGCCGCACAGCCGGCGGCAGCATCGCCCAGCTTTCTCTTGACTGTGACGTTGATCACGAGAGCAGTACGACGCATGTCAAGCCTAGAGGCGCCAAACATGGTATGGTAGAGGAGTGGGGTGCAAACTGCCCGAGGCCAAGCGATAATGTCCCGGGATGTAGTTGTAGGTAGGGGGTTGGCAGATGGATGCATCTTCTATACCTTGAGGCGTGTTGTCGTCACCTGTCTCTCGACCGCTAATGCAAACATTGGAATGAAGACATGATTAGTAGGATGATTAGTAGGCTCTTGGTGACAGCAGGCATGGTATACAAGTATGATGCTCCTCTCTCCGGGGGGGTGCAAACTTTGGTATCGATAAGGAATTATTACAAGGTAGGAAAGCTGGGAAAGCTACCATTTGTGACCTCTTCACTCACAACAACCCCATGCTATCGCGCCGTGTCTTCCAGCAGCTGACCGACAGTCTGCTGTTAATAGGTCCTAGCAACAAAGGAGCTGCAACTGGTTGTACCGCTACTCCATGTCGGGCGTGTCGCCCATGTAATCGAGCAGCACCAGTGCCCATTCGGCATGCTTCGTCGTCGTCGTCGTCGTCGTCGTCGACCAGATGGAAGTCGCGCCAGGGCAACGACTTCTTTGCCCGGGAAGCTCGAGTCCAGGGGCTGAAAAGCCGTGCTGCCTTTAAGCTGCTTGAAGTACTGTGCCTTGCTCCGCCATGGAACCATCCAGAGCTAATGCCCCACAGCTTAATGAGAAACACAAGCTGTTCAAGCCCGGCCAAACCGTCGTCGACTTGGTATGCACAGTCGAGAAGGTCACAGGGACGTGGCTAAACCAACGTAGGGCTTTGCACCGGGTTCATGGTCTCAGGTCGCCGTAAACCGCACAACCCCAGACGGTCGCGTAATCGGCATCGACCTGATACCCGCGCAACCTCCTCGAGGCGTCTCTACGATACAAGGCGACTTCCTCTCTCCCGTAATCCAAGATCAAGTCCGAGCATACGTCCGCGATCCCGACCTGGGTCGACCGCGCAAACATATAACGTCGAGCAAGAGCCAAGGACTTACAGAGGAAGAAATCGACGACATGGAGCGAGGATACATTGACATTGAACGGCAGGCCCACTTGGACCGTGTCGAGACCGAGACAGTCGGCCAGCGGGTCCAAGACAAGGGCCCAGAGTCCGGCCCCGACTCGCAGCTGCCCTTGAAGGAGCGGGATAGACACCAAGGACGAGCAGTCGATGTGGTGCTGAGTGACATGTCAGAACCCTGGGTCCAAACCGCTGGCTTCTACAAAAAGAGCCTTAGTGACCCGTATTTTAGGATGATGAACACCAGCGGCAATGCTTTCAGAGACCACGCCGGTAGTATGGTAGGTATCTACCTAGGCAGTCTCTTGGGCTTTCAAACCCCGGACTAACCCTGCACAGGATCTTTGCATGGCCGCGTTGACCTTCTCTTTCGACACGTTGAAGACTGGTGGCCACTTCCTCTGCAAGTACTACCAAGGAAGCGAGGAGAAGGCATTCGAGTCCAAGTTGAAGCGCCTGTTCGCCAAGGTGCATCGAGAGAAGCCCAGCTCGTCACGCAATGTACGACACGTGTCATCCTTTGGACCTCTCATGCTGATTGCTGCCAGGAGTCCAAAGAGGCCTACTTTGTAGCCACACGCCGCAAGGAGAAGCCCACAAGGGAGTTTGTGTTCCAGGAAGGAGCGTGAGCAGTACCGTTACGAAGCTGGCATGGCGGCCTTTTTTTTGTCAGGAGTAAACTATACATTGATAGGCAAGAATTAAACGCTGTTCATCAAAACCGTAGGGAAAATGGCGAGGCTGTACATGATGACACTTGAACTGTTGAGAAATGGGCCAGAGCTCGGTTAAAGTACGCGGACAGCCTATGGGTGAGGCAGTTAGACTCGGCCGCCAAGCTCACTGCGTTTGCAGCAACCACTTTGCTCGGGTCGGATCGGACAGGTCGGAGAGGGTGTGGTGTTTAATGAGCAATCTCCCTGTAAGAGATCTCCCTGTAAGAGATGGGTGAAGAGTCAGTCAGAGTCGGCCACATCCCCATATGCAGGTGGCCGCGATCCAAGCCCGTCTAGCCTGGGCCCGAGGGTCGACGAGGCCCCGGTGTCCAAGGACAGGCCGTCGTACGGGAAGAGGGTATGTACTGGGGTCCCAACTATGGATCCGGAGGATATGTCAAGCATCTTGTGGGCCGCGTAGCAGGGATATGGGATGGATGGAGGTGGCCCGAGCTGCTTTGTGTGTGTGTGTGTGTGTGTGTGTGTGTGTGTGTGTGTGTGTGAATGGGGAATGATGCGCTGCGACAAGACATGTTTGCTGGCCGGATAATAATAATGATAATAATAATAATAATTCTCCCCACGGTGCCAGCCAGATGTTCGATGCCCCTTCTCTCCCCCCCTCTCCCTTCCCCCTTTGTGCTTTCTCTCGCTCGAACAAGGTGGACGTCTGCGCCCTCGAAGACGATGTGGTGCACTAGGACCATCATGGAGGACCAGCCCGCTCGGCTGTGGGCCTCCCCCCCCCCGGCTAGAGCGCCAAAGCAGGGCGGGCGTGAAAGCCTTTCGTAACCTTATCACTCTCACCTCTTTTGATCATCCATCCAACCCCCCCAATCAATCTAATCCGAGCTGTGCAACGTGCCCAATGACTGGGAGTGTGTGCGATGGATTACCAAACTTTCAATAGCCACAATAATGCCTCGTTTGGCGCCCAGTTCTCCACCTCGACGGCGGCCCCGCAACACTCTCACTTCTACGCGGAACCTCAGGCCCGGATCCAGCAATCAAACCCATCCTTTGCCTACGGCCAGTTCCCTAATGGACAAGCCGCGTCGTTTCCGAGCATGGGTGGCGCCATGGGCAGTAGTAGTGTTATGCAGCCCGGAGCCATGCCAGCTTCACTGAACCAGGCACGAGGTACGTTGTAAGCCAGTGACGTGCTGCCCTATCGCTTCTCGTGTCCCCTCATGCCGTCGCCCTTTTGGTTCTTTTCTTTCTTTTCCCTCTACTCGCTGCTGACACCATGGAGCCGCCGCACTCCAGCAGCAGCAGCAACAACAGCAACTACAGCAACTACAGCAGCAGCAGCAGCAGCAGCAGCAGCAGCAGCAGCTGTCGTCGCCGAGTCCTTATTCCAACCCGCCCTACTCACAGCCGTTGCAGTCGCCCGCACACCAGCAGTTCGCACAAGCCCGCCAGACCGCCTCTCCTGCGAGCGCCAGTGGACAGCCGTATGCGACGCCCCAGCCGCAGCAGTCGCCCAGCACCCTCGCGCCCAGCGGTCACCAGCAGCAGCCCATGAATTCGCACAACCCCGCAAAGTCGGAGCCCGCGCAGGCCCAGACGCCTGTGAAAGCTGTCCCTCCATCGCCTGTGTCGCCCGTCACCCAGGCACGCAACCAAGGTCGCATGGCCACGTTGCTTGAAATCAACAGCATCCTCATCAAGGAGGTGTGCGACCTGCAGGCCCAGGGCAAGGCGGGACACGTCGGCCCTTCACCAGATGGCAAGACGGACGGAGACAAGCCCCAGCCGTCAAAGGACTATGTAGAGTGAGTACAAGCCATGCTTCTTCGCCTTCAGCCATGGCATCTAACCCACCCAGGTGCATGCGCCGCCTACAAGCCAACCTCGCCTACCTGGCGCAGAATGCTGAGAAGAACCCCAAGCCCGGCCAGCAAATGCAGCCCGGCCCCGCCATCATGTCGCCTCCCGCATCGCCAGTCGAACTCGTCAAGTTGTACCAGAAGCTCCACGACCTTTTTCCAGGCTGGAAAGGACAGGTTGCCCAGATCAAACAGTCTCCCGGACCACAGCGAATGAACTCGAACACATCACAGCCGCCGAATAGCGCTGGCTTACAGCCAAATTGGAGTCAGAACGCCATGCAAAACATGCAGCAAGCACAACAGCAACCCAAAGCCGAGCAGCAATAGCCCTCTTCTGCATCTTCCCTGGGCGTTTGGACGGCGTCATTGTATTTGTATACCTTTTGTAAACGCATGGCATAGAGTGAGCCTGGGTCATCTGTCTCGGGGCGCGCATTTCAACGTTATAAATACTTGTTGGAGTTTTACTCATTGTTGTTTTCTTGGAATTCTGATTTTGGCACCCGGTTTGGCATCCCTTGGTTATCAGCGGTCTTTCTGTTTGCATCCCTGCTTGATACCTCCTTGCAACTCGAATGTATGAATGGTTAGTGTCGCCACCTTGGTCTTGCTTGCATACTACGTACAACTGTTCACACTAGTGGGCGGCGCATCCCATATCTAGAGAGGCAAGGTCTTTTCTTGGATTGGTCAAGAGCATGACACTGCAAGAAATACAAGTTTGAGAAACCACTTGAAGCCAATGCCTCCAACTTTCATTGCAATCTCCACTACCCCTTCAACACCATCCAAGACTTGCCTCTATTCTTCATCCATGTCGTCAAAGAGCGTGAAAGCTTCCTGCTTTGGCCGCGGCAGTCTGGGGCCAGGCGGGGGCTGCTGTCCAGACAGCGCAAGCAATGCATCGCCTGGCGACTTTGAGGGGTCCTCCAAGAGGGGCATGTTCTTCTCCCTCTCTGCTTCCTCGTGGGCCGGGATGTCAAACTCGTCTAGATTGTGATGTTTTTCGCGGTAGTATTGGAGTTTGTAGAGGTTGCCTGCGCGAATCTTTTCGTTGCTGGGCCAGGGATACCAGGCCATTTGGCTGTCTTTGAGCTTTTTCAGCCATTCTTCTTCCTCGGTGGTCATGTCAGGTACTGCATCGTCGGCCATGTCGCCTTGCTTCTGTCCTTGTGCAGTGTCTGTGGGTGCTTCTGGTGCAGGCGTGTTCGCACCGTTTGTGGGAGCTCCGCTTGACCCTGCGTCTTCCTTGTCTTTGTCCTTGTCGTTGTTTGCTTCTGGGACGCGCTCGCGGTAGGTTGGAGGGACCGTGTGTTTTGAGATGTGGTTCGCATACTGGAGGAGCTCGTCGAACCGGACTGCGCGCGAAGATTCGGGAAATGTAGTCGCCGGCGTCTCAAAGAGCTCATGTCGCAGGGCAGCCAGTTTCTCGACCGAGGACTTGAGCTGCTCTTGCAAGACGTCAGCTTCAGTGCGCAGGGCGTGAATGCGCGCGTGGTTGGCCTGGTGTTTGGCGACTGTGCCACGTCAGCTACTGGCGTAATAAGGGCAGGTCATGGGTGTGTACGTTGGTCCAGTCCTTGGCTCAGCTGGCCATCGGCAGCTACTAGGTCAATGGCAGCTTGCGGAGATGGATTGTAAGCGGCGATTGAATCTACCAACGTGCCCAGTGCCTTCTCGACCCGCTCAAACTGTGTGGTCAGGATGTCGTCCATGGTTGGGAGGGCTGAGTGTTGTGGTTGGGCGTGATGCGTCGAGGCGGGCGGTTGCGAATAGTAAGCCCAAGGAACCTGAGGAACGCGCAGGTGAACGCGCTCACGTGAGCAATTCTTTCGGGGGGTTCTTTTTTGTCGCCCACCACTAATAACACTGCGCGAGCAAATGGACCATTGATGATGCGTAGGGCTAGAGGTGCAGGTGCAACTGCGGGCGCCAGATGCTTGGTGCTGGCTGGATGGTTCAGCTCCAGGGACTATTCGTGATTGGACTCGACACTACTGCTGTACAACCGCAACAAGTTTGCTTGGGCCAGAAGTAATAATAAGCAGCAGGCAAAGGCCGCATGCATGCAGGTTCGCCTCTCTCTTCTAATAATTAGGCCCGTGGGTGGTTGCGAGTATGACGAGGCTGGCGCTATAATTGTCTCGAACGCAACCGAAAACGTCACTATAACTTTGGCGCTTGAAACCCTCCGCTGCTCCCCTTCGTCATACCATAGCACAGCATAGCATAGCATAGCATAGCTACATGCCCTCGACTCCTGCGGCTCCTACTCTTCCTAGCCCTCGTATCCAGTTCCGAGAACCACGATTCCCAACTATTGCCTGCGCCTAGAAGCCCGCCTCTGCTGCGCCTCGTCTTCCAGAACCCGCACCCCGCTCTTCTCCATCGATTGGTCCCAAGACCCCCCCCCCC